AACGCATAGCAGCCCGCCGCGCCCAACGCGCTGCCATCCAACGCTCCCAATATGATGCCGCCCAGCAATCCCCCGCCCGCGCACTCTCCCGCCTCCCCTTTCCCCTCGGCTCTCTCTCCTCGGCCGGCCTGAGCGCCTGGGACGCGATCAAAGGCCGCAGTGGCACGCGTCCCGAATTCCGCGTTGGCCAAGTCGACGCCGAATTGTTGGATGAAGAGCTGCTGTCGCTGCTCAAGGACCAGGTCGGCGAAGGCCTCAAGTCCTTTGGCTCCCACCTCACCGACTCGTGGGGCGCCGAGATCCTGCTGGGCCTGCGTCTCGTGCTGTTCAAACTCAGCATCTGGGACCAAAACGCAAGCTATGGCGCTCATCTACAGGGGCTCCGCTACACCGACGCGCGAAGCTCTGCCCCCAACCGCCCGCCGCCAAAACCCTGGCAGAAAATCGCGTATGGCGCCGTCACCGTCGGCGGCCGCTACGCCTGGACAAAGTGGGAAGAACATCTACTGTCCACCAGCGAAGACTATACCCGGCCCGAGAGCCCCCAACTCAAGCTGCTGTCCCGGCTCAGCGAACTGGCAGGCTCAGCACACGACATCGCCAGTCTGGCCAGCTTCCTCGTCTTCCTAGTCAATGGCCGATACCGTACCATGACCGACCGTCTCCTCCGCCTCCGCCTCACCCCCACCTCACACTCGACCTCGCGCGAAGTTTCTTTCGAATACCTCAATCGCCAGCTCGTCTGGCACGCCTTTACCGAATTCCTCCTCTTCCTCCTCCCCCTTGTCGGCATCTCGCGCTGGCGCCGGATCTTGGCCCGCTCCTGGCGAAAACTGCGCTCCGCATTCCTCTCCCTCCTCGGCCGCTCCCCCAAATCCCCCTCCAACAACGACAACGAAGAAGACAGCAGCAAAACCGGCGAACTCTCCTTTCTCCCCGAACGCACCTGCGCAATCTGCTACCGCGACGCAAACCCCATCGCAACCACCGAAGCAGACATCCTCGCCTCCTCTTCCGGCGGCGGCGTCGTGGGCAGCGCCGCAACCGACATCACGAACCCGTACGAAACAGTCGAGTGCGGCTGTCTATACTGCTTCGCATGCATAGCACAGCGCATCGCCAACGAAGAAGGCGAAGGCTGGACCTGCCTCCGCTGCGGCGAAACCGTCAAACAATGCAAACCATGGAGCGGCGACATTCTCGAACCCCAACTCCGCCCCTCATCCCACGACAACAACAACACCACCCAAGACCAAGACCCAGACCGCCCCATGACCGCCAAATCAGTCGGTTTCGCACCTGCAGACGCGTCGCTCGAGGAGAAAATCTCCCTCCGACATGTCGATCCCATGCCAGACTCTGACCCAGACGCCGACCCAGAAGACTTGTCGGCACACACCACCACCACGTCTCCTACGCCGCTTGAAGACCAAGCCCGCATCCGCACGAATCATCTTCGCGGCCTCGATCTCGCAGACTCTTTGTTTACCGAGAGTTCGGAGTGGGCGCGCGCGAGCGAGGCGAGTGAGAGTGAGTGTGCGAGTGCGAGTGGTAGTGAGGGGGATAGCGGGGATCAGCAGAGTGAGGAGTATGAGGAGGATGAGGAGGAGGAGGGGGAGGAGTTGGGTGGTTATGAGCTATGATTTTCCTTGGGTTTTTATAATATGGCTGGGTTAGGTCAAGTTAGGGTTGGGATGGCATGGGATGGGATGGGAGAGAAGAGGAAGGGAAGCGGAGAATGACTGGGCATGTCGTGTGAGAGGGAAGGAGGGGGACTATTATACCATGACTTGTTGCTTTTCTTTTTTCCTCTTCTTTTTCCTTGGTTATTCTGATTTGGTGTGAATATTACTAAATCCTATATTCCTATACCCTTGTATATTTATATCATGCACAAACTCCACATATACACACAATTCACTTGACTTTACTTTACTTTACTTGACTTGACTTTACTTGACTTCACTTGACTTCACTTGACTCCACTCCACTCCAATCACCGCACACCCTAAACCCTATTCACTACCGCGCCACGAGTAAAAAAAACCAACAAGACAAGCCACACGCAACCATCACCATCACCATCACCATCACCATCACTAATAAAAAGAAAAAGCCAAAACTACTTCTTCAGACATTTCCTTTTCCGCATTCCATACGCTCTTCAGAGGAAGAGGAAGAATGACTTGCTATTCTGTCTTCAAAAGGTTTGTGCGTGTCATGCCATGCCATCCCCCCACCTTGCGCGCCGCGACTTTTCCAAACTACAGAGGAAAAGAAGAAAAAGGAAAAGAAAAAAAAAGTCAACGGCGGCCTGGTGTTTGCGCACCCTTGTCTTCGCGGCTAATGCGAGTCCACAGGGTGAAGACGAGCATAGGTAGATTCAAGCGCTTCTTCTCTCGTCTGTGTCTGTCTATGTGGGTGTGTGGGCTTGCATCTCAGGGTAAATGGATTTGAGAAAATCGTGCATTTCTGGCATGGAAAACGGTGGAACATGTCCATACTCTTCGTGAAAACTACCCCATCCGCTTCCCCCTGTGCCTACTTACGTCTGCATGAATTCTGCGAACCGCGGTAACGCTGCCATCTTCTCCTCTGGGCTCGTGTGCTCGTCGAAGAAGATGAGTTTCATGTTCTTGTCTTTTTTGTTCTTCTTCTCTTCCTTCTTCTCTGCTGCCCCTTCCTTGGTCACCTCGCCAATGAGATCGTCGAGCGAGGCGGAAATCGCATTGGGATCCGTGGCGTTGGGCGGGTAGACACCGGGCGGAGGCGCACCGAAACCAGGACGAGGCGGTAGTGCACCCAGCTGGCCTGGTATACTGCCTGGTCGAGCCGGTATTGCGCCATTGGCAGGCGGGAAGGGTGGCGGAATGCCCTGGGGAGGATATAGAGGGGGCTGTCCGGGGAAGCCCGCGGGAACGGCCATGGGTGGGCCTGCAAAGGGAGGGAGGACCTCTTCTTGTATCTGTGCGTCTGTTAGCCGTACCTGCTTGCCAAGTGTCGAGTGTCCACGTACAGGAACCGGCACCGCCTCAGCTGGTACCGGTAGAGGTACACCGTTCTTCCTGTCTTGCCTGAACTTGTTTGCCCTCTCCTCAATCTCATCCAACGTTTCGACAACCTTGGGGTTCTTGGTCGGTGGCGCCTGCCCATTGCTGTACAGTCCGCGCACAGGATTACCCGTTAACCGCGCGCGCTCCTGCTCTTCTGCGAAATGTGCTTGGGTTACTTGTTGGTTGTGCTGGTCGATAATCTCGGCGGGTACACCTTCCATGCCAAAGATCTCGATCTCGAGACCTTGTCGCCCTGGATTGGCATTCTCGACATGGGTGAGGTTCTCCTTGTGGACTTGTGTCATGTGCACCGACAGACCTGGCACGTGTTGTTAATACATGTGTTCATCGCCATGGCGCACCATCGTCCCCGCGGCGCAGACAGAGTGATCACATACCTCCCGCCGTGTTGAGGCGCCTTCCACAGCGATCACATTTGAAATGTTTGGCTTTTTGGTGGGAAATGAGAATCTTGAGGTCGTCAAAGTCGCGCTCGCAGTAGTAGCACCATGGCCGCTCGAGTTTCTGGTTCAGGTCCGGATATCTCTTGCGCTTCTTCGTCATACTAGCGGTCGGCCGGGGGCTAAGCGACGGCGAGTATCTAGCTATTGTATCGGGCGGGATCTTGGGTGCTTGAGTCGTTGGCAACGGGGGGACGGTTGAGGTCGAGGCAGATGGAGCTCGCGATTTCCCAAGCTGGTGGAGGAGAGCTAGCCTGCCTTGTCTAGCGCGGATTTATCTTGGCATCTACCTAACTCTTCTCTACTTTTTCGTCTCAGCGTTCTCCTCTCTCTCTTTCTTGACATCTTTGACAAGGTACAACAACACATGCTATCCTTCTATGGTCATGGTCTCCTCCCACGCCGTTGCGCTCTTTGGTATAAGAAGTCTAATGCTGGGGAGGATACGATCATCTCCATCTCTCTTGTCTTCATGTCTTATGCACCCGCAACTCGCACACCAGCCACTTGGTCTCTGACACTCGTACAAGTCCTCTCTCGAGGAGCATCCCAGCGTCTTCGCGTCTTGCGTCGATTTGGTGTATGCGGCTGCACTCCAGTTCGTGCTCTTTGTTGCCAGAAGAAATCAAAGGTCCTTCATAGTTCACACTTCCTCGCTCTTCGGAGAGACTCCACGAAGAGTGTGACTCCTTGGCTACCTACATACTATACTACCTTAACCTACTGTGATGAATATTGAGATAGGCTTCGAGTGTTGTACATGTTACTTCGTAGGCTGGGAAATTAGACACGGTGTAGGTTCACTGCACAGTGCAAAATCATCAACCGAATAGATCCTCTGGGTTCCCAGAACGTCATATTGCAATACAATAGCTGCCATCCTTCTCTTCAACATGCAATCACTTCGAAGCACTATATCCTGGAGACAGCTGCGTTGATATGTCTACTAATATATACAGCATACTTCTGCTGGAAATCCCATGCCAAACATTATAGAATAGACATGCTAGTGTTACCCGAAAACGTCGTCGCACTTGCATACCATCCGTACTCATGCCCTTCCAAAGCCGAGTCACTGGTTTCGTATCCAGCTGAGTCCGCTTCCATTAACCCCCGATGGTCGTATGGCCTCCCTCCAACAACCAAATGGATATCAGAGTAGTCAACGTGCGTCGACTGCAAAATCAGACCTTTTGTTGCAGCGCATGTAAAGTAGTCGTCAAAAGTACATGTAGTAGCCCACCGTGAGCTTCATCCTTCAACACCGTGACATGCGCCATTTCCAGTAATGCACCAGGCGACCTTAGAAATCAGTCTTGAGTGTTTGGTCAGCGGTGAGCTCGCCGGATTCGATGCGGTCAACGCGGAGAACAAGTTCCTGAGATATATCAGCAAACAGCTTCCAAACAAACTCAGATACGGGCTCAATACCTTGAGAGCACGAGCTGTCTTGAAAGCAAGCGGTGGAATCTTCTCTCGTCCACCACCGCGCAAGTCAACAGACAACATGTCCTGCCTGCAATCGTCAAGAATCTCCACGACGGGCAGCGCGTGTTTCTTCAGGGCAGCATTCGAAAGCAGGCTGACGGCATCGTATGTCTTGCTGCCTGTGTCTTCCACAGCTTGGGAGATGTCCTGGATGTAATCGTAGATCTGCTGTTCCTCTGACGGAGAGGAGACAGGATTGGAGCGGATGAGGTTGACAAGAGGCTGTATGCTTTGCACAAGCAGGGCTGTCTGGTCCTCAAGATAGTTCTGCAGTCTTTGTTAGAGCACAGCAATGCCAGGTTTGGTGATCTCAACGTCATACCTTGAATTCCAGCATGCCGCTGTCCGGCTGACCACCTACGCCGTTCATGCCTACACTTTGACGGTCGTATCCGCTATAGGGAGAGCTGTAATTGCTGTAGCGAGTAGTATCGCTGCTACCTCCTCGGCTGCTGCGACCACGTTGATGCCCAAATGCTGGTTTGCCACCACTCGGATTGCCATTGGGCGAGGATGCACGGTAGCCATTGTAGACGGACGGCTTCAGGGGCATCGGCCGGTCCTCCTCTTCCTCTTCCTGTTCAAGTTCTGCCGAAGTCGTTGGTCTCACTTTCACAAACTTTACAAGCTCGACAATTGCTGTGGAAAGATGACTGGCCGCAGCGTCCAGCAGACTCACTGGCAATAGTCCACCAGAGGAAGTGTGATTCTTGGTAGCTGTAATGAGGTTATTGGCGGTAGCGCTCACTCGCGACTTGAGCTTCGCTTGTTGCTTCTCGGGACTGATTGGGATACTGCCGCTGATACTGCTGTTAGGTGACTGCATCTGCGATAATGAGGTGCTGTCGATATCTCCTGTAATGGCCCGGACGCATTTGACTACATTTCGCATGTGCTCCAGTGTTTGTTCAGAGTTGCTCCTCCGTGCAGTCTGGAGTAGCTCATCAATGCTCAGTTGGAACTTTGTGACATGCACATCCTTGACAAGACCGTCCGGGGAACTGAGCGCAGGATCACGAGTGTACGGAATCATGTCAGACAACGCCAGCGAAGACAAGCCAATCGAGGAGGCTTTGAGATTTCGCAGTTGCGTCTTCTGGACCGCGTAGCGGGACTTCCAGTCCTTGAGTTCAGCCTCGAGGGCAGCCAATTGGCCGGCCATGCGTTCTTCTTTTTCTACGGCGGCATCGCTCTTGGACGACAGTTCGCGCATCTCTTGGAGGAAGACGGCTGCATCTCGTCGCACCTCTTCGGTAACTTGTTGTTGTTCTTTGAGGTCTTGTTGAAGTTCTTCGCACCTCCGTTGCCAGTCACCCCCATCGTTGGAGGTGGCTTGCTGTAGCGGCCTCGACTCCAGTTCAGCAATTTGGGCACGCAGACTTCGTTCCACGTCGTCGTTTTCATTGCGCAGCTTGTCGATTTCTGACCGGAGCGATGAGTTCAACGCCTCGGCCTTTTCCACTTTGTCTTCCAGCGACAATCGAAGCTCATCCCATTCGGCCCGTTCGGACGCAGTGTTTCCATCCCGCTCTCTGTCCACTTCTTGTAAGCGTTGGAGCTCACTGTCTTTGTCTCGTATCGTGTCCTCTAAACTGCTGATCTTGCCCTGTAGTTCTGCTACTTGACTTTGCAGATCCGTCACTATTTTATCTTGTGCCATGCTTATGCTCTTCATGCTCTTGTTTGTCTGCCGTCTTACTGCAGCACCTTCGAGGTTAAATGCGTCTTCTTCGTCGGCCCCACTGTCATCGTCGTCTTCGACGAGGGTGCCCTTGTTTGGTACAATGGTGTTGGATTGGAACGTTTTTGGCAAGGGCCGACCGAATGAATTTGGGTCGTTGGAAGAACCCGGGCGTAGTTGGCCTTGTGGGCCCGGAGGTCCGCCCTGCGGAGGGCCTCGATAACCCGGCCCAGGCGGTCCACTAGGGCGACCTCCGATGCTATTGGGGGTGCCTGTCCGGCTGGGTGGACCTCGACCACTGATTCGACTTGCGATACTGCCGTTGGGGCTGTTTGAACGCGGAATGTCTCCTCCGGTGAAGCGGGGGAACCTCCTCTCGAGCTCGTAGAAGACATCAGTCGCGAGTTGGCGGAAGCGGTCGAGGGGCAATGTCGACAGCTTCTGTCTGGCCTGGTTTCGCTTTGGGTGGAAATTGTTCTTGGGCAGTAGGAAGGCCGGTGTCTGGTTTCCAGGCGCTCCTGGCCCTCCACGTTTGCGATCCTCTTCCCTACGTATCGACTCGTCGTATACATCTGTGCTGAGCTCCTGGAACTGCACGGCCGACAACCTGGTCAGCTTATCCTTTGCCCGGCTTGGCCGTGGGTTGCCCTTTTCATCGTTGAGATAGGGTCCCAGGTATGCCTTGAGGACCTTGAAGTGCTCCGACATGGTCTCTTCCAGCGCCTGCATCTTCCGGCTGTTCAGGCTTGCATCGCTGAGACTCGAGGCGTAGAGGCCAGTACCGTCACTCGAGCGACCGACGGAGCTGGGCGGGGAGGGGTTGCCGTTTCCTGCGGGACGCATGCCCTGCGGCATGCCTCCATCGGGGTTGCTGGGGCCGTATGAGTTGGGAGGGATGGTGGGCGAGTAAGGATTGTCACCGGCGATGTTCTGGTAGCGGGTGATGGGAGACCATTCCTGGCTGGCCGTCGAGACGGGCGACAGCGTGCCATTGCGCGAGTTCATCGTGTATATATATGTGGGTGTGTGAGACGTGTGTTTGGGCTTCGGGCGATGCTCGTCGCGTTTCACCAGCCGGGGCGGCTGTTGTAATGGCTAGTGGCAGACGGGCGCGTGTCGGAATTAAGTGATAAGAGAGGGTGGGTGGTTGATTAGGTCGGTGGGTTTCAAGTGCGCCAACACTATTTGTTGCAAAACGTCGTCCACTACAGCGGGGACTTTGACTTTGGTAGTAGACTAGATGCTGATGGCCGGTGGGTGGGACACGGGGGAGGGGAAAGGGCCGTGGATGTGTGTGTGTGTGTGTGTGTGTGTGTGGGTGTGTTAGGGGCACCATGCACTGATGCACCATGCACGCTTCGGCTCTCGGTTTCGACGGGCGGCGGTGAAGGAGGGACAGCAGCAATAGCAGTGCCTAGTGGCAGCAACAGCAAAGAAACGAAGAACAAGAAAAAAAAAAAGGCAACAAAGAGCGTGGGCCGCGGTAGATTAGATGCCAAGGGAGCGTGGGAAGCAAGCAACACCGGTAAGCGTCTATTGAAAGAGCCCACAGTGCAGCAGCGCGCGCGCGAGAGAAAGAGAGAGAGAGCGAGAGCGAGAGAGCGAGAGAGGAAGAGGAGGAAGAAGAAGAAGAGAGCGAGCGCGCGAGAGAAAGCAACTGGAGAGGTAGAGTACCAAGACTGTACCGGTAGAAGTCTGCTGCAGTGCTGCGTAGTCGTACTTTGGGACCGGAGGCCGGGACACGGATCACCGGGGACTGACGAGGTTTTTGGGAGAGAGCCTGGCTGGCTGCTCAGTGCTCCCTTCTCCTGTCAGAATCGGTGATGATGATCATGGTGCCATGGAGGGGGCCACTGTCAACCAACGTCGTTAGGTAAGTTAGGATGGCATGGATGGCGGGCCCCCTTCTCCAGGCTCTCCCTCTTCCTCCCCTTTCCCCTCTCCCCTTTCCCCTCTCCCCTCTCCCCTCTCCCCTCTCCCCTCTCCCCTCTCCCCTCTCCCCATCATCTTCCCCCCTTTCACAACAGAGCCTTGGCCTGGAGAAGCGTTGGCGGGTTGGGAATAGGTAAAAGCAGCCCTGGTTAGCTTCTCTTCGGCCGTGCAGCGAATCAGATCCTATCCTGGCCTGCGCCCCCGTCTGCGCAACTGCATGCCGCCGTGAATACATGCTAGACTGATACTGAGGTACCAACTATTACTATATGGACCAGTACTCTACATACTCAATCATGTGGACACCGCCCTATCGGCCATTACCTGTACTCTACAAGGGATAGGGCGGGGGGAATGCCTGTTGTTTGGATGGGACCATGCCCCGTTTCGACACCTTTTCTCCTAGCCGGCCGTGCATCTCTCCCACGTTGCATGTAGGATGGTTGTGAACATTCAAACAGCATTGAACAAGTTCATCGCATTTGGGAGGGGGATTTGGGCATGGACCACACGCTGAAAACCACCCTGGCTCATCGGTCAAGGCAGCCCTGTACGTTCGAGACTCTCGTACGGACAACACGGCCCATGGCGATCCTTGCGGGCAAAGTGGAGACGACAGCATTTCATGCATCATTTCTTGGCCATGGTAGGCACATTGCCATTCCGATCATAGGTATACTGGAAATACCACATTCAGTAGTATACATTCGTATTTTTAGACAATCAAGCTAAAATACAACAAAATAAACCCCCACCAATACAATACAGTCAGCCCCTCTTGACAGGCCCGTCTCCCCTCTCCATCCATCCATCATCATCATCATCGCGCCCGCTTGATCTTGGAAAGAGGTTGCTTCCGACAGTCGGGACATAGCCAGTCCCCCAGAGGCTCCTCTTTGATACCCACACACTCCCAATGAAACCATTGGTACTGGCAGTTGTCGTTATCACAAGCAACCATGTCTCCAAAGCTGACCCGCTGGCACGTGCAGTACTTGGTGTCGTCCGACTCGTCTTCGTCTGCATCCCCGCCTCCCACGCCTGACATTTCCTCATCTTCTGTCCCAGCCTCGCTAGCTACACTCTCGTCATCCGCTGTCGTCGAAGGCGACGCCCTTGACCCGCCCTTTCGACGCTTCTTGTTCATGGGTGCTTTGGCAGTAAGAGCAGCTTTGCGCAGCGGCTGCTGGGGTTTGGCTTTCTTCACCGTCAGGGCGTGCTTGGGTGGTCTGGGGCCTACGCTGCCAGCACGTGAACCCGGAGTAGATGGTTTCGGAGTCCCTGGTCCTACAGAACTCTGCCTTCCTAGATGGGACGCCACTGTTGGCAGAGGACCGATGCTTCCAGTGGGTCGCCGCCGTTTCGAATCGCTTCCTGCAGACGATTCTCTTTCTTGGCGCGCATTGCCTTGACTTGCGCCCTGTGCGTTCGTGAGTCTCTGCTGGTTCAAGAGTGCTTGGGTCTGCATATTCTGCAAAGATGGATTCATTCTCGAGTTGAGGTTCACACTGGTGGCATTGGTGATGCGTGCAATGGCTGCCGCCTGCGCAAGATTGGGAGCACCACCGCCATGGTTGCCAGATACCGGAAGAAGTGGTGTATTGGCGCCTGTGTTTGTAATGGAAGAGGGAGGCACAAGGTTACCAGGAGATTCTTTCAGTAGAGAGGGCATCTGAGGATCATTTGGTATCGATCCATCACTCTGCAGATCCCGCAATTTGATGTCGAGTCGCTTCACGTGACGATCCAGCTAGATGTCCTGTAAGTACCAACCAAGTCATGATCGTGACGACTACCTACAAGTGAAGCAGCTTTCTCGGCGAGACCAATCTTCTCCTCTTGCAATATCTGCGCTTTTTCGTAATTGCTCAAAATGACCTTGGAATAGGGGTCTTCTTTGGGATTCTGGACCAGGCTGCCGTTCAACTTGATGAATTTCTGCAGACTGTTGTCGCGTTGTTGTATCGCAGATCGTAGTTCCTGTATTTGCGCATCTTTGGCTTGCACTTCCTCGTAGAGATGAGTGATTTCTGCGGGAAGATTGGCGACTGTCAAATGTCAGTCCAAACTGTGATGGTGTTACCAGATGGTGAGATTACCATCGTGTATGAACTGTTCCAGAACGGTTGCTGCATCTTCTGCGATGGCCATGGTTGATGTCACTCCTGATATCGATGAAATGACGGTCAGAAGCGACGGCAGACAACCTTGAAGCCGAAAACAAATGTACCGGGTGTTGTGGGTGGGACAGTATATATTCCAGCTGGAAGTGGAGATGAGTAGGAGTACGTTGCGCCTGCGACGGTGATGAAAGGTGATGGCGCTAGGATGGAAGCAATGGTGGGTGTGTCCAGGTGAAGGGGCGCTGCACTATACCGTAACGTTACCGTACCGTACTGGCGCCTAGTTACTTGCACGACCTGGAATCATGGCGCATTCAAGCAACGGACGCTGTTCTGGATAACCTCGCAGCCTTGCCGGGACCCGTGACAAGCTCAATAGATGTGTAGTTGCTTAGTGGGAGACACCAAGCTCAACTCTCGGATGGGCCCAAAGTGCAGTTGACGCGCAACTAGGGTTAGTTGTCTCGAGGATTAGCTAATCCGAGATCACGTGCATTGCCACCCAATGTAGCCCTCGTGCCTGCTACCAATCAGACAGGGAGAGACTTTTTGGTTCAGACTTCAAGACCCACATGACAAGGACGAACCAGATGGGTATCCTTGCTCAACGGCGCGGCATCGACTGTATAAACCGAACACAGTACAACTCTAGCAAATCTGTCCCCCAGCGCAAACCCGCCGAAGCTGCTGCAGCGCCCTACGCACACTCGAGGGGGAGTCGCAGCGTCATCTCACAAGGGGAAAGGAGAGCCATACGGTACCTAGGACCAAGGAGACGATCTCATCAATAAACGTGACCAAATACAACACTATACCTAAGCGCAGAGGACGTGGGACGTTTACAGTGTTGCGCAGAAGTCGCCACCGCAGCAGCGCGATCCGGTCCACAAGGACGATACTGATCGTTCAACTGACAACACAGCCATTCCACCGTTGAAGTATTCCCACTCCTGCATCCAAGATTCACAGTACGATCCAGCGCGGCATCAGCGCAACATGCGAGTTCCCGGCTACGGTTCCTCCAATGGGATGGCCAACAACATAGTCGAGGAATACCTGTCACCCAGTGAAGACTATGTGGAAGACTACCAGACCTTTAAAGCGCTCACAGACGCGGAAAAGCAAAACGTCATCGCACGAGAAGCAGAAGAATACGGGTTGGAGCGACCCAAAGGCTGGAAGGTCTCATTTCATTACAATCCCCACGTGGAATACCACCATTTTGGCAGCTCACATCCCATGAAGCCCTGGCGACTGACCTTGACGAAACAACTGGTTTTGTCATACGGGCTCGAATATACCATGGACCTCTATGAACCAAGACCAGCGAATTTCAACGAACTCGCCATTTTCCATGACCGCGACTATCTGTCTTATCTCAGCAAGATCACACCACAAAATGCCCAATCCGAAGATCCACAATACATCTCATACGGTTTCGGTGGCGAGTCCAACGACTGTCCAGTCTTTGACGGTCTTTGGAATTACGTCTCCCTCTACACGGGAGCTTCTATAAGCGCAGCCTGGAACTTGCTCAACAAACAATCCGATATAGCCATCAACTGGTCTGGTGGCTTGCATCATGCCAAGAAGAATCTTGCATCCGGCTTTTGCTACGTCAACGATATTGTCATCGCCATTCAGCTTCTCCTCACGCAACACCAGCGCGTCTTATACATCGACATCGACGTCCATCACGGTGATGGCGTCGAACAGGCGTTTGAGTCTACTGACCGCGTCTTTACTTTATCCTACCACAAATACGGTATCGACAGACACGGATATCCTTTCTTCCCCGGCACTGGTAGTATCAATGAGATGGGGCCAACTGATCCCGCAAACCGTGGTAAAGGGCACAGCCTCAATTTGCCCATCGATGACGGCATTGACGACGATCAGTACAAGTGGCTATTCAAGACAGTAACAGGCGCTGTCATCGACAAGTACAACCCTCAGGCCATTGTTTTACAGTCTGGCGCAGATTCACTGGGTGGTGACCGGCTGGGTAGATTCAACCTCAACATCAAGGCCCACGGATACTGCATTGAGACAGTCAAGAGCTACGGTCGTCCACTGCTGGTGATCGGCGGTGGCGGCTATACACCCCGCAACGTGGCGCGAACCTGGTGTCACGAAACCTCTGTCTGCGTTGGCGCTGAGCTACACAACGATCTGCCTGCCCACATTCCCTACATCCAAGCATTCCAAGGCGCGGAGAATGGGGACGGCATCCTCTATCCGGATCTACACAACACGAAGCGGCATGAAAATCTCAACTCGATGCCCAAGTTGCAGAAGCTGCTAGAGCAGGCCATGGAGAATCTGAGGTACCTGGAAGGTGCGCCGAGCGTGGTGGTCAATACCAAGGGCATCAGCGAGGAGGAGATTATGAGGGTCCGTGAGATGGTAGAACAGGAGCTGGAGGACGAGGCCGAAGACCGACATAGTCTCAACGTGGAGAACAACAGACGCAGGCGCGAAAGGAATATTGGAGGTCGAGCCGAGCGAGGGCTTAGGTGATGGTGAATAATGATTGAAGAATTGCCTTTGGATACGGATAATTATGGCTAGACAATGTTCATGATGCGAGTCTCGACACGTTCTTGTGTGCACTGTGCTCTGTTCTTACTGTTGTTTGGTAGTCGATATGGTATGGCGTTCGGATCCGAGGTTGGCTTTCCCTACAGGGACTATAGTACTCCTACAGGGAGCTGGGATGACGCTGAGGCTCGTATAAACGGCGTCATCAACCTTATTAAACACTGAAAGCATGCCACTGTCTCAGGGGAACGTCCAGATTCTTCCAGTCTTGTGCAAACGGCAACCATGCATCCTACAATACCTGCCCCAGCTCTGTTGCTGCAACCTTTGTCGCCTGATGGAACATTGTCCAGTCGAAATGTTGCGTAATACTACTCAGATCATACACTGCATGTACCGTATCTGCCTACCTTTTATGTGCGACACGTTTCACCGGCTTCTCTCCAGCCCCTGCTCCGCCTTCCCCGCCTTAAATTTAAACGTCCACAGCCACACAGTTCACCGGGACGCGTCTAGCGTCTCACATTTCCAACGGCCTGTCATCGCTGGCATAGTACTCCTGGAGGTTGACTTCCACTTCCTTTTTTTTTAAATTGAACTACCTGTTTCGATTCGGACGTTTCCCATGGCGGTACTCAGTCGGCGAAGCACTATATATATACATGTGTGTACGATCAGTCACCAGAAAGGCGCAGATCAAGCTATCTGGCAACCAACCGTGATTGTGATTGGTTCGAATGGCTCTTTGCTACAAGGTAGCTATGGACTATAAAAGTCCAACATGAAATGGGGCCCAGCTTCTACCTCTATTGGGATGGCATCGGGCCCTGGAGTACCTGAGAAGAGTCAAGTCTCTGGCAAGGCTAGGATGACACGGGCATGGATGATGCAAGTTCGGTGTTGGTCGGATGTAAGATCATGTGCATGGGACCACAAGCCGAAGCGTAGCCATTCTACTACCGGTACGGCCGATGCCGTTCGCGTCCCCCGTCCCGATCTCGTATCTTTCTTTGCGTTCGTCTTATCTACCGGTATAGGTACCCAAGTTTGTATACATTTGTTGCAGGACTCGTCAAGGCCTGTCAGACACCGTCGCTCCATTCAAACCACCGGGGACCTATCAATGCAACGTGAGCATCAGGGCGCGATCCACCGACCAAGGGTCAAGTTGTCAGGTTGAAGCCACCAGCTTGACGCCTAGAATCCTTTCAGCATCTTCCCCTGGCATCTTGGATTCTTCTCGTCATCTGTCTTGCTTCTAGTACATCGTCACACACAATGTCGGAAGAAACTTCGCCTCAAGCTACCAGATCGCCCAATCGAGTTGAGCAATCAGATGGCGGTATGAGCGGACCAATTTTCGCGGCAAAGAGGTCATGCATAACTTGCCGCCGTAGAAAAGTGAAATGCGACAAAAAGACTCCGTGCTCAAACTGTGCGCGTACAAAAATCGAATGCATATTTCCTGGTCCTGGTCGCGCGCCGCGCAAGAGCAGGAAACCGCCGGACGCAGAATTGCTGGATCGTCTGCGTCGACTCGAGGGTGTCGTGTCGAGTCTGAATGCGCAGGTCGAGGAGCATGAGCAAGAGGTGGCAAATCGGGAGAAGGTGCAAAATGGCAGTGTGACTGAGGAGAATTGCCGATTTTCCAATGGAAATCAGGGTGTCACAGCAGACAAGAGTGTTGTAGATCTAGAGAATCGCTTTGGCAGGCTGGTGGTGGAGAAGGGAAAGAGTCGTTACATCAACAACAGCTTCTGGGCGAGCTTGAACAACGAAGTACATCGAATCACATTCTCACTTGGGACGCGGACTATTGCTAATGACAGCAGGTCGAGGACCTCGAGGCCATCCTAGTCGAGTCTTCAGATGATGAGGATGAGGCGCAATCGTCCGAATCTTCATCCGCCTCACCATTTCAAGGCTTCGTCTTTGGATACAGCTCGCCAAACGTGGATATGCAGCAGTTGCATCCTTCTGAAACTCGGGCGCGCCAATTCTGGGAAGTTTTCAAAGAAAACGTCGACCCACTGGTGAAGATCCTGCACATCCCTACCTTTGAGCCCGTCTTTGATCAGGCTGCAAGTCAACTCAACAAAATCAGCAAAACCCTGGAGCCCATAATCTTTGTTACCTACTATGGTGCTGTGACAAGCTCAACACCTGAGGAGTGTCGCAACAAATGGGGTGAGGAGCGCAGTGCGATGCTGAGCCGCTATCAATTTGCAGTAGAGCAAAGCCTAGCCCGAGCCAACTTTTTGTGCTGTGAACAGATTGTTGTGTTACAGGCTTTTCTTCTGTTCTTGATGCTGCTTCGAAGAAACGACGATGCGCGCAAGATCTGGACCATGACTGGATTGGTTGTGCGAATCGCCCAGACATTAGGGATACATAGGGATGGTAGCCACTTCGGCTTGCAGCCATTTGAGATTGAGATGCGACGAAGACTTTGGTGGCAGATTTGTATACTGGATGTGAGATCGTCAGAAGATCATGGCTGCGATGCCACCATTGTCGAGGCGTCCTTTGATACTAAAATGGTGAATTGCACTTCATTCACGACTGCAGTCCGCTAACACATACATCTAGCCCCTAAACGTGAACGATAGCGACTTGCATCCAGGCATGACCGAGTTTCCCGAAGAAAGACAAGGGTACACCGATATGACGTTTTGCCTTCTACGATTCGAGGTAGCAAACATCTTTCGTCGCATCCACTATGTACCCCCAGGTCCTGCCGTCTGTACAGAATACTTTGCCGGCCTCTCAATGGCAGAAAAAGAGAAATGGATCACCGACTGTCATCAAGCAATGGAGAAGAAGTATTTGCAACACTGTGATATGTCAATACCATTGTGTTGGGTCACTGCGACAATTTCTAGGCTCGTTATGAGCAAGATGTGGCTGATTGTATATCATCCACACCAGCGTAAGGATGGAGGTAAGCTACGCACGCCTGGTACCTGATGCAACACTAACGGCAGTATAGGTGCGACTTTACCACAAGCAACAAAAGACAAGCTGTTCATTACCTCTCTCGAAAATATCGAGTACTCCATCTTACTCGAAACAGAAACCAGAACCATGAAGTGGGGATGGCTTTTCCGCACATATGTTCAATGGCACGCCATTGCATTCCTTCTATCTGAACTCTGTGTCCGTACCAAGGGTGAAGCGGTAGACCGAGCCTGGCGCGCTCTCGAAGCTACTGCTGGCCGATGGTGGTTTCCCCTCAACGAAAGCTCGACACATCGTAAAGGACAACAGGGTTACCTATGGAATCCTCTTCGGAAGCTACTTGCGAAAGCAAGAGCAGCACGAACAAGGGAACTCGCGCTGGAAAAGGCGAGCCAAGCCAGTCGGAATGAGCAGATCAGATACTATACAGAAGGCCTAGACAATCAACGTCCCCCTCCGGTCAGAGCGAATCGCCCAAGTACAGAGGGACTGGACAGGTTGCTTCGACCAGTAGCGCCGAAATTGGGTGAAATGCCACCTGCGCCACAACCCGGATGGCCTGATAACCTTCTGGTGGCAAACGCAAGTCCACAGCTATCAGAACGTGCATTTTCAAGCGCGAAAGAAAACGCTGGAGGACCACAGTGGCAGCAACAACGACAAAATTCGACGTCCAGAGACAGTCAAAGAGATGGTCTAGCTCTAGAGCAGAACCTCTATGAACTTTCAACCTTTGGACTTGACAGCGTAATAGTAGACGTCATGGAAGATCTCAACTACGGATACGAAGGAAACCCAATATCCACTTACTCTACCTATAGCCCATCTGTCCCTCAAGTATCTGTCCCAAGACCAACACAGCAACCACCACTTCCTGCACCAGCAATCGCACCCCATCCCTGTCCTCCAGACGGCGGTATGGATTCTGCAGAAGACGTTCCGCTATCCACATTATGCGACGGCATGTTTGGCAATGTAGAAATGGACTTTTCTACCATTCCGACCACCACTTCTATGCTGGATGCCACGAATCAGCCGAATCAGCCGAATCAGCAGACGGAGAGTCCGACGATGGATAGCGGGAACATGGACTGGACCCTTTGGGATGACATGGTGAATCAGTATGGGTTTGACGGTCAGACCGCTAATCCGGTGAATACAAATGGATCGGGGCATTTGGGAATGTTGCACTGGTTCTGATAGGTATGGCACCGAAGAGGAGAGGTCGTAATGATTTTGTACAGTGTAATGATGATTCATGATGCTGGACCGTGGGAGATACCTCGACTCAATCTTACAAGCTACCATATGATAGACGGTTGCGATTAGGTAGCCCTTGGCATTATTTTCGCATTCTATAAGTAAAGCAGCTTTTTAACTTGTCCGCTCTACCCCAGTTGAAGACCACGATGCAAGTACTGTGTTGACCACGACTGCACAGCCCACACCGAACCGGATGTGTACCGGTACCGTAGTACCCCGCTGTTAAGCCAAGCAAAAGATGAACCTGTTGAGTCTTGATTTCGCTGACCAATATACCTGTACCGCTCCTTTCACTTGCTGGGTGATTTTGGCAAAAAGATCAATGCCTTTATAATAATATTCCTGATTACCACCGAGCCATGCAGTGCCCGCAGCATCAAGCCGAGCCACGTGTATACCAAGTCCGAACATATCTATGCGCTGATAACGTTAGTTAAGGCCACCCCTGTCTTCACCGCTTGAAAGCGCACGGCTCCATCCCACCACAATCATTATTACTTTGAATTTCGTCATTCAAGTCTCAGAATTCAAGCGTTTCTTTTTTTAACAGCTGCGAATAGGATACATCAACGTTGCTGTTAGCAAGAAAATTGATACATACCGAGACCTTCTGTCATTGATACACAGAACGAACACGTGGGATCGTGGTGAGCTGGGTCGTGGATAGTTGATAAGAGCTATCCAAATCTGCGACTGGGTACTTGTGTGAGCTCATTGTCAGCGTCATCCTCGTCGATCTTCTGTTGTTCTTCTTCTTCTTCTTCTTCTGCTTGCATTGGTTAACCGATTTTGCATCCATCTTCTGTACTCTCCTCTGCAAGAATACCTAATTACACAACCATGACCTCAACGCCAACTCCCCAAGACTCAGGTCTCCCCTCTGCTCCACACAAGAAAAAAACTTTGTCTTTAGCAACTATCTCAAAAGCAACGCCGACTTCAAAGCCAACCATTCTGCATCTGGGCGATGATATCCGTTGGAATCACGAACTGTATGAGGAGTTGAAGAGCAAGTTCCACGTGGAAAGAACGTATTCGATAGGAAGAGAAGAATTCAAAAAGGCATTGAAAGAGAAGAAATGGGGCGATTTTGTGGGCATGTACAGACCATTCTGGAACACAGGGGGTGAAATGGGCAATTGGGATGAAGAACTCATGTTCGTCTTAAATTCCACTCTACCAAAACGTTCTAACGAGCTGCACACTGGGAGTTTCCCCACGAGGCTAGGGAGGAAGAAGAAATCAATAAATATAAATTTGAACTAACAACACACAGTTCTCTCCTTCCCCCATCCTGCAAAATCTACGCCTCGGCCGGCGCAGGTTTCGACTGGGTCGACACACGCACCCTCACCGCCCACGGCACCATTTACTGCAACTCAGCCTCCGCCTGCACCGAGTCCGTTGCCGACGCCGCCATCGTCCTCATCCTTTCCTGCTACCGCGCGATCCCTTGGTCCTTCCTCGCCGCGCGGTCCTGCTCGCCTGATCAATTCCGCAATGCAAACCAGAACATTGCAGCCGTGACGCACAATCCCAACGGCAGCACGCTGGGCATCGTCGGGCTGGGCCGCATCGGGTACCGAATCGCGGAGAAGGCGACGCGTGCGTTTGAGATGAAGATTGCGTATCATGATGTTGTGAGGATGAGGGAGCGGGAGGAAGCGGTCGGAGCGCGGTGGTGTGCTAGTCTGGAGGAGCTGTTGCGGTCAAGTGATTGCGTGCTTCTTGCTACGCCGTTTAGTGGCCAGGTATTACTGGCTTCGAAGGAGTTTGCGCAGTTCAAGCGTGGGGCTCGGCTTGTGAATATCGCACGGGGGAAATTGGTGGATGAGGAGGCGTTGAATCAGGCGTTGGATGAGGGGGTGGTTAGTGCGGCGGGGCTGGATGTGCATGCTAATGAGCCGGTTGTGAATGAGCGGTTGGCAAAGAGGGATAATGTTATGGTGTTGAGTCATACAGCGGGGGCGAGTGTGGAGAGTCATATTGGGTTTGAGAGACTGGGTATGGAGAATCTACTTGGGTGGCTGGAGAAGGGGGAAGCTGGGCTGCTGAGTCCGGTGAATCTTCAGTGGCTCAAGAGGGGTTGAAGAAAGATTGTGGAAGAGGCTAGATATAAGAGTGTAGAGACCAGATTAAGATATGATATCTTCCCTGGCCGTTCAACGAAGCGTGGGTGGTCATGGCTTGTACTCGACGCACATCCGAGATCACTCCTCCGAGAATGACGTGGAATACTATTTGACCCGCCGAGGCAAGACTTGTCAATCGAGTTTTCCAGCCTATGTATTAGCTTCCACACAGGATACTTCAATCAACGGTCCCAGCAAAGTGCACGATTAGCACATTTATGTTATTTATAATGCTTCATGAATTGAGACGGCAATACTGGTCATGACACAGTGACAGGATGGGCAAATCTGCTGGTGTTCGTAATTTCTCGGTAGGCTCGTCTTCTTTTCATCCTGAATTTCTCTCGTTGTCGGTGTGTGAGACTACCTAGCCTATAGGTCAAATCTGGGCACGAAAGCGAAGTGACGCAAACCACAAGAGCCAAAACCCGAGATGAATAGAAGTAGAAACGCCAATGCTCAAAGCATTTGCCTAGAAAGAAAGACATGCAACAGTTGCAGTTGCCAGAGAAACAGGGCAACTAGGAAAGTTGGACCCAGTCAGTTGTACTCCAGTGTTGCACAGGCAAGAGTATGCACTCCACTCACTAAATTGCAGTGGTGTTAAGGTAACTTAACGAGATACACTCTCATACGCAAGGGGTTCATTGGGCTTCCAAAAGATATAAGATGAGCTGAATCCATGTGAACGATATAGACTTGGCCGGGCATTAGCCAAGTACCTGTAGCAGTAATAGATTGAAGCCCTGTCACGGTTTGAGTCTATGTTATTTACCGCGAAGTGCATGATGATCAGTAATTTGTTTGCAAGTCGAAGGTAATGGTTATATGAATATGCAATGCAGCTCCAGCATATATAAAGGCAGTGACTAGTAGAACAGTGATGGGCTGGCTGGCGTGTAGTGCATCAGTAATACCATCACGTGATGTTTCTGGGCCCACTTAAATTATTCTGGTGACTTGAAGACGCCCAACGTCACCGCCAGGCCGCGCGCACGAGGTCAAAAACGTCGCCCATGATAGTCCGATAGCACAAAAAGAAACTGCTGTACAAGATGGCGTCAGCCGTGGCATCTGCACCTGTACCCAAAGACGAAGCGCCCGAAGTGAAGAACGAAGTCGTCAGCCCCGCCGATGCGCTCTACGACAAATGCGCGCTGCGGTCGCAAGGCACCGTCTTCTTCCAGCGCGACCTGTCGAACATGCAAGTCGCAGAAACCATGGGCGAGCTAACAATGCTCCTACAAGAACTATGCGACCGTCACCTTATGAAGCTGATGACGCTGGAGGGAGAGCCTTGCTGGAAGCTGCGATCGCGGTCAGATGCGGATAAGTATGTTGGATTCCATGCCTCTGAAGGCAGCTCGGCCATGCTAACCTACTTGTTTCAAGACTTCGACGCCTGACGGCCGATGAACGCCTGCTCTATCACCACATTGACCAAGTCCAAGCCGAGGGCATTTGGTCCAAAGCCCTCCGATCGCGAACCAACGTAACACAGCAAGTGCTGACAAAATGCCTAAAGAGCTTGGAGTCGAAAGATCTGGTGCAGTCGGTCATGAGTGTCAAGTATCCCAATCGGAAGATGTACCTCTTGAAGCATCTGCAGCCATCAGAGGATATCGCCGGTGGCCCATGGCAATCAGAAGGCGACTTCGACACCGCCTTGATCGACACAGTTGCTGGTATTGTAGCCCAGCACATTGAGCATGAGACCTGCATCAAAGTCCCTGGAAACTGGAACGAGTATGCGCGACCAGACCGCACGGCAGCCATCGCACAGAAGAAGGCCCAGGTGCAAGGCATCCAAGACATCGAAGAAGCCCCCGCCGTACAACCCTACCATCGCTCCAGAGACCCCAACACATCGAGACTAGTCCACAAAAATAACCCACAATACCCGACCGCAGCCTCGGTCGCCGAATGGCTCAACTCAAAGGGGGTTCTACGAGGCAAGTTTGTAAGAGAAGACGACATGGAACAGCTGCTCGAAATGATGGTCCTCGACGGCCGACTCGAGAAGATCTCGGGCACAAACTACCGCACCGTGTTGACGGCGAGCGAGACCAAAATGTTCAATGGTTTCGTGGACGCGCCGTGTGGGAATTGCCCCGTCTTCGACCTCTGTGGCAACGAAGGAGAGATTTCTGCGCGGACTTGTGTCTACTTTGGTCAGTGGCTTGAGACGCAGTCGGAGGAGATTTGACAAATGTGGGCTTTTTTCTTCTTCCCCATGAGAGTTGTACAAAGCATAGCGATGGCGTTTAGGGTTATGACATGTAGCCCCCATCTCCCTTCAAGACTTCTGTATTGTTACGGGGCCAATCGAGGTGTTGTGATTATGTACTGCGTTGAGGTAGCTAAAAACATTCGCATTACCTGAGCATGAATTCTAGAAAGTTTTTGACTATATATCTCCGTGAGACATTTAAATTGCAATTTTGTCAAACACACATGTCCAAAACAGACGACTTGAACCACCCAGCATAAACCATATATCCACGCTGGACAGTGCGACAAGACGAAGCTGTGAAGATGTGTTGCTCAATCCCCTTTCCCTTAGCATGACTACAACGGTGTCCCAGAGGCTAAGATTGCGCAATTAGACCTGCCACGATAACACGTCCGTTTCATGTTACTTGAAAACATATTGATATTAAGTTTCCCTTTGTGAATCTCCAAAAGACCATGCCATCAGTAAAAGCAACACTCCCACAAAAAAAAACGCCCAAAATATGCCGCTCTCAAAGGACAAGAACCCAAAAAGTTCTTTATAAAATCTCAATGTCCACAATCACAAGCCTCTCCGTGCAGCGCATGTCTCTTTCTAAAATCCCCACTGTAACTCGCCATGTGCGTCTGGCCGTCCAACCGCTGGCCCTCGGCTGGTATCTTGCCCATCCAACTCACTTGCTCGCCCGCTGCATCTGTAACCTTGAGTCCAACGCCCTTCTCTCTTAGTTCCTTGGTCACGGCATCAACATCCACGTCTAGATATTCATACAGGAACCTTCCAACCTCGGTATTTTCGTGGTTTCCCACCAGTGCTTTCGCGGCCTCGGGGTCGGAAGAGTATATGTTTACGTCTGCGGCGCTATGCCCGTGTGTACTCCAGCCCGTTTGGCTACGGCGGGACATCATGTCCGCGTATTGGTACAAAGCTGTGGGGGGATCGGCAAGCAGGTCCTTGACTTCATCGTCGGTGTAGTCCTGGATACCGAGACCATTGGCGATCGATTCGCGTATGAAGTCGCGTTGTTGGTCCTTCGAGGGCGACGATTGGAGGTACTTTGCGTATTCCAGGGCGAGACGCTCGGCGGAGTGAGATGCGTTAGCCAAAGGGGATGGGAACCATACGTATTCTGGGTACGAGGTGTGAAGTTCTGTCACATCGTTAGAAGGCTTATCAAGGGGGCTACTCGGGGGGCGACTTACGTCGAGCAGTGGCCAGACCACCAGTCTCGTGGTCCGAGGTAGAAACCATGACAGTTTGGGTCTCCTCGTTCTTGATAAAGTCAAGAACGCTGGTGAAGGCGCGGTCGTAGGCGAGGACTTCGTGGACTTGAGCGGCTGGATCGTTGTGATGGCCTGCATGGTCGATGCGCGAGCTATTGGGAGTTAGCAACCGAAGTGCAAAGATGAATGGGAGCCTCACCCTTCGATCATGAGGAAGAATCCCTTTTCACTGTCGCGAGTGGCTTGGCTGAGCGCTTTCATAGCGGTTTCGGCCATCTCATGGAGAGAGGGATATACGTCATTCTCGTTGCGGCGGTCGATCTCATAGGGAATATCTGTGTCGGCGAAAAGTCCTAGCATAGGAAAGTCGAGCCCGTCTCCACCTTTCAGATTGTCAAAGGCCGCACGATCGGATATGTAGTTGAAGCCGTTATCTTTAGCCAGTTGCACGATGTCCTTATCATCGGTTCGGCAGGATAGGTCGGCACTCGAGTTGGGCAAGAAGTGACAGCGTCCACCTCCAAACATGAGATCCACAACACGTCCAAGAGGATAGTCGCCGACCATTTGCTCTGCAATTCTATCCTCTTCTTGGCGCATGTTGACGTGTGCCGCAAAGCAGGCAGGCGTTGCGTCGGTTATTCTCGTCGTCACTACGAGTCCCGTCATGTATCCTGCTTTCTTCGCGGCCTCTAATACTGTTCCGCATGGCTCGTGGTCCGGCGTCACGGAGATGGCGCCGTTGTAGCTCTTCTGTGCGCATGAGAAGGCCGTCGCACCGGCGGCCGAGTCTGTGATCAGCGAAGACGATGAACGTGTCCGCGACTGTCCGATGAGGTGCTGGTCAATCACCAGCTGCTCACTGAAGGGTGCCCCATTCTGCAACTGCATGAAGCTGCGTGTCAGGCTCAGACTTGTGGGGCCCATGCCATCTGACACCATGAAGATCAAGTTCCTCTTTCCGCTCACATGGGGGCGTTTAGTATCCCCGCTCTTCTGGAATACAACTGCGAGGATGATGACGCCTGCTGTAGCTATCACCGCCCACACAAACAGGCCAATCTCACGCCAAAACTTCCATGTTCGTGGGGCAGACTCAGTCGCTCGTTGTGTCGGTCGTCCAGTCAAGAGGGCGTCTTCCTCAGCAATGTCGCGGCCGCCAGAGATGTCGGAAGAAGCACGGTTGGAGAGGAGAGGACGGGCACCAGACATGATGGCAATGAGAGTCTCACAGAGACTGCGCAGGATCAAGCAAAAAGGAGCAAAGGAGTGTTGGTGAGTTCAAGCCATGTTATCGGAGAGTGTCATGCGGCCGCTGGTGAACGTCAGCTTGTCACAGGGTGCAGCGGCTGATCGTCCAGTAGCTTGGTGGAAGCGGCAACGCGTGGCTTGGCGCAATGGGCTGTCATATCTGGTCAACTTGGTGTACTATGTATTAATCTATCATCTAGACGTAGAGCATGGCTTTGACCATGAATTGGGCCTCGCTGTGGACCAAGGGCACATTCATTGAGACTATCATCAGAGAACTTGACGTCTGCGTTCGTAGTCCTACAGGTTATGGCCTCACTTGTAGCAACTCTACCCCCGTAAGCAGCTCAGCAATGCCTAGTACCTACAGCTTCGTCAACGACCCCTTTGCTAGCCTGAAGGCATCATTCAGCGGTGAAATGATTTCCAAACCACGCTCTTGGAGTGGCAGAGTATATTGATTCAGACGCCTTGTTACCTGCAAATCGACCGGCACGCGAATGCGTAAATTGACCACGGAAAATCTCGTGTAAAGACGTCATCGAGGATCCAAGATGAACTATGGATGAGTGTTGAACCTAGCTATGGTGCTAGTGAGAAAGAAATGGCACTGCGTACGTAGACACTATGGCACTGATAGGCAAGCATCTCGGGTAGATCAACGCGGCAGACAGCAGAGTCGTGTCATGTGCTTCCACATTGCAGAACACAGTACTTACTATATGCGGTAGAATCACTTCATTCTTGCAGCTGAATGCCGCAGGGTGTACATCCACCATGATGCCCAAAAGACAGCTCCCTGGTTCATGAAATATAAATGAGGGAGCTGTGTGATATTCTTGAGATTTTCAGTAGCGTGTCGGACGGGGCGGCCGAGTCGATTTTAGTCCCCAACCGGTTCAGTATATAGGCACACAAGAAAAGATATGTGCACCTGTGAGTTTCTCCATACATTCATTCAAGAAAATGGCATTGAGAGAGAATGAGGCAAGATGTCCATGGTCAAGATGATGGTGAAGATGCAGATTGGTCTCGGGAACGTTGACGCTAACCTGTTCTCGGCCACTAGCGTGGACGGCGTTTAGCGCGCCCACATTCTCTTTTTCGGCCCTGAGCCCTGACGCCCGCAACCTCATCGCGAGAAGACGATAATCACCAGACGTACGTTCAAGGCCAAACTGCTGAATCTATCACTCACACTGACCTCGACATTTTAGATTCAGGTATGCATCTTCCACTCGCGCGCTCGTCGCTCATCTGCGACTCCTAATCGCTACGCAATCCGCACTTCGCTCGACGCACAACGGCCTTCTCACACTCGTACAGATTTTCCACTCGAACCTCTGAACATCACTCAAGATGACGGACTCACGCGTACGTAACTTGGACATGCAAACTGCTTGGAATACATGAACTGACTCTGTTCACCTCCAGCTTACCTACAGGCGTCGGATGTATGCCAATCTACCTCACCCTCCCACGGCCAAACTTGCTGACCTGTACACAGGCCTTACAACACCAAGAGCAACAAGACCAGAGTATTGCGCCTCCCTGGTGGAAAGCTCTCCCTGCAGCACTTGAAGAAGAAGGGAACCGCCGTCAAGCAAGTCATGTCCAATGCAGACCAGATTGGGACTTCCAGCTAACTCCAGAAAGGTGCGGTGACTGCGGCACCAAGCTCGCCGGTATCCCTGCTCTCCGTCCCCGCCAGTACGCCACCGTCTCCCGCCCAAAGAAGACCGTCCAGCGCGCATACGGTGGATCGCGATGCGCCAACTGCGTCCAGGACCGCATCGTCCGTGCTTTCTTGATTGAGGAGCAGAAGGTTGTCAAGAAGGTGCTCAAGGAGTCTCAGCAGAAGAAGCGCTAAGTGTGGCAAGGAGGGTTGAAGGGGGTTCGCATGTCAAAACTGGGTCAATCGGTGTTCATGTGCATTATGGGCAGTTTCCTGGTTCGGTCGACTTTTACGATATCACGGCGACACAGTTGTGTCATTCCGCCAGGACAGTAGCTTAGTAGGGTCACGAATGCATCCGCAAGCTATGAAGTTGTCTTGTTGTGGGCCGTCTGGTCATGTGGAACGGTCAACCTGAGGTTGTAACAAGTGCTCGCGCATGTGCATTTGTAGAGATGGCGTGTCAATGAAGCTTTGTGAGGCCGTGCCTATAACAGTCGCAGCTTGCCACCGACTCTACCCATGAATGTTGAAGCCTCGTTTAATGTATAGTCCCTATCCCTCGAATTGATGCATATGCCGCCTAATGTCTAGCCCTGACTGCAGACCCGTCCACTACATATGCCGCCCCCGAATCCATAGGTAGTCTTGGCCGGTGTGCTTGAGTAGTACCGATGGTGGAGTAGAATGCTCGAATACGGATGCTTCAAGCTCTGCAGCGTACATGCTCGGTTAAAGTGAGCACAGCAGAGACTTGGATAGGGAGGTCCAAAGGTTGTGTACCTATTACCTACTCTACCTAGGTACCTAACTTTATGTTGGAACCAAGCAGGAATGCATGAGGCGACTAGTAACGACCAAGACACCTGCATCCTTGCAACCCACCCCATGCCACATGGTGAACACCTATGCGAAGAGCACAAGCATGGCCCCAAAAGCTTCCAGATGACTCCCGAGGTCCCGTTACTTGAGTCTTGTCATCCCACCCCCAGCAAGACTCTTGCTGGGTGAATTCCCCCAGAGCTTTAGCCGGACATTTGCGGTGAAAACGCGACGGGATGGCCTCGCGAAATTTAATTCGTCCACCTGATTTCGACCCACCGCCAAAGGTTGACCCATTGGTGTACTACACAGTCGCAGTAGTCTACCGCGGCGTTCTGCATGGACATTGTAGCTTGCGACAAGGCCATCATACGCGCATTCCAGCTGCCAGCAGACTCCAACAACGTTTTGTCCGCGAGGCTGGCAAGATTCCTCCACCACAGGGCCTCTGCTGATCGACTGCCTAACCTTTTCCTCCCCCCCCCCCCCCCAACCGCCGAGCCCCTACCGCTGATCGACTTCTCCACGGCCGCAACATTGGGGTCGACAAACTATGTTGTCAATTAGGCCTACGACTCCAAATGGCGCGCAAGGCAGTCTGCAGCATCCTTTCTCCCCAGCCAGTGCGCACGCGCGGGGGTTCAAGCGCTCTGCTTCGACCGACGACGACCAGGACCATGATGGAGAGACCCGACCATCTTCGCGGCGCAACACGGCCGTCAAGCGCGCATGTAATGAATGTCGCCAGCAGAAGGTAAGTGCTTCCAGCCTCATGTCTTGGTCCAGGGCCCGGGGCGCATCTGCAGCGCCCTATGTATTCTCCCAATACCTTGATGCGCACCGCTCCAACAAATGTTTCCATATCTCGAGTGGGGTTGGCGCTCCCGTACCTAACTTGTCGCCAACAGCCACGAGGGCGCACAGTTTCACGTCGCCTTGCAGGCACTGGCCCACGATCAATGTCCAATGTCTCAAACGGCTGCTAACAGTACATGCTGCAGCTCAAGTGTAACGTCCAGCAAGACCCCTTCGTGAGCTGTGCCCGCTGCCAAAAGCAAGGCCTACGATGTGTCATCGAACCCAACTTCAAGCGTGTCGGCAAGCGCAACCGCAACGCGGAGATGGAGAAGGAAATGGAGTATCTGCGAGAACGACTCGCCATGTACGAAGGACAGTCAACGCCCAATACGCAGCCCGGTCGGACTGCGTCGCACGCAAAATCGGACGTTCACATGTTCACACCGGGCACCATGCCGAAACTGGAAGACGACGCCTTTCTCCAGACACAACACCAACAGGTGGCGGCGACGTCGCTATTGGACCTGCGCAGCGGCTCTCCCATGTTCTTCTCATTAGGTTCGGGAGAGGTGCGCCTGGGCCAGAACGAAGTCAATGACCTGTTCGCCGAATACTTTCAGCTATACCACCCATTCCTCCCGTTTCTAGACCCAGTACGCTCACCAGAGGAGTACTACTCGCAAGATCATAAGTTGCTGTTTTGGGCTGTCGTTGCGGTCGCTGCTCGTCGCTATGGGCCACGTCCAACCCTTCTCAAGGATCTAGCGAAGCCGCTGGGCGACCTGATTTGGGATTCAATACGCAACCAGCCAAATCACCATGTTGTCAAGGCGCTGTGTCTGCTTTGTACATGGCCACTGCCGGCCGAGCGAACCGTCACCGACCCCACATTCATACTAAGCGGCACGATGATGCAGATTGCGATGCAGATTGGTCTGCACCAGCCTACACATCCTCAAGACTTCTCACGGACCAATGTACGGCTGCAGCAGGAGGACATACATGATCGACTGCGGACATGGGCCGTCTGCAATATTGTAGCTCAGACGTAAAGCCTCCCTACCTTTCTTCAAGCTAACTAATGGCTCACTATGGACAGGGTATCGACAGGCAACGGACAGCCTTCGATTACACTCTACGACTCGACTTTGGATTTCAAGGTGGACGATGAAGAGCACATGCGGATAATACCGCCTACACTGTTTGTACGGCTGCGCCAGGAGATGGCTGTCAGCAGGATCAACAAGTTACTATATTCAGCGAATAGCCATGGGTTCGCGGAAGGCGCTGCATCAAGTTACATGACGCTTGAGGCAGATCGCCTGAAAGAGGAGCGTGTGAAGGAGCATCGTGGTTCCCTCGATGGCGTGGATAGCGGTACAGTGGAGACCGGCGCACACGTCATTTTAGATTGTATAGCTGACACGATACCAGATCTTGAAGAATTGTATCACTATGCGGTTTCATTACATCTCCATCTTTACTCCTTCTTCAGTCCAGAAACGCGACTCGAACGCCGAGACGATCTGGTGGCTCTCTATTTCGCTGCAACAGCCTATCTGGAACGTGTGTTCAAACTGCAACGCGAAAACAAATTACCTCATGTTCCCCATTACGTCATGCAAATGGCTTTGGCCGCTGGATTCGCCCTCCTCAAACTCCTCAACTCCGACTTTGCCACCAAACTACCTACTGATCGAGGTCGCCAGTTTGTTCTGCAAACAGTAGATGCTCTGCGCAAGGCCAAAGTATGGTCCAATGATCTCCTGGACCGCTTCGCCGAAGTCCTGGCCCAGCTCTGGAAGGAGAGCTCGCGAGGGCGCAGTCTTCATAGCCTTTCACAGTCGCCATCGCTCAGTAATCCCGGCATGGGCAGCATGTTCAACCACCACACCCAGCAGCAAATGCAACGGCAACAGCATGAGCATAGGAGAGATAGCACAGCTATGATGAACGACCCTCTTGGCCTTATCATCCGCAGTCGCATGAGTATGAGCGTCCTATTTGACTGTGTATGGCGATGGCGTGAAGCACAAGTCAGTGGTGCAGCCGAGCAGCTCGATTCCATGGTCATGAATAACCCTACCAACCCTGACTCATCAGGGCACTCTACACCGCCACCAGGAGCGGTAGTGGATAATCCTGCACATACCTTACCGAACTTCAATCCTCATCTCAACACACTTAGCATGCCCTTGCAACTCCCGAACGGACTTGCGAGTGCTAACAGTTATGAGTTCTTCGACTCGGTGTCGTGGATGCTAGAGACGCAGTCGGATTGGAATACCTATGGAGCGGGCAACTTCGGGAACGACTTTGGCACCTAAGAGGTGCCTTCTCATCCAACGTCAAACATAACGACTGTGTTACAAATCGAGAACTTGTTCTGATCGGATAACATCCTTAAAAACCCTTGACCTGTGGACTGTGGAATCCCCTAGCGGCCCAGGCAGGATGCGTGGACACATCTGGGAGGTCGAGCCTTGTTTCGAAGCGATATCTCCTCGAACCGTCGTCACCATGTAGTGTTTCTTCCTCGTGCATTCAATCGATCAGCCAGGAGCGAAGGATGCACCTTGTGCATATCCACGACATTATGGGCCTCAGCTCCCAAGTGCGTGCGTCCTAATCATTAGATCGTCTTTCTTTCTATCATTTTCTGAATCCTTAGCGTGGCGTTGCGGTGTCTTTGGGGATGGTTTTGGACTGGGTTTTGTCGAGTTACAAGATTGTGTGCTCGCTTCTATTGCACCAGTCATCTACTACCGCAGTGCGCCACGCCGTGGTTGTAAAATATGATACACCATAAGTACCTGGTGTAATTCATTTAATATCTGATCATATCCTGTGCCTGCGGAAATAAATGATCAGTGGATGAAAGAATTTAGTGCTTCAGCCCGTATTGTTGCAAAAGAAGAAGAAGCAGATTGCGTGGATGCATGGCGCACTCGCAGTTGACACCTGTAAGCAGGGCAATTGCAGACTTTCCCACTTCCTTTTTCAACTCCTTTTCGCCATTGCATTGATGCATCTGACCTTGATCAAATCCACTACACAGTGCTATTGCTATATGTATGTTCAAATCTATAGTGGTACCACTCGACGTTTATCAGCATTTTTTTTACGCTGGGCACACATCTTCCTTCATCAACGTGTTGAGTAAATTTCCTACCTCCTCCACAGCGCGCAAAATCTACACATTACGTACGATATAGAACTTTCTGCTGGCATCGACAGCAACACTCATAACAAACTTGATACTCGTCGGGCGACAATAGTATCGATACTGAGCTTTGATGGTATACTCGCTGTTACTCTTTACGTCGTCCTTGATTCGCAACATCTGTATACCGCACACCTCACTTGCCGCGCTTGCTAATGCGCCTGCCCATTAGCTGATGATCCCCGGTCAACTCACTCTTCCATCAATAGCATCTTCCATGATAGCATCAAGAATTCATTGCACTGGCTTCGCAATGCCGCACTGCCACAAATACAACAGCTACGGTCGGAATCTCCGGACGCTTACCATACTACATACTTTTCGGATCATGACGATTATCCCGCTCCTAACGATGCTTATCTGGCACATCTCTACCACCCTCCGAGTAGAGCAATTCAATATGCCTTCGACATGGGAGACCGACTTTGCGAGGCCACACTGGCAGGGATGGAAGACCGGTGTTTGGGCCATGATATTCGCCGTAGTGACTCTAGATCTAGGGCATGCTTTGTGGAATTTAGGGAGGGTCCATCGTGGTGGCAGAGATGGTGAGTAGCTGTTACAGCCAACGCCCTCAAAGATGTGTGGATTTTGATGGCTGACGAGAGAAATAGAAACCGAGACACTTACGCCGGACACTATACCCCCGGCAATGACCCCATCAACGATGCCCGACCTTCAAAAGCTAGTATCTCCAGCTTCCTCAAACCCTTGCGGCCTACGCTTCCTGCTTATCCACATAGCCTTCCACATCCTCGCCATCACCAGTTATGCTCTGCACATCTACTCCTATGTTTCCAGTCTTCAACCCAGCTTAAGTTCCTGCAACGATTACCGCCTTCAAGAAGACTGGCTAGCATATGTAATACGTCACCCAGGGCAGAAGATCTCATTCCAAGATCGATGCATAAGGATGAATTGGAGTATATGGGTCGCAGGGGGCTCTTCTTGCGCATGCGCGCTGATCATGAGTCTTTTGCATCTTGCCACCTTGGCGACAAGATTGTGGGAGTTCCTGTCGGCTCGTACAGGTTGGTGGATAGAAGACTATGGAGGGAATGGAGAGAAAACTAGAAGCAAGGCTGGGAACAACAAGCAGTGGGTGAACGTTGACCCAAGAGATATCGATGTCAGACTACGAGGTCGGCACCAGGCCTCAACGCGAGTGACATCGAGTTTGGCGATGAGCACATCTAGCCAAGGAGAGTCTGGTTTGAGGAGAAGAAAAGATTCAAAGAGCGAGAGTGAACATGAGGTTTGCAGGACTGATTCGGCGTGGAACGAGACGCTGCTAGAGTGCTTGGTACCGTGAAATGTGTAGGTCAATACGACAGAGCTTCCATAGTATGCTTGTGTGGGTAGGTTGCAATGGGCTTGGTCTTGTATTTGAATCCCTAGTGGAAAAGAATATATCGGTATTGATTTAATGATCAACTCAATTATCTGGACACGATTTGTACACGCTTGAGGACTGATACCGGTACCGTTACCGGTACCGCATGGCCTACCAAACTTGGCTACTTTTGTGTTATTCCATTTCATACTCTATTTAAGAAATTTCCACATTAAATGATGAGATGGTCGACGAACAAAGATTTCTAAGTTTTTCACGAAGAGAAGTGCAAATGGTCTTGGTCTTGTCATTGTCGAAGAGGGCGCGGCCGCCGGTGCATATCAATCGCTTGGCAGGGCTCCACTAGCAATCATGGAAGTCACGCTAGCTATGTCACGTGCGCAACTCCTGCCTGATCGCGAACCTTTGCTTTTTGCCAGGATACTTTTGATCGCCAAACCCGCACGACGACGCGCGCCCACAACAACGCCGTCCTCTGTGCACCCGCATCCCTTCACAGTTGCGCATCCAAATCTTGCGGGGACACGTGCGCGCTTACGCGACTTTCCTTCGTTCACGGCGGCGCTGTTGCGCGCAGAGTCGAAGACTCGCCTCCCCGGAGCTCATCTGAGAGCGTTGCGCATTCGAGTAAGAGAGCAGTCCGACGCGCGAGGCCATATTATCAAGAGGTATGTCGTTCATTCCTGTTAAAGCTTCCGTTTGATTGGAAATGCCATCCAATCCATATCATTTCCATTTCCCCCTCCCACGTCTTTTATCACTGCCAGCTTTCCGGCCTATGACACTCTCACGCCCAGCATTTTCAAAACGATCAAGCAACTGACATAATATACAGTCACCCATCTGTAAGAGGTACGCAGAATGTCGTGGCAACCTCCACCCCCACCGCCTCCCTCAGGCCCACCAGGGTTTGACTATGTGCCGCCACCTCCACCCCCTCCAGGTGCGCCTGGTACCGTTGGTCCTCCCGGTATGCGTCCGCCCATCGACCCTCAGACCGCCAAGTTTGCGCAGAAGAAGAAGGACTGGCTGCGCTCACAGCGACAGAGATTTGGTGAGAGGCGCAAGGCAGGATTCGTGGAGACGCAAAAGACCGACCTGCCACCGGAGCATCTGCGCAAGGTCTTCAAGGATATTGGCGATGTATCACAGAAGAAATTCACAACCGACAAACGCAGTTATCTCGGAGCGTTGAAGTTCATGCCGCATGCTGTATTAAAGCTTCTGGAGAACATGCCTATGCCCTGGGAGAGTAGGCGAGATGTCAAAGTCTTGTATCATACCAATGGCTGTCTGACGCTAGTCAATGAGGTACCTCGCGTCATTGAGCCCGTCTTTCACGCACAGTGGGCGGCGATGTGGCTTGCGATGAGAAAGGAAAAGAGCGATCGTCGCCACTTCAAGCGCATGCGCTTCCCGCCCTTCGACGATGAGGAGCCGCCGCTTTCATACTCGGAGAACATTGAAGACGTCGACCCTCTCGAGCCTATTCAGCTGGAACTGGACGAGGAAGAGGATGGCCCCGTCTACGACTGGTTCTACGATCATCGTGCGCTCCTCGACACCCCACATGTAAACGGCCCCAGCTATGAGACATGGAATCTTGATCTGCCTCAGATGGCCACACTCTATCGTCTGAGTCGTCAACTGCTTAGCGACATTGTCGACAAGAATTATTTCCACATGTTCGAAATGAATAGCTTCCAGACGGCAAAGGCGCTAAACGTTGCGATACCAGGAGGACCACGATTCGAACCACTTTACAAGGACATCGATCCGAATGACGAGGACTTTGGCGAGTTCAATGCTATCGACCGTATCATCTTCCGCGCCCCAATCCGAACCGAGTATCGTGTATCATATCCTTACCTATATAACTCTCTGCCACGAAGTGTCAAGCTATCGTGGTATTCGTATCCACAGACTGTCTATGTTCGCACAGAGGACCCAAGTCTGCCCGCATTCTACTTCGATCCCATCATCAATCCGATCTCATCGCGAGCTGTCGCGCCAAAGAACATCTCTATAAGCCACGAGGACCTAGTGTTTGGCCCGGGAAATGATGAAGATGATGAAGATGACTTTCAGATGCCGGAAGACATAGAGCCATTCATGGCTGATGAAGAGCTTACCACACCTGACACCGCCTCTGCAATTGCTTTGTGGTGGGCACCACATCCTTTCGACAAGCGCTCCGGCCGTATGGTAAGGGCACAAGATGTCCCACTCGTAAAACAGTGGTACCTCGAGCACGTTCCTGCAGGACAGCCTGTCAAAGTTCGAGTCTCATACCAGAAGCTCCTCAAGACTTACGTTTTGAACGAGCTTCATAAGAAGCCTCCGCAGGCGCAGAACAAGCAGAATCTGATGCGGACACTTAAAAGCACCAAGTTCTTTCAGCAGACTAAGATCGACTGGGTTGAGGCGGGTTTGCAAGTTTGCCGACAAGGTTACAACATGCTCAACCTGCTCATTCACCGCAAGAACCTCACATATCTCCATCTAGACTACAACTTCAACTTGAAACCCATCAAGACACTCACCACAAAAGAGCGGAAGAAGTCTCGTTTTGGAAATGCTTTCCATCTGATGCGAGAAATCTTGCGCTTGACTAAGCTCATTGTCGACGCTCAAGTTCAGTACCGCCTGGGCAACATTGATGCTTTCCAGCTTGCGGATGGTATTCTGTACGCCTTCAACCACGTCGGTCAGCTGACTGGTATGTACCGTTACAAGTACAAACTGATGCATCAGATTCGTTCTTGCAAAGATCTAAAGCATCTCATATACTATCGGTTTAATTCAGGTCCCGTTGGCAAAGGTCCGGGTTGTGGTTTCTGGGCGCCTGCCTGGAGAGTATGGCTATTCTTCATGCGAGGAATCATTCCTCTGCTCGAGCGCTGGCTCGGAAACTTGCTGTCTCGCCAATTCGAAGGTCGACACAGCAAGGGCGTTGCAAAGACCGTGACCAAACAGCGAGTGGAATCCCACTTTGACTTGGAGCTCCGTGCTGCTGTTATGAGTGATCTTATGGACATGATGCCAGAGGGAATCAAGCAGAACAAGGTTAATACCGTTTTGCAGCACTTATCAGAAGCTTGGCGATGCTGGAAGAGCAACATTCCATGGAAGGTGCCCGGCCTACCTGCGCCAATCGAGAATATTATCCTGCGATACGTAAAAAGCAAGGCTGATTGGTGGATCTCCGTGGCGCATTACAACCGTGAGCGCATTCGGCGAGGTGCTACCGTTGACAAGACGGTCGCTAAGAAGAACCTGGGACGATTGACTCGTTTATGGCTCAAGGCTGAACAAGAGCGTCAGCACAACTACATGAAGGACGGTCCATATGTATCTTCCGAGGAAGCGGTTGCCATCTACACAACAATGGTGCATTGGCTCGAAGCAAGGAAATTCTCGCCGATCCCTTTCCCGAGTGTCTCGTACAAGCACGATACGAAGATTCTCATCTTGGCCTTGGAGCGATTGAGGGAAGCCTACTCTGTAAAGGGTCGTCTCAATCAAAGCCAGCGTGAGGAGCTGGCGTTGATCGAGCAGGCCTACGATTCCCCGGGTACCACATTGGCCCGCATCAAGCGCTTCCTGCTCACGCAGCGGGCTTTCAAGGAAGTAGGCATCGATATGAATGACAACTACAGCAACATCAATCCTGTATACGACATTGAGCCTATGGAGAAGATTACAGATGCTTACCTGGATCAATACCTCTGGTACCAGGCCGATCAGCGCCACCTGTTCCCCGCCTGGATCAAGCCATCAGACTCAGAGGTTCCTCCTCTGCTCACATACAAATGGGCGCAGGGCATAAACAACCTCGACAAGGTGTGGGAATCTGACAACGGTGAATGCAACGTCATGATTGAGACCCAACTGTCAAAGGTCTATGAAAAGATCGATCTCACCATGCTCAACCGCCTGCTGCGACTCATCATGGATCACAATTTGGCAGACTACATCACCGCGAAGAACAACGTTCAGCTCAACTACAAGGATATGAACCATGTCAACGCTTACGGCATGATTCGTGGTCTGCAGTTCTCTGGCTTCGTGTTCCAGTTCTACGGTTTAGTTCTCGATATCCTTCTACTTGGCTTGCAGCGGGCGAACGAGATTGCTGGTGCTCCAGAGAGCCCCAATGATTTTTTACAGTTCAAGGACAAGGAGACTGAAGTTCGCCATCCCATCCGTCTCTACACTCGCTACATCGACCGTATCTGGGTGTTCTTCAGATTTACCGCCGATGAGTCGCGTGATCTGATTCAAAGGTTCCTGACTGAGAATCCCGATCCCAACTTTGAGAACGTAATTGGGTACAAGAACAAGAAGTGCTGGCCCCGTGATTCGAGAATGCGCTTGATGCGTCATGATGTCAACCTTGGACGCGCAGTCTTCTGGGATCTGAAGAATCGCCTGCCCCGCTCAGTAACGACAATTGAATGGGATGACACGTTCGCCAGCGTATACAGTCGAGACAACCCCAACTTGCTCTTCTCGATGAACGGGTTCGAGGTTCGCATTCTACCCAAGATACGCAACTTGTCGGGCGAGTTCCCTGTAAAGGACAGTGTCTGGTCTCTTGTCGACAATTCGACAAAAGAGCGAACTGCAGATGCGTTCTTGCAAGTGACAGAGGAGGACATCCAGAAGTTCAACAATCGCATTCGGCAGATTCTCATGTCCTCTGGATCTACTACGTTCACAAAGATTGCCAACAAGTGGAACACCACGCTCATCGCGCTCTTCACATACTACCGTGAGGCCGCTGTCTCTACCGTCAACTTGCTCGACACGATTGTCAAATGTGAGACCAAGATCCAGACCCGTGTCAAGATTGGTCTCAATTCGAAGATGCCATCGCGATTCCCTCCTGCCGTGTTCTATACACCTAAAGAACTCGGTGGTCTCGGTATGATTTCCGGATCCCATATTCTAATTCCAACGAGCGACAAGCGATGGTCAAAACAGACTGATACTGGTGTCACGCACTACCGTGCCGGCATGTCTCACGACGAAGAGACCCTGATTCCCAATATTTTCCGCTACATCATCCCATGGGAGTCAGAGTTCGTCGATTCCCAGCGTGTGTGGATGGAGTACTCACAGAAGCGTCAAGAGGCCCAACAGCAGAACCGCCGTCTAACCCTTGAAGACCTGGAGGACAGTTGGGACCGTGGTCTTCCTCGTATCAACACGCTCTTCCAAAAGGACCGCAGCACCCTCAGTTTCGACAAAGGCTTCCGCACCCGAACGGAGTTCAAGATCTACCAGCACATGAAGAGCAATCCCTTCTGGTGGACGAGCCAGCGTCACGATGGTAAACTCTGGAATTTGAACGCCTACCGCACGGATGTCATTCAAGCACTTGGTGGTGTGGAAACTATTCTTGAACACACACTGTTCAAGGCAACCGCTTTCCCATCGTGGGAGGGCTTGTTCTGGGAACGCGCCTCAGGTTTCGAGGAATCCATGAAATTCAAGAAACTCACCAATGCCCAACGTTCCGGTCTGAACCAAATCCCCAACCGTCGTTTCACCCTGTGGTGGTCACCAACCATCAACCGAGCTAACGTTTACGTGGGTTTCCAAGTCCAACTTGATTTGACTGGTATCTTTTTGCACGGCAAGATTCCGACCCTGAAGATTTCACTTATTCAAATTTTCCGTGCGCATTTGTGGCAGAAGATTCACGAGTCTGTTGTTATGGATCTGTGCCAGGTATTCGATCAAGAGCTTGAGGCTCTTGGCATCGAGACTGTACAGAAGGAGACCATCCATCCTCGAAAATCGTACAAGATGAACAGCTCTTGTGCTGATATTCTTCTCTTCGCCAGTCACAAGTGGAGTGTCTCGCCGCCCTCGATGCTTTACGATACCAAGGATACCATGAGCGCAACGACAACCAACAAGTTCTGGATTGATGTGCAACTACGTTACGGTGATTACGATTCGCATGACATTGAACGTTACGTGCGCGCCAAGTACCTCGACTACACGCAAGACAGCATGAGTATCTACCCGTCTGCCACCGGTCTCATGATTGGTATTGACCTGGCTTACAACCTGTACTCTGCCTACGGACAGTACTTCCCTGGTCTAAAGCAGCTTGTGCAGCAGGCCATGGCAAAGATTATGAAAGCCAACCCTGCCCTCTATGTGCTTCGCGAGCGTATCAGGAAGGGTCTTCAACTGTATGCATCTGAGAGTTCGCAAGAATTCCTTAACTCGCAGAATTACTCCGAGCTGTTCAGCAACCAGATTCAGTTGTTCATCGACGACACTAATGTATACCGTGTGACCATTCACAAGACCTTTGAAGGTAACTTGACCACCAAGCCCATCAACGGTGCCATCTTCATCTTCAACCCACGTACTGGGCAGCTGTTCCTGAAGATCATTCACACAAGTGTCTGGGCGGGTCAAAAGCGTCTTGGTCAATTGGCCAAGTGGAAGACTGCGGAAGAAGTCGCTGCACTGATTCGCTCACTGCCAGTAGAAGAGCAACCGAAGCAGTTGATCGTCACGCGTAAAGGTCTCTTGGATCCCCTTGAGGTCCACTTGCTCGATTTCCCCAACATCTCCATCCGCGCATCGGAACTGCAACTGCCCTTCCAGGCCGCCATGAAGGTTGAGAAGCTCGGTGACATGATTCTCCGCGCTACTGGGCCTCAGATGGTGCTTTTCAACCTGTATGACGAGTGGCTGAAGACTATTTCGTCTTACACTGCTTTCTCGAGGTTGATCCTGATCTTGCGCGCGCTACATGTCAATCAGGACAAGACTAAGCTGTTATTGCGTCCTGACAAGACTGTCATCACTCAGGAGCATCACATCTGGCCCACCCTGGCGGACGAAGACTGGATCAAGGTCGAAGTGCAACTACGAGATCTCATTCTCAATGATTACGGCAAGAAGAATAACGTCAACACGTCATCGCTTACGAGCAGTGAGGTTCGTGATATCATCTTGGGTATGGAAATCTCTGCACCTTCGATGCAGCGTCAACAGGCCGCCGAGATCGACAAGCAGCAGGATGAGCAAGCGCAGTTGACTGCCGTCACCACCAAGACCCAAAATGTCCACGGTGAGGAGATGGTGGTCACGACGACATCGCAGTACGAGCAAGCTTCGTTTGCTTCGAAAACTGAATGGCGTACAAGAGCTGTGGCAACATCCAACCTCCGGACTCGCGCAAACAACATCTACATCAACTCGGAAGATGTCAAGGAGGAGGGCCACTTCACATATGTGATGCCAAAGAATGTGCTCAAACGCTTCATCACGATCGCCGACCTCCGTGTTCAAGTTGCAGGGTATCTTTATGGCAAGTCACCAGCGGACAATGATCAAGTGAAGGAAATTTGTACCATCGTCATGGTCCCCCAAGTCGGCAACACACGCGACGTACAGCTACCCAAGCAACTGCCACAGCACGAATACCTCGATGGTCTCGAGCCTCTCGGCATCATCCACACCGTCAGCGGCAACGAGCCTCCGTACATGCAAGCAAGCGACGTAACCCAACACGCACGCCTGATGAATGCACATGCAAGCTGGGACAAGAAGACGGTATCCATGACCGTCTCCTTCACGCCAGGTTCCGTCTCGCTCGCCGCCTGGGCCCTTACCCCCAACGGCTACAAATGGGGCGCGGAGAACAAAGACACCATGTCGGACAACCCGGCCGGCTTCTCGACCTCGTTTGGCGAAAAGTGCCAGCTCCTGCTGTCGGACAAGATTCGTGGCTACTTCCTTGTTCCGGAGAATGGCATCTGGAATCATAGCTTCATGGGAAGTGCGTTTGGTACTGTGGAGAAGAAGCCGGTTAGGGTGAGGCTGGATACGCCGGTGAGGTTTTACGATAGTGTGCATCGGCCCTTGCATTTTAGCAATTTCGCCGAGCTTGAGGATGTGTTTGTCGATCGGGAGAATCAGTTTGAGTAGAGGCTTGACTGTGAAGGAGAAAAGGGACAGACAAGGGGCAAGCGGGGGAGGGGAGAGGAATGCAGCGACACAATGGGCATGTGGAGGTGTTTGTTTGTACATTATGATTGGGCGTCGAGAATGGCGTTTTGCATCAGTTCGCATCAGTGTTGTTGTTTTCTTGCAGCTACTCCGGCGATGAAGGGTGTGGTACCCCGAAATGGTTAAAAATATGTATAGTCTGGTTTAATCTCGTGACAAAGGGGCCAATTTAACAGTTTTTGAGTTGAAGGCGGTATTTCTTCCTTATCGCTTGGTGTTTGCCAATTGTCCTTGAAATTAAGAACTCAATCGTACATGTATTATATTTTAGTTCCGAGGAAAGAAGAGGGAGATGTGTGATGGTATAGGACTATAGGACTTTGAACGGTTTTCTCAGAATTCAGTACTTTTTATACACTTGAAGTTGGCGTGGTCACGCCCCTCGCTAGGCATTTCAGTTTAGAAGGGAGTGTGATTCGGTTGGCATGGTCACAAATATTAGTCAAAAGAAGGATGTTTCGCGCACGCGACAATAAGAGCTGCCTAAATGACAGAGGCGCAGAAGCAGGCAAACGGTAACGCTATGACATGGAAACGCGCGATCAAAAAAGCAGCCGTTTGCCTGTGAGGCCCCGCGGGTGCGCAGGAGTTTCTTGTACATAGATATGATGGGAGGCAAAACGCTATTCACTTTCACTTTCACCTCAAAATCTAAGTCTATACTTACTCCAGGGCTGCGCTCGAGTACCTTGTCCTAGACTCCACAGATGCACAAAAACCCAGAAATACAGACGCCGCTGAGAAACGTCAGGTTTGCGATTCAGGTATGCTGGGACTCGGGTGGTGGCTCCGTTCTCGTCAACTGGCGATCTGACATTCGTATAGCAAGCACCATGGCTTTCCCACTAGATGTCTACCCAGTGATGTCGGAGATCAGCGAGCTTCGCGAGAAAGCAAATGTAGACGGCGCGGCACCCGCTCTCGAGGCAGATTTGTTGTCTTCGGCATCGCCCCAGCACTCCGCTTCTGGGACATCGAGTTTGGCGACCCCGACTTCCAAAGGTGGGGTGGGTAAAGCGTGGAGGAGGATGAAGAAGGGGCTCCGACCAGGCGACAAGGTCAAGAAGAAAGCAGACACGACGATACCTGCGTCTGTGTCGTCGCGGGGAACGGCGAGTGCGAGCAATGGCACGAGTCGTTGTGAAAGAGGTGAGACCGGATCCAGTCATGCTGCTTGCACGCAATTGGACGACTGCTCTCTGAACTCGAGCATTGCGGTTGGGCCAGCCAGCAGCAAAGGCACCATCAGCGACGAGCAAGACAGCGAGGCCGCAAAGGACATGGGCAGTGCGAGTGACAAGGATGACGTCTCGACGTCAGACTGGTTCATGACTCATGGTCTCACTGTGGAAGCTGCCACTGAGTTGCTTCAGTGGGGTGGACTGGGTGACGACGAGGAAGATATCACGGCCCTACCCTCGATGAGCCTAAAGTCGGCCATGGAACAGTTGGCCAAGACAGAGAAGAGGAGGCCGAAAAAGCTGAGGAAAGGAGGCAGTAGGTTGCCGATGCCTACCGCTAAGTGGATATGAAATGGTGTTGGTGGTAGGTGCAGTGGCCTCTGAAGAAACGCAAATGAAACAGGCTAACAGGAATAGATCTGAGATGGGGGATACTTTTTTTTTTTTGAAAGATCTACTTGAAGCTGGTGTGGGGGAGATGAGGGCGCAGTTCATATGACCATGGAATTAGCGCTGCGTGAACTCGTATTCGGCATGGGGTTAGGCCGTGCCAAGCTCCACTAGCTAGCTAAGCAAGGTTAACCAAACATCATGCCGTAAGATTTTGTAACGCGTTCTAAACCTGTTCTAAACACATTCTGTACTAGTGACACCACAAGCCGCCGCCGCCATGCCTATTACTAACGCATCCCTCTTATCCTACGTAAGCAGATTAAAACGTGTTTAGAACGTGTTCTTAACAGGTTACAGAAGCACTATTAATAGTACCTTACCCTTGGCCGCGTCCTAGACAATATTAGGGCATGGCCTGTGGTTAGCCCTAATAGGGCAGTTAAGATAGAGAGTGGAGAGCGCTACTGCCGTGCTAAGATTGACAACGAGGGCACCTTGTGCGGAGTAAGAACAGGTTCTGAACGTGTTCTGAACAGGTTCTAATATTCTTAGGCTGTTCTAGGTACTAGGGGCACTCTGTGTACCTATGCTGAAAAAGATTATAGGCTTAACATAGCCTACTATGAGGTTAGTAGGGTTAAGAAGACTGGCTGGCCCTCTATGACAGAGGTCCGCGAGGCAAAGAGTAAACATGTTGTTAACCTGTTCTTAACTTGTTATGCTAATATATGTAGACTTCTACATAAAGGTTATGCGCGATTACTAGAACGCTCCTTGCTGTAAGTTGTTTAGAACATGTTTAAAACTTGTTGCTAACGTGTTTTGCAGAAGTTCTCTAAGCCTAGCTGGCAGCTGCTGTAGGCCCCCCTGCAAATGCTAATACCCTCCTAAATATGATTTAGAAGAAGACTTGCAGTGGCCGCGACAGTAACAAGGTACAGCCTGCAAGAACCTGTTAAAAACACGTTGCTAACTTGTTATAGCTTGACTTTGTTGCTATGTCTACCTTGCTAAGGATTTAAGGTTATTAGGTTCCTTGTGCTATCTGCGCTCGCGATTATCCTAGCTGTAGTAAGTCGTTCACAATATATTGTTAACCTGTTCCTAACGTGTTTTAAGACTGTTACTTTGATGCTAGTGTGGACCTTGCCAATTCCTGCTAGAATGCCGCCTAGTTCCACTTGCAGTATGCTTTTGTAGAGCCTGGGGAGGATAGAGAAGATACTAGAGAGGGGGAGGGAGATAATAACAGCGATGAGTAGGAACACGTTAAGAACGTGTTAAGAACAGGTTCTAATAAACGATGTACAATAGCACATAACCTAAAGGGGTGGTAGTAATTACTAAAATAAACTCTCTACTCTTCTCTTTTTTTTTCTATCTACTAAAAGTAAAGTACTGTTTACTTTTATAGGGTCCTTTAATAGTACATAACTTTTTCTTTTAACTTTTACAGGTATTGCAAAGCTCTAGCAGTCCCTTGGATTGAAGAAGAATCTGGCATTTATGGGTGTCCAGCTATAACGTATTATTAACATGTTTCAAACGTGTTTTAAGAGACTAGACTTACATCTCCTTTTTGCTGCTTTTGCCGAATATTATTCACAGTGTAAAGGGGAGCAACTATTTGCTCCTCTTCTTCACTCTCTGCTTCCTCTTTAGCCTCTACTCCAGCTACTACTTCTTGTTGTGGACTAGCTATCTTAGAGGGTTCTTAAACCTTAGAGGAGGCACTTAGTGCAGTCTGCTCTACTAGCAGAGAACGTATTGTTAACGTGTTTAGAACACGTTCTTAAGCATTCACTATTAAGCTCCTATAGAAGATCCTTGCTTCCGTAATGCCTTGTATTGTGGTTCTGCCACAGTTCACTAGGGCTATTTGAACCTTAGGATAATACCTCTTAAGGTAGTGGATAAGATTGCCTCTATTAGAGAAGCGACGCTGAAATGGTTGTTAACATGTTGTAAACGTGTTCTAACTCGCATGCATACATACTCCACAAAGTTCCTGTACCCCTGATCTAGCCCAAATAGCCTGGCAGAAAAGCTCGCTAGGAAATACTATACACCTATTATTTAGGTAGGATGTTGCAGGAGAGAATACCCTAGCATTAGATAGAAGTGACTTAAGCTTAATATATCGCTGGTATAAATCCTACTTAGTATTAGAACAAGTTCACAACGTGTTCCTAACGCGTTCTATCACATACTAACTTTAAAAGATCTTTGTGGACTATATTAACTAGTTATGTCTAATAATATCAGGAAAGATAGATAGTAAAACAGTATTAAACTCTTAAATATAAAAAGTTCTTGTAGAGTGTAAGAAGAAAGAAGAAGAAAGAGAAGAAGAAAGAATATATATTTATCCACTTATATGTGCTTACGTGATAGACTAGAACATATTAAGAACTAGTTAGGAACTAGTTACCGTATTTGTAGACTAACCCTGCCTCGCATAAAAAGCAGCTATCTCTTTCTTAAGTTTAAACTGTGCCTTTTGCAATTTAAACAGTGCCTTTTTCTGTGCAAGTTCTTCCTTATCTACCTCTAGCTTTTCTTTTCTCTCCTTTAGAGCCTAATTACTAAGAAGAGCCTTTTATTGCAAAGTTTATAGTTGCAGACTAATAACAAGTTAGGAACGTGTTGTAAACGTGTTTCGCGAAGCATACCTTTAGGTTACTGTTAGTAGAGGAGAAGAGCCTGGTGGTGGAGAAGATAGAAAAGGGGCTAGTGAACTTCTTTCTAATACCGCTCTACTACTTGCCCTCTGGCTTTGGGCTTTTAAGCGTGCTCTTTTATTTCTTATTAGGACTAAGACATATCTAGTTAAGTTAGACATAGCAAGACTTGCTTTATTGTTATCTAGAGTGTTGTTATCGTCGCGGGACGCGTTCTGAACACGTTCTAAACACGTTTCAATCAGCGAATGTGCATAACGCTAGCGTAAGACTTACTTTCTCCCCTTTAAAGCTTTTTGAGGTACCTTTGCTTAAGCCTATTAGGAGTTCTATAGTTATGGCGTATTCCAAACTTGCTCTAGGCTTTAAACTCTTTTATATCCTGCAGATCCATCTGGTGTGCACTACACGATGTTACTCATACAATTCTAATAGGTTAAGAACAGGTTGTAAACTTACTTCCAAGTGGCCTTAAGAATACTTACATGCTTACTAGTTTTATATCCTTTCTGGCCTGCTTGCTTAGCTGCATTTAAATAAGATTCTAGTTTTTCCTATGCCTCTTTTAACATTTTACTACAGTATTGCACAATCCTAGCAGCAATTACTAGGTTTTTCTTATAGATTGCCTAGTTTTAGGTATCTTTAGAGGGTTCGTGTTCTGATCATGTGAGAACGAGTTAGGAACACGTTTAGAACAGGTTCAGAATGTGTTTACTTACGTGAGAGGAGGTTAGCAAGCTGAAAGTATTCCTCTGCTGTTAATGCCTGTAGTAATTCACTTAGACGTAAAGAGGTAGTATTATCTAGCTCTCTTTTACATGCTTTGTGAATACTTCTTTGTAGATGTACTTAACAAAATCTTATGCAAGATTGAAGTTGCTAGCGCTAGTCACGCTTGTAGGGATCAATTGACTAGAGATAGCGCCTAAGTCCTAGAAATAAGTTAGAAACACGTTACGAACATGTTGCGGTGCGCCGTGAAACTTGCCTGTTATCTGCTTGTTGCACATGTTAACAGTAGTCCTATAGAATCCCTGTGAGTGAATATGCCTCTATAACACTTGTCTTTTTGTAAGTGCTTTACACTTCTAAAAGAAGTTAGTAATAGCAACTTGATACATCTTAGTTGTATCCTTGTCTGTAATAATTTGGCTAAGTGTAATAACTGCAACGTGTTAGAAACGTGTTACAAACCTGTTCTTAATGCGTACGCTTCTTTTCCTGCAGGTAGAAGATTACTATTAGAATCTCTGCCTATGCCCTATATAACCTCTTATATAACATATCTATCTAGAACGTGTCTTAATCTAATAGAATTGATGCCTGCTCTTTAAAAAGGCAAATAATTAAGTTGCCTGAGCTTAATGTGAAGATTTGCTGTATGTACGCCTGTAGTAACGTGTTAGCAACGTGTTCTAAACCTGTGCTCTTACACCACGTACAGTTTTAGGATCCTAATGCTTTGTCCTCTACTTATAGTGTACTCCTCTAAGGCTACTCTTAAATAGGAACTGTAGAAGCTTTTCACGCTTTATAATACGCGAGATTTTATCTTTATTTGCGAAGCTAATATGCATTTCTTTAATAGAATAGAAACCTTTAAGTTAGAGATAGGTTTAGAGCTAGGTCAAGTTTAGGAACTGGGCTGTAATAAGTTAGGAACACGTTTATAACAGGTTGCAAACAACTTACATCGCGTAAGCTGCGGAGTAAGTATAGGCCACAACACCTTTACTACTTCCTTAATATTACTATTAGATAGTGTTGAGGGAGGAGGAGGTATATATGTATATATACTAAAAGAAATAATAGCAAAAAAAGGTATTGCTACTATATCTATTAGTATAATTACTTAGAAGGTAACTTCACACGGGATTTTAAACAGAGATCCTTGCCCTTGTGGATAATTAACGCCTAGAACATGTTAGGAACGTGTTAGGAATAGGTTGCAATATGCCTACCACACTTCTTTATCTAGCTTGACTGTGGCTTAACTACAGAACATGAAGCAGGACTACTAGAAAGATTTAATATCTCCCTAGTTAGAAGACCTTGTAGATATGTGGAGTCTACCTCTGGTGGTACCTAACTAAAATAATGTTTTTTCCTAGTAGCAGATATTAGGCTGTAGTTCTAACAGCCAATATATAGTCGAGCCTGTTCTATGATTTGCTAACTTGTTATTAACACGTTTTGAACATGTTTAAGTTTTGCTCCCTACCCAATTTACTGCAGTCCTTATTACAGGATAATAAGACACCTAGTAGTCCTTACAAATCCTTGAAGAGAAGCGCTTAATAAGGCTATAATAATAGCTTCTTGTTCGTAGTTCTCTTTGTGGAATTTTCTTAGGTACTACACTTTTTAAGGTTTAGATCTGATTATACAATGCGTTATTAACAACGTAATAAGAACACGTTTATAACGTGTTCTTAAGATACTTACACGCTTTTACCCCAGAGCATTAGTATTTATACTGGCTTGCTAGCTAGCTGTTAAAGAATAGTGAAGTTGTAGGCCTGTTAAGATAGACAGACTAGCAGGAGTATTGTACCTGCTAGAATTAGAACAATTTAAGAACGTGTTCTTAACGTGTTACCTGTGTAGCCTGCATAAGCACCTCTTCTCTTGTTAGGTAAGAGCTATCTTTATGTTGCTGAACTGGTATTATATACCTATACCCTTGGCTGTGTGATTAAGGGTATGCTAGGAGAATAGCTGCATGCTTAATAATTACTGGTGTAAGTGGTGGTCCTTAACTATTACCACAAGTAAGGTATACATTGTGCCCCTATAACGTGTTACTAACCTGTTCTGAACTTGTTCTATTTACTTTCACTTACTTCCTTAACGCTACTGCTACTATCCTCCTCTAGCACTTTATACGGTTGCCTAAATTCATCTCTAATATCACTATCTAGTTTAGATACGTTGTCTAGTACTGCTGTACTAAACTCTGGTATAGTATTTAGGAACGCCTGCATATTATTAAGAACAGGTTTAGAACACGTTTAAAAAAGATAGTAACAAAAACTGCGTTTACTTGCTTAAATTACCCTAATTTATACTCGACCATGGGCTAGTTTATATAACCATGAAAATTTGCCGCTGTGACGTGGACTTGAACCTACAGGGATATTCTAACCACTCGGAGTAAAGCCCAAGTCGCCCGACGCTAAATCCATGGTCATATGACATGCCACCACGGGGGAGATTTTGTGTTGGTACATGACAAGAAGGATAGGGGCATGTAATTAGATTGGCTGTATATGAGTCGCATACCTCCCCCCCCCCGTCTTGTTCGGTGCCGTCAGCATTGTAGCAGGTAGACAATCAAGTCACATAGTGTTATAATTCCCAAGTGGCCAGATGGCTGGGTACATGGTCAGCGAACTCACTCGTCGGCTTTCCTGCACCAGAGCATTTATTCACCCATCCGCATATGGCCAGACGTGGGGGGCCGACGCTTTCCGCAGCCGATTCGGCCCTCGTCGCACCACGCCATGGGGGGATCCAACTTTGCTCACGGCTCACGATATCAAAAAGTGCCTAGCACAATACAACCCGATACCGGTTCCCATGCCATGCCATGCCTGGTGCCATCTGGAACCTGGCCTTGGAGATTGCGGCTGTTGGTGTCATGTCGTGCAAGGAAGTTTCTACGTGTCGTTGGTGTAAGCATGGCTTGCTTCGGCCCTCGTCGTGGGCTGCGTTGGCCTAACCTGTTTGGACAAGCGTGGGATCTAGTGGATTGTGGGGAAGTGTACTAGAGTACTCTACAAGGACAGCATGTATTGACGGGCAGACAGGTAAATGCACAGTTGCTGATATCGCCGTTGAGCTGGTATTCATCGTGCATACCTTGTCTCCTCATGTTGCCGCGTGGAGAAAGAGGGAGAACCTACTGGCAGCTGGGAATGGCCGGCTTTGTTGTTTCTGAGTGGGCACCGACGTCATCGCTGTGTTTGCGGCCTTGTTCCCCCAAAAGTCCCCCCGCGTGCCGACATGCTCACAAGCTCCTGGAGACACGGCGATGCAACAAGGTACTCCGCAGTCTGAGATACACAAGCAAGGTAACGGCCAATGAAGACATGTACTTTACGTAGTCCGATGAGCGAGCACCGCTTGCGCTTGCGTAAGTCTGGAGCAACGACGCCGCCGTGCTTGTTCTGCACAGACGCAGCCGATTCTAGCCGCGCCACCATCGCGCCAAACAGCGACATCGTACAAGGCCCGTGGATCAAATGGAAGATCGTCTGGCGGTACCTATATATGGCGTCAAAATTCATCATGGCAAGCAGGTCACAAGACCCCAATCGCCCCCATTTCAATCACTCGGTAGGATTACGAAACACTCGGCCGTACCATCCACCTGCTGCACTCACTACAAAGGCCTGGGACCCCTAACTTGGACGACTATACAAAACTCACCCACATCATCTCTCACTCTCTCTCTCTCTCTCACACACACACACTCTCTCTCTCTCTCTCACACACACACACACACCTACACATATACACGCACACATCCAAAATGGGATCAAGACTACGGCAACTTCAGTGCCTTCAGAGCCTGACCATCCACCACACTCGACGCACACTCACACAGACCCCCCGCCTCATACACTCCAGCTCACGGCGAGATGTCACTGCCCCAACACCATCTCCCGCCTCCACCCCTTCACAGCTCCTCAATCTTGAGACACCTCAACGGCAAGCACAGACAAAGGCCGTTCTAGATCGTCTCCCGACCTCCTCGGTGCTGCGATCGTATCTCATCACTGCCGTGTCTTCCTCGCCAGTCCTGCTCACATTTTGCTTCAACATCCTACGGAAGATGCTGGACTCCAAATCCTTTCTCATGAACATTGATAAGAACCCTATTCTGCAGAGTGTGCTCAAGAAGACCTTTTATGCCCAGTTCTGTGTTGGCGACAAGAAGGACGAGGTTGTGCGGAACACCGACTTTGCTCGGACGCTGGGCTATGGCGGCATCCTGTTCGAATATGCTCTTGAGGTACTGGGCGGGGCAGCACCGACGGCCGAAGAGACAAAGAAGGAGGTCGAAGTGTGGAGGAAGGGGATGCTACAGAGTGTGGATATGGCCAAGGAGGGCGACTTTGTCGGACTCAAGTAAGTGCATGGCCGTAAGCCTCCCTCGAGTCGATAGTAACAGCCTTTCAGATGGTCTGGTCTCGGTCGTCACGCGCTCTACCTTCTTCAGAACCAGAAAGAGGCCACCCCTGAGATGTGGGATGCCATTATCGCCGCCTGCGACGCCGCTGCAGCAAAGGGCGTAAGCCTCCTTCCCGGTGCCGAAGAAGAAGCCACCAACCTCGGGCTCGAGAAGTGGACCACCCAGCTTCAGAAGATGTACAACACCCCCGAAAGAGGCCGTGCAGTCCTCTACGTAACCTACCAGTGCTACCTCCGCGACATCTCCAAGCGCATGGCCCAGCACCTTGAGAAGGCCTCCAAAGAAGGCTACATTGCCGGCGTCAAGCTAGTTCGTGGCGCATACCTGACCTCTGAGCCCAAGGAAATCACCTTTGACACCAAAGAGGGTACAGATGCAAACTACGACGCCTGTGCCGAAGCCGTCATCCGCCAACAGTGGACCGACAAGGTCTCTGCCCCAACCCCCGGCACCCCCTTCCCACGCACCGAGGTCGTCCTCGCAACACACAACGCCCACTCCCTCCAGCAAGCCATGAAGCTCCGCGCCGAGAAAATGCTCACCACCCCCGCTGACAAGCTGCCCCGCCTCACCTACGCGCAGCTGCAGGGCATGGCAGACGAGATCTCCCAGGCCCTGGTCCAGGACCCCATCATGCACAAGGACACCCAGGCCAAGGTCGTCAAGTGCATGACCTGGGGCACCACAACCGAGTGCCTGAACTTCTTGCTCCGCAGGGCAAGCGAGAACAAGGAGGCTGCGACACGGACACAGGACACGCGCAAGGCCATGGGTGCTGAGCTAAGGAGAAGAGTCAAGGGCTACTTTGGCCTTGCTTAAACTCACACCAGTTGACGACTTTTTCCTTTCCCCTGGTGGATTTTTTATTTCTTTCAGCATCGCTTTCTTTCTTTCTTTGGCTCTCTTTTGCGTCATGATTCCGGCACAGCCAAATTCGGCAGCATAGCATTAGCATGGCGTTGGCACCTGGGGTCTTCGAATCCACCCGAAGCGTAAAGTCCCTTTGCATAAAGCAAAAATCCGGACACCAATTTTCACGTTTGAAAAAGATTACCATTTTGATAGCGTAAATTTACAAGCAATATCCCATGCAAACCCTGCCTTGCTGCAAAGTGACTTGTCAACTGTGTTTTTACCACAAATTTTTTACTATTTTCGCACTCTTTTTTGGTGTGTGTTGCACGATGGCGGGGTTCACCAACTTCTGAGTCGTGACTAGGACTCGGGGATCCACTGCCCCACTCCACTCGTTACCCGTAACTAGGGATGCGTGTGTCACCGCAGTCCACAGAGCGTTCGTGCCAAACGGAAAAGTCGGGCTTTCGAAAACGCTGGAAGATTCTTGATCAAACGAGTATATAGATGTTTTAAAAAACAGAATGAATACATAATCAGCTATTCCAGCCCTATTGGCCAAGCGGTAAGGCGTCGCACTTGTAATGCGAAGAGCGGTTGTTCGATTCAGCCATAGGGCATTGATTCTGTTCTTTTTGACAATTTTTTGGGATTCGGGATTTGGGAATTTTGGTAGTGCTGGGGTGACGGAAATAAGATTTGCATATTTTTTGGCCTGGGGTAAGTCAGTATAGTAAGTAAGGGATGTAGAAGTAGGAGTATTAAACTTGCAGATCTGTATTGAAAGGTTCCTGCATGCTAACTTTGTGAGATTGTGTTTGCTAACTTGCTTTAATTATCATGATTAATTTGTACTACAAAACCGGGGTATACATTGCGTACAACAACATTTATCTTCATGTCAACGTGCATTATCTAATCATCATCATCATGGAACTCCCCTATAATCCTGTCGCCTAGTTTAAAGCCCCCTTCTCGTTCTTCTCATCGCGTACACTATGGTGCTCCACGTTCTCTGCATCCCCAATCTCCCGCCCACCAATATACGTGCTCTCCTTCATATTGTTCATCGCATCCTCATGCTTGTCAGCGCTGCGGAACGTAAGGTAAAACCCGACACCACCGCACATGGCGACCACAGCGACGGATCCATAGTTCCACACCAACAGCGGGTCCTCTGACAGACTGACAAGCGTCTGACCCAGGGCAGCTGAGACGGCCGAGGTGGAGAGTGCGACGGCTTGAATGGTGGATTTCATGTTGTTGGGCGCCTTTGTGTATGCGTACTCGAGCTTTGTGATGGAGGCTAGAATCTCGGACATGCCGATGAGACCGTAGGGAAAAGCCTGGACCCAGACGGAAATGTCTGCGTGGCAGTCCTTGCGGGTTTTGCTGAGCTTGTTGATTTGGTTGCCGCAGGGGGACATGGTGTAGATGTAGTGTTGGATGACGCATGCCGACACCATTGCGAAGGAGGATAGGGCGAAGCCGGCCGTGATCTTTTTGATCGGCGAGAGCTGGACACCCATCTTCCGGAGACCGGGGTAGACGAAGAAGTCCATCAGGGGGATCAGGATGACGATGAAGATGGGGTTGAGCTTGGAGACGATGTCGTTGGGGGTGGAGCCCAGGTTCATGGTGTTGGCTTGAGAGACGAGGTTGTTGTTCATTTGGTTGTAGGCCTGGGATTTTCTTATTAGCCATGTTGACATGTTGTCTTGTCGACTAGGTGACACTTACCAGCCAGTATAAGGGGTACCAGAGGAAGACTTTACAAGCCAAGATTCCACGCTTGACCTCGTCTACCCACGCGTCGTCAAAACTCATCCATGCAGGCGCAGACTCGCCGCGTTGGCTGAACGCGCTGGGCTTGACACGCTCCCAGAATCCCTCGTCCTTGAATGTGTTCTTTTTGGGCGAATGCTTGATAGCAAGGCGGATGAGCTTGAAAGCCTTGCCCATGACGGATCCCGTGGGAGGAGTCAACTTGTAGTGTTTCTTCATCGCGATCAAGATGACGGGGCAGAGGAGATAGCAGATAGTGGGTAGGGTGTAGGAGAGCCAGAAGCCTAGAACTGTCAGCCAAAGAATTCATCCCCAGTCACCCCGCCCTTGGAGGCCACGAAGAGATAATAGCAGTCTCAACTTGAGACAAGGTACACGTACCGACAAAGTGTTCCGAGTAGACCATTGCGATGGATCCACAGATGGATCCACAGTTGATGAGGAAGTAAAAGTAGATGTAGATCCTGGCCGTCGTGGTGGCGGGATCAACAATCTCCTTCAAGCCATTCTTCTTGACACGGACATAAGCCTTTTGGTCCTTGTACTGCTCTGCAATCAGAGGCGAAATGTTGGACTTGAAGCCACCAGTCCCTAGTCCCATGATGACGAGACCAACAGCAAAGATTGCAATGGCAACGTTGGGCTTGACAATGACCTGAGGAATGGCAGACATGATGAGGATAACATGACCGATGACAGCAAGAACATTGGAGTATTGAATGGTCTTGTACCGGCCCCAGTATTCGTCCGCGAGCCAGGCTCCACCGAGCGGAGTGATGTAAGACCAGAATTGGTTAAACATGGTCAGACCTGTGGACGCTCGCTGGCCCATGTCAAGGGCACCAGAACCGGGATTCTTCAGGAACCCAGCTCCCGTGTTGGAGCCCGGTGGGAGCGGCTTTTGGATGAAGTTGACGACTGGATGTATCATTAGTGAGCCATTTTGGGGGCACTAGCAATGCTTGTAACATACAAACAGCACTCGTTCCATAATAAGAGAAACGTTCCACAAACTCGACTGCAGCGACAGTCCAAGCCTGCCAGGGCTTTTGGAAAAGTTAGATCTGAGCCTATCAGATATCAAGGCGATGTTGGCTTACGATTCTCCCAGCGACTCGTGGCAGAGTCGCCCATTCTTCCTCGGTCGGGAAAGGTCCTAGGAGACGGACATCTTCGTCCTTGAATGAGTTGGTAGAGCTGAGATCGAGTGGGATGGGGTCTTCTGCCGTAGCTCCCTTGGTAATCTCGAGGCTGGCTTTGACATTGGTGTTGAGCGCCATGGCGAAGTGCTAGAACGACAGTGCTCAATCGAGGAGTAATCCAATGAGGCGAAAAGAAATCACCGTGAGCGACTTGGGAACACGCCCTTGACCGCAAATGCTTAGAAGCTCAGAATGGACGAGGGAAACAAACACCTAGATTTCAAGGACTGGTCGATGCCCGACTTCATATAGACAGATTGCTAGTGTCCAGACTTGGACACCGGGCCAGAGTTGCACAGGGATGACACGAGCAACCAAGCTCCCGTCTTCCAAGATCCACCACATGCGCTCCTCGGGTCTGCTATCACGACCATATCATTCGCTGTGCATGTCCAAGGATGACGGGATCACGCCCAGTTGGTCCCAAGTGTCCATTTTCCATGGTATTACCGCCGGTAAGCGCGTAGGAGAAGCATCCAAAGCCGTCGTACCAAGCAAAGGCCCCCCAGATTTAGGATAAGAGAGGCATGTGCTGTTGGAAGACAAAGGCTCACATATGCCACCCAGCCTCACCCAAATTGCCACCAACGCATGGCAAACGTCTAGAAAAGAGGTGCCAAGTGATGCTAAGGTGGAAAAGATAACGGCTGGCTGGAGCTTCCACTCTAAAATCACCTGGCGGAAGTAGTGTCAATGCATGCCAAGGTGCCGTGCTGGTGGGTGAATATCTACACCGGTACCGTACAGCCTTGATGGTCGAACGCGATAGACAGGAAAGACAGAGTAGAACAAGTCGAGTCCACAACAATGTTGATGTGGAAGTGATGACGACCTTTGTCGTGTTTTAGCAAGACGAGCTTTCGATCGCAAGTGACCGATACCTAGGCCGGTCCATCGATGTAAAGAATTCAGACACAATCTGATGCGATTTCACGGCACAGTTGCCCCAGCAGGATTCGCTCGGAGTTCGCGCAATCCGCCTGCCTAATTGGGATTTCTTAGTCGCGGTGTACCACAGCCAAGGGCTTGGAAATAGGCGGGGAGGATAACAACGTTGCGTTGCACGACCTCCTTCTCGAAAGGTATAAACGCGATGCCTTAGCGAAAGAGGCGTGTTGCAATACCGATGAAGGGGTTGAACTTTGGATTTTGGCAGTGGAGTGAATCCAGCTGACGACCAGTGCGTCGCGGTTCCAATGTCCTGACAGCAAGAGATATCTACAATTACAACTACCGGTACCATGGGGACATTCTTCGGCAGGCGAGAGAGACCTTTCTCGCACTCCATACCTGTGAACAATCCTTCAGGCTATCTATTCAGCTTCATCGCCTCTCCTGCATGCGCTGGAAACGGTGTCAAGGAACGGGATGAGTTCTTTTTGCACCCAGGCTCCATTCGCCCTTGGAGCTATGGCTGTTTGAAGGGTTTCGCAGGGAAATAGGGCTGTGGCTGTAGGAGAGTCCATGGCGTTGGAACAGAATCCGAGGATGGATTAAGACGAAGTGTATAAGCAATCTGACCACGCGGCGAAGATGGTTATGATGTGTGAGTATATTGGTGGCAAGCTGGGATTTTACAAGTGAGCGATTGTCTCTTCAAGGAGCCATGGATCGTCACACAAACTAAACCGCGCTTTTCACTTGAATTTCGTAGGCGTGCATGGCTTTCACTGGGGTATTCACTAGTGATTCAGCACTTTGAAAGCACGGCTATACCTTGCGCTCAGGAAGAAATCCAGCACCATCAAACATCAAATTTAAGAGTAGAGGGGTATATATATACGAGCTGGACCGCATTGAAATGGAAAATATACACCACACGAAAGCCATCATCCAGCCTCTCCCAGCTCTCCCGGAGACGTCGACGAAGTTCACTTGAGTATCGACAAGGAGGCTCGGAGCTCTATATTCCATATATAGAAACCACAAAGTGGCATGATGGCCAGCTTACCTACCGAGTGAGCAGATGTTTACTACCGATTGCTACTAGCAAAGCCAAAACTCTGTTCTTGAGGAACAAGGGGTTGTAGTGACTAAAGCAAAACAACGGCAGCTACATTCTCTGTGAACATAAGCTGTCTTTTCGCGCTGGATGGCAAGTCGAAACCCCATAAAAGGAAAGCAAAGCAGACCGACTCCACAGCGACAGGTGAGTAGAATTCTTCGAAGCATTAGTATGCACATGTATAATGAGCACAAGGTCATCCAAGAGATCTGCCATCAACTGCTCAAATAGAAATGCTAGTGAAAGGCTTCGGAATGTATTTCGAGTCTGTGTATTAGACGATAGCAAAGCAAAGGACTAGCCATTTAATTGCTTCAAAATCCATCAATATTCCATCGGAAAGATTCACGACGGAATCAATATAACCAATGCTTTAATATATGATATTTCATTCGTAGACAAGAACTCACCCTCAAGCCGCCTCGTACATGAGAACAAAGCACTCTACACAGCACCGCTCCCCGCCTCCACCATCCTCGCCCCATCCTGTCCAACCTGCACCTTGCCCTTACCATCTCCGCCCACTGACTCGCTCCCCTGAGCAAGCACCCTGAACGCACTCAGAAGATCATTCTTCAGGTCTTCCCAATTCTCTACACCGACACTCACGCGCAGCAGCCGCGTATCGACCTCGATATCGCTCATGCGCCTCCACTCGATCAAGCTCTCCACACCACCGAGACTGGTCGCGTGGTGGAATAAGCGCAGCTTCGAGGGTAGAGTGCGGGCCTGCATCTCCTCGTGCGTGTACATGCTGAAGACGGGACCGAATCCGTTTGGCATCTGCGGTTTGAGCCAGTGCATGTCGTCTTTTTGCAGACTGGCGTGGGTGACCTTGCTCACTACTTTCTTCACCAGCTCGGCGTCTGCGCCGTTGCCGCAGAGGGAGTCGTGCAGCCATGAGACCAAGTTTTCAGCGTTGCTGCTTTGTCGTTGCACTCGAAGCTCTAGAGTACGCAGACTGCGGACGCCGAGCCAGCCTTCCAGACTGCCTAGCACGCTGCCGAGGAAGATGCGGTCGGCACGGAATGTTTTGGCAAGTGTGAGGCCCTCGTCGCCGACACGTGTGGCGAGTATGCCACAGAGCATGTCGCTGTGTCCACCAATGTATTTTGTGCCAGAGTGCATGACGATGTCGGCTCCCCATTTGAACGCGTCCATCAATCCTGGAGGCGCGAATGTGGCGTCAACGCTGAGAAGTGCGCCTCGGGCGTGTGCACGATCTGCGTACTTTTTGATAGAGAATGCTTCCCCCGTTGGATTGAGTGGCGTTTCAAGGTGTACAAGGTCACCTTTCCCTAGACCAGCCGCATCCCAAGCCTTGTCATCGGCATGAAGATCGACAGTCTTGACGTTATGCATGCGCTTGTGAAGTTCAATCACGCCATGGCAGCCATGATAGCCGCCACTGATTGCGATGACTTTGGGTACCACACCGACCAGCAGTCCGTGAAAAGCGCTGAGGCCGCTACTGTAGCTGACGACCTGGTTGGCTAAGATTTCCAACTCTTCCTCCTTGGCTTCGGGGAAGATGAGAGGCGCGAGAATAGTTTCCAGTCGATTGATGTTTGCGGAAGCTAGACGAGAGTAGATCAAGGGGGTTTGAAGGTCAATATATTCATCTTCCGTTGGGACGGCGACAAGCTCTTCCGGGTTGTGAGGATAGCGGAAGGTGGTGGAGGTGTGAATTGGAGGGGCGACATCGGTCAAGATGTTGATGCGGTCGTCGGCGTGGATGCCGTGGGTTGCTGCGTGAAGAGGCGGTGACATTGTGGATATGTTACGTTCAAATCCAATGTTGAAGAATTTTGACTAGAATCCAAGCTACGAAGGGAGGGTCCTGTTATACTGGAATTAGCACATGAGATGATCAGTCAAATACGGCCAGGTTGAAGGTAGATGAGGCATGCAAATGGCTTTTTGACGAGGCAATGCCGATGTCAAGCTGTTGTCAATTCCACGCCCTTTTGCGGCCCCGAGATCGCATGATCTAACCATTCACGCCGTTAGGGGACTGGCTATACGGCTATACCCGACTCGTCAGTGGACAAGACGCGTTTGGAGCGATACTAACGTGCAACATTACCGCTCGAGAGCATATATGTACACGACGAGACTCGTTCGAGGTTCATTAGCTGACTCCGGATAGCATTGTGTAATCATTTTACCACGAGTTCCTGTCTATGCATGTGTGTTGTGTCTGGACGATGGGAGGAAGTGAAGCTGACGGTTGCTGTTCGCAGCTATGACGTTGGTGCGGGGTAGTCGTCTGCCCCTCCCTATTTGCGACCAAAAAAAGTTGCGCTGGGAAGACAAAGGAAAGAGGCACTGCGAGAGATTTCACAACGGTACATGCGAGCGAGCCTGGCAACGAAATAGTATCTCATAACAGGGTGGTTTCAGATTGGCTGGCGCTCATAGTTGGAAGCTGAAGCTAAAGCTGTGTCTCTAGGTCCAGGACAATAGCCATGGCAGAAACCGCGAGAATGTATGCGCATGGGCCCAGTCTAGCTCATTATCTACCTTTCTGGGCACCAGCATCCGTGATGGTAGGCGGGCCCTCCTTGTATTTGACGGCGCCGCTCTGGCTACCGACGGCCTCGATACCGCGGACGACCTTGTAGGACTCGACATCGCCGTCCGGGACGCCGCCAAAGACGACGTGCTTGCCGTTGAGCCACGAGGTGACGACGGTTGTGATGAAGAATTGGGAGCCGTTCCTATCTCCTGTTAGCCAGTGTGTCTTTACGTAGACTTTTCGAGACGCACGTGTTGGGCCCAGCGTTGGCCATGGACAGGAGGAAGGGGCGGTCGTGCTTCAACTTGAAGTTCTCGTCGGCGAACTTCTCACCGTAGATGGACTTGCCGCCAGTGCCCTAGATTTCTGTGAGCTGCTGTCTCTCTTGATGTATCGCATGTCGATAGACTTACATTGCCACGGGTGAAGTCACCGCCCTGAAGCATGAACTGGGGGATGACGCGGTGGAACTTGGAGCCGCTGTACCCAAAGCCCTTCTCGCCGGTGCAGAGAGCGCGGAAGTTTTCAGCCGTCTTGGGAACTACATCGTCGAATAGTTCGAAGTTGATGCGGCCGGTTTGAGCTAGTGGTAGTGGCAGTGGTAGTCAGTGAATGGATGCACTCTGGTGCTTTGGAGAAACATGGTACAAGGATGGTGGAGCCACGCGCGACGACGCTCTTCATCCATGCATGGATCCATTTCTGAAAAGTGGCATGTCTACTCACCCTTGACGTCGCCGGTACGAGTGACGTTGCCCTGGGCGTCGACCTCGACCACCGGGCCGGTCCATGAGCAGTCAAAGTATGCCTTGATGGCCATGTTGGATGCTGAAGGAGTAAAGAAGCGCTTGTTCACTGGAGCGCGAATAGAACTTCTCGCTGCGCGCAAGGCCGAGAAAGCTGCGGAGGGAGAGTGCATGAGCCCCACCATTGTTGGAAGCGCGGGGTGTTGAAGCTAGCCCTGGAACTGCACAAGGTAGTCAGCCCAGATCCCTTGGCGGTGAATCGCGGGTGAGCTGCGGAGCGTCTGGTGACACCCGGGGGAGGGGGGGGGGGGGAAGAAAAAAAGAAAGGAAACCGAGTCTCAAGTTGGGGGCTTTCACAAAACAATAACATGCTGGGTTGTATCTTACAGGTAGGAACTGTACTTGGTCGATGCTGCACAACCAAATACTGAAGCTCGATTTGATGCGCTGACTGTGAGGATGGGAAGGGGGCGCAGGGAACAAAAGCTTTCAATGGCAGTGTACAACAGCGTCCTATAATACAATTGACAGATGGAAACAATGCAAAGCTGTATGTGGTGCGTCGTGCGTCGAGATGAAATTCAGCAAAAGGCCAGTCGGAAAAAGTTTAGATGCTGCATCATCGAAGCGTGCCTCCAGCACCCGAGCGCGTTCCCCAATGCGGCCTGTCCATTGCAACGTCGATCGATCGTCGAGGGGGCCCTCTACCTGTCTTTCTTTCCTTGTAGGACCGACTTTGGGTGGACATAGGTACCTTATTTCGATATTGTCTTCTATGGCCCAATGCATCGTCTGTCCCTGATCTGATTTCTTCATCACGCTGACTCTTGCGAAATGCCCCGTGGTTGGCACCGAGAGCTGAGTTTGAGCTGGGGGTGAGGCCCGAGCTTTGGTGCCCAGTATCACGTGCCGGGCAGTGCGGCTGTCTGGACTCCATGGCCTCCGCGGTGGACGTCGTCAAAGTTCAAACACGCATCTCGAGAAAAGCGACAGACTCAAGTCTCAGGTGTCCGCCCGAAGAGAACTTTGATTGCCGAGTGCGCCGCTCGCAATAGTCAGCTGCCACCTGCATCTTGCCCTTCAAAGCACTCTTCACTTGCCAGCACACCCACAACCACCCGCACCGCACACACACGGACACACACACAGAGACTCGCCCAATATGGATCTGAGCAGCTTGAAAGAGCAAGTCAGCAATCTCACACTCTATGACCTCAAAGCTGGGTTTCGCAAAGCTCAGAATGGTATGTTGTGGCCTAGGAGCGTAGGCCTGCTGGACCGGGGCTAACGCGCCGTGCAGCGGTGATGAACTACACAGAGATGGAGGCAAAGGTGCGCGAAGCGACCAACAACGAGCCATGGGGTTAGTTCCATTGGGTGCAGTATACAAGAGGTCATGGCTGACGGATATATAGGTGCATCTTCGACCATGCTGCAGGAGATCGCCAATGCCACGTTTAACTAGTATGTGCCTGACGGAAGCTCATGAACGAGCAGACACTTGCTCACATACTTTCACAGCCAATTGCTCAACGAGATTATGCCTATGATCTACAAGCGCTTCACTGAAAAGGCGTCTGAGGAATGGCGACAAATCTACAAGGTATAGCGGCCTTCAGCCTTTCGCTGATCTGGCTGACCGACGCAGGCACTTCAATTACTCGAATTCCTGATCAAGAACGGCTCTGAGAGAGTCATAGATGATGCGCGCGCCCATGTCTCCCTCCTCAAGATGCTCCGGCAATTCCACTTCATCGACCAGAATGGCAAGGACCAAGGCATCAACGTGCGCAACCGGGCCAAGGAACTCGCAGAGCTGCTCGGCGATGTCGACCGCATCCGCACCGAACGCAAAAAGGCACGCGCCAACCGCAACAAATTTGGAGGCGTCGAAGGCGGAGCGGGTCTTGGCGGCTTCTCCGGTAGTGGGGGCTTCTCAGGCGGCAGCGGCGGGGGCAGCAGCAGGTATGGTGGATTCGGCAGTGAGCAATCAGACTTTGGAGGCTATAGGGGTGAGGTCTACGGCGACGGCGGGGGTTTTGGGGGCAACCAGTCCGGTTTCGCAGACACGCAACAGCGCCGCGACCGCTTCGACGAGTACGATGAATATGACGAGGGCGAAACCAACCCTGCACCACGGAGAAAGGAGCCTGCAGCAGCTCCAGCGAGGAGAGAAGCAAAGAAGGAGGAAGCCAAGCCAAAACTAAAGGCACCCGAGCCAGTCGTTGACCTGCTTGCCTGGGACGACGAGCCTGCGCCCGCCTCGAATTCAGCAGGCAAGCAAGCCGTTGCATCGACAGGGGCTGACTTTGGAGACGATGACGACTTTGACGACTTCCAGTCTGCCGCGCCTGCAGCACCGGCAGCCCAGGCCTCAAAGCCAGCAGCCTTCACCGTGGCGCCTCCCGCTTCCACGTCGACGATTACTTCATCGACGCAATTCGCCGCGCCCCAAGCTCAGTCGTCCGCCCAGAACAACAGCCTGAAAAACCTGTTTGCGACTGTGTCTCCACCACCAGCTGCAAACCAAATGGCATCACCACCACCCATGGCTTCGGCCATGTCCCAAGCCCCACAGCCCTCTGGATACCAAGCGTCGGGACCCAATTACTTCACGTCGATGCCGCAGTTGGCGCCTCAGTCGGGTGCTTCCACGCCCTCCATGGTGTCCACAGGCGGAAAGATAGGAGGAGGAGGAGCTGCTCCCAAGAAGGCTGGCGGTGATGCATTCGCATCGCTGCTGGCAGGAGCTGCACCAAAGAAGTCTTCGACCCCCACACAGAAGGTCACCATGGGCGATCTGGCCAAGCAAAAGACGAGCCAAGGGCTTTGGGGGACACCGGCATCTGGTTCAAGCACACCAGCTGCACAGGCACCGCAGACCGGAGCCAAGCCTGGCAGTGCTCTTGGTGATTTGCTGGGTTAGCAATAGGTCTGTAGTTCCATTACGACGCTGGGTCTGTTGTCTTGTGCATATGTTTGATGTGGAACGACATGGGAGGGTGTGGGATTTGTGCTATCCCGCTGGCTTACCGGCCCTAGTATACTGTCGGGGCAATGAATATACCAGAGAAGGTATATGTACTAAGTACGACCTGGGCTCGATCATGCAATGGGTAGAAGAAGGGGTGGGCGTGGAGGTAGAGAGTCGAGTCGGTGAAATGTGACAGTGATTGGGGCCTGTTTTCTTCCCCGCAAATGCGCGTCTGTGATTGGCTGCACGCCCGCCCCTCTTGGCCCGACCCCTAATTTCCCTTTTGCAGAGATAGCTCTCCCTGGGAGGTGGTGGACAGTGGATGCCAATGCCATGCCATGCTATATGCGCCTACCGCCATATAACTAACAATGGACTTGCACATGCACCCTCGCATGCCCACTATCTACACTCTTGCATACTCCCCATAGTAGACCAGAAGACCTCTCGACCTAGACTACCTCTTATCGTTGATCGACCTCTTGGACATGCATCAATGCAGTTCTCCCGCCTCTTCCGCCGCATCGCCCTGCTTTTACTGCCCTTAGCACTCACTGGCACCCTATGGCTGTACCTATACCCCATCTTCCACTCCTGTGGCTTCCCCACACCGCCGCCTACCAACACGACTTTGCTTGCGCCCTTTCGATTGCTGGCCTTGGGCGATCCGCAACTCGAGGGTGACTCGTCGCTTCCGGACCCCGAAGCGCTGGTGTTTCCCTCGCTTGAACTCTTCCCCGAACAGCTGCGGGCTTCAGCTACGTGGGCGGAGAGCCGTCATGTCGTTGTGGAAGCGGCCAAGGGTGCGGTGCAGGACGCGCGTAGATGGTTAGAAGGCAAGAGAAAGGCGGTGGATCTCTGGGGCAACGACTTATACCTTGCACATATTGTGCGTAGCCTGAGATGGGCGACGGAGCCTACGCATATTGCCGTCTTGGGCGACTTGCTGGGCAGTCAATGGGTCACCAACGGAGAGTTTAGGAAGAGAGCGGGACGATATTGGGGGGTTGTGATGAGGGGCTTGGAGAATGTGCCTGATCGCGTCTTGGGTATCCAGCCGGTGGAAGAGAATCACGATGCAGAACCAGGCGAGGTCAACGAGGAGGTACAAAAGGGCTCAGACGGACAAGACGAGGGCACAACATATGGCGAGGACAGCAAGAAAGAGAGAAAGACAGCATGGGGTGGCACGACAGAAGTCCTCGGCGCAGACAAGGACTGGAGCAAGCGCGTCATCAATATTGCAGGGAACCACGACGTGGGCTACGCTGGCGATCTCGACGAATCGCGCATCGAGCGCTTTGAACGGGCCTTTGGAAGCGTCAATTGGGACATTTGGTTCGAATTACCACCGCACCTACGGCCCAATAGCACACCCACTGAAGAGCCCCCGCCAGCCCTCCGCCTCGTAATCCTGAACACCATGAACCTCGATACACCCGCCTGGTCCGCCGACCTCCAAACCGAGACCTACGACTTCACAAACCACATCATCATGAACTCCCGCCCCGTACACGACAAAACGCACGCTACAATCCTACTAACCCACATTCCGCTTGAGAAGGAAGAGGGTATCTGTGTTGACTCTCCCTACTTTGACTTCTTCGAAGATGGCCAGGGGGTCAGGGAACAGAATATGCTATCTGGCCATGCGAGCAAGATTATACTAGAGGGCATATTCGGATTGAGTGGGAATAAAGAGGCTGAAGGAAGGGGGTTAGGGCGGCGAGGTGTAGTGGTGAACGGGCATGATCATGAAGGCTGTGATGTCGTGCATTACATTCGACAGCCAGGGATAGAAAGCTCTTGTTCACTCGAAAGAGTAAAGAAGGAGGAAGCGTATTGGCCAGTCCCCACGGCTGAAGAGGAGAACATGGCTGTACCTCCACTCGACGCTGACATGTCGCTGTCCTCTCCCAATGATACCGAATCTACTCGACCTCCAGCGCCGATTTCTGAACCCGAAATCCCCAAATGGCGTGCCCGCCACTATCCACCCCTTGCCTACGACATGTCGCCCTCCAACCACTGTCTCGCCATCAACGAAGCACCGCACCTCCGCGAGATCACACTACGCAGCATGATGGGCGAATTTTCAGGCTATGCAGGCTTCTTGTCAGCATGGTTCGATGAGAGCAAGGGAGAAAAGGGCGAGTGGGTGTTTGAGTTTGCGACGTGTGGGGTTGGCATTCAGCATTGGTGGTGGGCCGTGCATGTGCTGGATTTAGTGCTGATTATTTGCTTCCTGGGGTGGGGATTGACGAGCACATGGGAAAAGAGTGTTGCGAAGAATCAAGACAAACAAGGTCATCGGGTTCAAGAGGTAGCGTCGAAGCCTGAGGTTGAGAAAGCGATGCCAATCAATGGGACGAGAAATGCAAGTAGCATGAATGGCGGACGACAGGCACGTGCTAACGGGTAGGCATATTCGGCACGTTTAGCATACATGACGGGGTGTTGGGGTGTTGGTGATTATTTTGAAGATTTGGATAGACTAGGTAGTGTATTCACTTTATGTACATTAATATCATGTTGCCCTAGGAGTACTTACCCCATCTCTCTAGCTCTCTGTCTCTCGCTTTACACCACAGGGTTATTAGGATACTATCTATACAAATATCTACCGTTTGGCTTCAGGACCATGTGTACGAACGTCCCAGTCTATATAAGACTACTACAGTACTCATACATACGCATTTAGGGTAGTCCCCCGCATTTAAGGAACCGCGGGGCGGGGAGCTAGTCGATGCACCTTCTTTTCAGTTCCGGTCTTGGCCGAGAAGCCTTGATTACCTTCCGCACTCGTTCCGTGCCGCACTTGTGGTAGCATCATCCTACCTACGTACCATACTTCTTCTTTTTGACTTCAGCCGTCTGTCCCGTGCGTCTCTGTTACCAACCAATACGTCTCGTCTCACAGGTGGGTTGGCTGTCAGCTACGAGCAGCATGGCGCTACTCACGCGACAGATGGTTGGTTGATAGGTGATGGCTAGGTACGGTACTGAGCGGTAAGAATTAGGCAGAAGGAGAATGACTGATTGTAGTTGCCTTGTGGCTGCGGAAGGGGGGCGGATGTGTTCCGTGCGACGACTTATGGGGTGGATAGACGACGAGTGCTTTAAACCAACTGTTTGGATCATAAGGGTGACAGTTGTTGGGTATTCCCTTTGGCCAAGGTGTAGTAATAGACTGAAATTGTACTACCATCAGCATGCCTCTGGAACGTGTGGACTCGGCGAAGAACGATCAAGTCTACGACTACATCATTTGCGGGTAAGAGGCACCATCAGAAACGACGTCCTTGGGCGTATCACCAACAATTGAAGACCCGACAGAAATTCTAACTTAACTCGTATACTGACACATCCCAGCGGCGGTACGTCTGGTTGCGTAATCGCTGGCCGTCTTGCCGAAGACCTCGACGCCCGCATCCTCATTCTTGAAGCCGGACCCGACAATGCAGATCTTGAAAACGTGCACATGGCCGGTGGTTGGAGCCAGAATTTTGACTCGGAGACTGACTGGAACATTGTCACGGAGCCCATGGCCACAGTCGACAATCGGCAAGTCAAGGTGTCGAGGGGTAGATTTCTGGGAGGAAGCAGTGGAGTCAATGGAACACTGTGTATACGGGGCACCAAGCAAGACTATGACGATTGGGGCATGGAGGAGTGGACTGGAGAGAAGATGTGGGGATATATGAAGAAGTCGGAGACATTTCATGGAAAAGACTGGCATGAGGCTGATATGTCGGTGCATGGTACTGATGGACCTTTGCACATCGCGCCGCATGATCTGGCACCCATCTCCGAGCGTGTAAAGCAGAGTATGATTGATTCGGGATTGCCATATCACCCGGATATGTTCTCAACGGGGGAGTCACCACATGGTTGCGGCGATGTGCCGAGGACAGTGCATCAGGGTATCCGAACGACGGCTGCGGATTTCGTGACCAAGAACTACAAGAGGGATAACATCACTATCAAAACAGAGGTCACGGTTGACAAACTGCTCTTGTCTGAAGATTCTGGCAAGTTGACTGCGACGGGTGTTGCAGCCTTCTCGAAGACGGGGCAGAAGATCGAGTATAAAGCGCGCAAGGAAGTCTTGGTCACGGCAGGTGCATACTGTAGTCCAGCGATTCTGATGCGTTCTGGTATCGGACCAAAAGAGCAGTTGGAAAAGCACGGAATCGAGTGCCATGTTGATCTCCCCGGTGTAGGGAAGAACCTAATGGACCATGTCGTACGTATACATTTGAACATTGAAATGAGCAACGAAACCACATGTACTAACATACTCTACTCTTCTCTTCCCACCAGCTCTGCTTCATCTTCTACGAAGTCTCGGAACCAAACCTCACAAACGACTACCTCGCCTACCACGGTGATGCAATGGCCAGCACCTACAAACTCTACCAAGAGAAGAAATCCGGCATCCTCTCCACCTTCCCCTTTGGCGTATTCGGCTACGCTCGCCTCGAAGACCGCCTCAAAGACTCTGCGCTCTGGAACGAGGCAGCCAGAAAGCCCGGTCGCGACCCAATGGGTCTCGCGCCCAACCAACCCAACATCGAATTTTGGAACACAGAACTGTACGGGGGCCCGAAACAGTACACGGATTTCCCCGTGGATGAGAAACACGCGTTTGCGCTGTGCACCTTGCTGTTTAATCAGCACTCGCGCGGCACGGTGGTGCTGAAGAGTGCGGATCCCATGGACAATCCGGTGGTGGACCACAACTACCTCGCTGATCCGCTGGATATGCTCGTCATGAGCGAAGCCTGCAGATTCGCCAACGAGATTGTCATGAATGGAGCCGGCACAAAGGATTGTATCAAGGGGAGTTGGCCCGCTAATCTATCACATCACACGTACACCAAACGCGAGGACTGGGAACCCCATGTTCGTCAACATGCTACAACTTGTAAGTCTCACAAACACACACACACACGCTCTCTCTCTCTCCCTCTCTATCCTTCTCAGCTATATTGAATCCCTACAAGTCTACTCACGCACACATCCAGGCTACCACGCATCAGGCACCTGTAAAATGGGCCCCGAAGACGACATCGACGCCGTGCTCGACAGCCGTCTCCGCGTCCGCGGTGTGCAAAAGCTCAGGGTTGCGGACATGTCGAGTATACCGCAGGTCAATAATGGACATACGCAAATGGTGGCGTATGGAATTGGCGAGGGGGCTGCGGAAATGATTCAGCAGGATGCAAAGGATGGGCGGCTTTCGAAACTTGTGAGTGAGGTGGAGAGATTGGCCGTTTAGTTTCGGGATAGTCTTTTTGAGGACACAGGGGGTAGAGAAATGTGAGTAGGGAGAGTTGATGTTGGGTCTTGCATGACCTGGGCTGGGATTTTGGTAGTCTGTCATCATGATATCTGGGTTAGATTTGGCAAACCACGCAAAAATATTATTGTACCATTGTACTCCACCAACCCAACCTCCCACTCCCTTAGCCCCTCCATCTCAACATCCCCCAACTCACAATCCCGATACATACTATAGTAGTCTCAACACCCCCTCCAAACCCCAAACACATGTACCACAAAACCCCCCCCATCCTGAAACACCCACTCCCCCCTCCAAACAACTCACGCAGCAACCCCCGATCCCTCAAACACAGCCGCACGCCCGCAAAAAAACCAGGGCACATAACAGTTCATCCAATTCATCCAACCCACCCATTCCCCATTCCATTTCACCCCTTCCACCCCCTCCACTCCATCCATGCAACCCCACCCACTCTCCAACCAGACAAAACAGGCCCCAAACAGACCCCAAACAGCGATGAAAAAAAAGGGTGCCCAGCAGGCGAAGCCTTGCAAAGGACATGGGCGTATGCGAAACAGGCGAAGCTTATCAAGTGTAGCGAGGCTTGTGTGGGAAGGGACACGGGATCGGGGGCTGCATGAGGGGGGTATTTTTGCGTGTTCGAGGTAGTGACGAGGTTAGGGCGGGGAGGGAAGACACAAGGCTTGTTTGGAGAAGAAAATGCAGGTACAAAGTTGAGATGTACCCTCCGCATCTTACATGGAGGAGACGTTGCGGGCTGTTCTATCTGTCTATCTTGTTGTTTTGATTCTTGTGGCTGGTTCCAGTATCTTTTTTTCTTCAATTGTTGACTTAATCCTCTCGGGTCATAGTTTTTTTTTGTTCAGAAGACGATTAGAAGCCGAGCGAGAGCTCCAGGAAGTGAAAAAAGTTGATTATAATGTACAAAGCCATCGGTTGGACGTCCCTGCTGGCTCTGACCAGCGCGCTCCCTCAGCGGAATAATGGCGGTCGACAAGGCGGACAGCAGCGTGCCACGGCCCTGGAGCAAGCCGCTCAGATACCCCAAGGCATCTCGCAAGCACAAGATGGCTCGACGATCCTCGATGACACCGTCATGGTGAAGTAAGTTTTGCCTTTCCAACCAACTTGGGAGAAACAATCAGCTGACTTGAATCGAAGTGACCTACCCATCCGCTTCAAAATCTCCGCACCAGCAGATCAATTCCTCACCACTTCAGGCGTCCCGGGGGCAGCAGCAACATCCGCTAACGGGACTATGGGCGCCAACGTCCTTCTCCACGGAGACGGTGGCCAATCCTTCTTCGACTTTCCCAATCAGAATGTGCAGGCCAATACCATGGGTGTCGCCCTTCTCGCACCCGATGATAATCTCTTCTGGGGCGGGGGATCCGGCCTCGACCGCACCGATGGCGTTGCGCACGCACAAGCTGTCAGCGACTTCATCACCACTGAGATGCCCAAAATCGTAGCCATGGATGCATCCGCCGTTGTATTCACTGGTGTCTCAGGAGGTAGTCTGTTGATGTCCGGTTTCTTCATCCCAGCACAGATGCAAAATTTCCCAAACAGCGCCGTGGAGTTGAATTGCGGTGCCATGCCGCCACAGGTGCAGTTCCAAGACGCAGCAACGGTCATGAGCCAGACGAGGATCCACTACCAATCTACAACAGGAGAACTCACATTACTTCAAGATGCCATTCCACAGGCGATTACTGCATATGAACAGCTTGCTGCGGATGCGGGCCTGTCGACAGCCCAAATTAACAACCTGCAAACTGTGGACAATACACCTACCGGAGGCCACTGCGAATTCGATGGCCAAGATTTTGTTTCGGGCGTACAGACCATGCTGACGAGTTATTCAAACGTTATGCAGGGTGGCGACGGTACAGTAGATGGGATCGGTGCGCCGAGTAATGGGCTGGTCACAACCGGCGTAGTCGGAAACGAGAATTTGCAATTTGTCGGAGCGAGGAAGAGGGCGGCAGATGCGGTGAGCATGTTGCAGATAAGGTGGGCGCAAGTCGAAGTTGTGGAGGAGGATGCGTACCAGTTGTTGGAGTGCGATCGTTTTACGTGTGGTAATGAGCCAGACATCTAAGCAAATAATACCAAGGGCTTGAATGGCAGTTTCCTACAAGGGATAGTTCTGTCCAAACTTGGACACCTCTGGTTAGCGTTTTCATCGCATGTTTCCCGCCTTGAATCACGAGAGGTGGCCTTCGCCGTCACCGCCATGGGAAGAAGAGGTGGTTTGTATTGTCGTAATGTTCATTTGACTGGTAGTGCAAAGGCGGTTCCATTGCGAGCTGGTGCAATGTCTACTCCTAATTCCTTCACCCCATAAATGCATTTTCGCCGTGCCCGTGGACCCATGAATGTTGCAGAAAGCCGGAAAAAGAGACACCTCACATGACCACACCAGAGTTGGACGCAATACGCTACGTTTAGTCAGCAGAGAAAGGGAGGAAGTGTGTGGATCAACACACCGGCCACAGCTCAGCAGCCTCCTTTGCGACAGGTCCGGTAATGGCAGAGCCCTTCATTTCACCCTTGGGGTTGACAATGACACCGGCGTTGTCCTCGAAGTAGAGGAAGACACCGTCCGCTCGCCTCCATGGCTTGCTCTGGCGGACAATGACGGCGGGCATGACCTTCTTCCTGAGCTCAGGCTTTCCCTTCTTGACAGTTGCCATGACCATGTCACCAGCGCCACCGGCAGGCAGGCGGTTAAGACGCGCACCAATACCCTTGACGGAGATGATGTACAGGTTGCGGGCTCCCGAGTTGTCGCAGCAGTTCATGACGGCGCCGCTGTGTGTTTCCGTTAGCCCGGAATTCATACATGTTGTCTCTTTGTGATCTTTTCATCTTGCCGTCACCATTGCCATGGCTATCGCAATCGCAATCGACATCGAAACCGAACATAATCTTCGAGGGCAGCGGTCGCATCGCAACGCATTGGAACAGGGTAAACGTACACTGGCAGACCAAGCGTCATCTTCAGCTTGTTACCGGAGGTAGAACCACGACTGCAGAGTTTCCATGTTAGCGAATCCAATCTCTCGTATGAGGTGCAGCAGCTCCTTCTCCCTCTCCTTCTCCTTCAGAGGTATCACATACCCACGCTTTCCAGACATGTCGAATGATTATTGGGGGTTGTTTCGGTGGGTGTGGGGTTGTCGTCGCTGGCGATGGAATGGGCCTGAAGTTCCTCAAACTTTTGGTGGGCGACGCTGAATTTCGAGATGCCTAAGCGAGTGTGCACTAGTCGCTGTAATAGGACTAGCGTCGAGACTTTGTCGTTCATTCAGGCCAAGCTTCACGTGGGGGGATGTGGAAGAACATGAGAACATCAACTCACAAACGAAACCACGCCTACATGAAATTTAAGAAAAGGATCTTGCAGAGTCCGCTGTTCTCCAAATAATAGACTACGTTGCAATGCGAATTCATCATTGCTGAGAGAAAGAAAAGAACTGAAAATGGTCCACGGCAAACGGTTGGCTCGAAGTCAAATGCCATGGTAGATCTCCGCCACCGACAACCACATGAACGACGAATTGTACCATGTCGCCTCACTTCCAGGCACCCTGCGCTCATGATATTTGGACAAAGTTTTACTTTGTCGTCGAAGCATGAGGAAGATTCCAATAAGCAGGACACAGCACACCAGAGTCATGTCCAGTGGATAGCTATCCCATTGAGGAAATCGGAAAGCATTATTCACGACAAGCAACTTGCATCAGCGTCGTTCCGCCTCGTCTTCCTGTTGACTCAAACGATAAAGGCAAGTACTTGTGCCAGGAGCAGTGCGCTCACGATACAGATCGATGTGCGGAAAAGGAGAACGAACTCTTATCGCTGATGCGAAGGTGGATCGATGAAGGTGGCACTGGCACTGCGTACCAGTAATCAGCGATACATGATGTTCAAGCGTTGCAAAACCAGGTCCTGGAGTGGATGCTAAACGGGTTGTAAAATGGTACTACGATGACTGATTACGCAAGCAAACCCGAACAGTGAGGCTGTAGAACCTACATGAAATCTTTGTTGCAAGTACCTGTCATATTGGTCGTTTCCGAACGGTGCGGGACTGCGGCGTGCAACGGTATTCTGAACTTACTGTATCTTGTTCATGGGCATCTTGTTCATGAATGGTCTTCGTGGACCAGTGCATGGATATTGCATAAACATACCTCAGCTCATTCACTTGTCGAACAAGAAGCGCGGCTGCTTCAACCGGGACACGGCACAAACGAACTTTGAGCCTCCTGTTGACCCAATGCCATATGTTGTTCTAACTTCTAAGCATGTTCCACGTCAGCACAAGTATACTCCGCCAACACACCGCTGGATCCATCAGCACCCCATCTTGGAGTATTGTAGGCTTGGAACACTACTCCCTGTCCTGCGATGCACGGTATTTTACTATTGAGCGCTGACGCTCCGAAAATGAAATAGGTGGATTACAGACCTCGATTGATGACTGAGGGCGGGCGTCGTCGGCGTGCGTCGGTGCTTCTTGTGAAGAGATATGGGTAAAAGTATTGATTGAACTGCAGCGGAGGATCCGGACTTGTAAAGGGATAGGCGCTAATCTCAATATAGTCGCCATACGCACACACCCCCTACCCACATCGACTCTGGTTGCCCAATGCCACCAATGGGCGGTTGACCTTGCGACCTCATCCATTGACCACTACACACGTCTCCCCGAGTACATGGGGTCTTTGACGAAGTATCGGAGCGATACCTTACCGACCGCATGTGCAGGATTGTTCGACGTATTCTCAGAAAAGGAAAACACAACACAAAGGGCGTCCGTCAATGGCAGCGCAATGGAGAAGGCGCAGCGAACGCGTGGTTGACCGAGGTCAGAAGTACTGTAAGTTCATTTCATTGATGGACAGGACCAAGTCTTTCCTGTACGGTAACGCTGGTCATTGAACGACATGGCGGAAGCATGTTTGCCATCGTCTCGAGTCAGTAGCACAAGGCGGAGGCATGACCACGTTCGCAATGGTCTCGATTCAAGTCGCACAAGGGCCCACGGCTGTGTAGCTGCAGTCACTAGGCGCCAAATGTTGTCTTTCTCACCTTCGGGAATCGGTACTGCCCATGCTACATGTCTAGGTTGGTACATGGGTATGGCACAGCCAGCTTCAATGTCAGTATTGTAGGTCACAAGCAGGAAACGTGGATGTGGAGTTTGCGGCATGTTCGCGCACCGACCGGATCGTCCCTTTCCGCCTTTCTGACAGCACTGGACAATTGGAGTATCGTCATTCTGGTAGTTCGCGACAGCAGAGTTGAAACTACCGGAGTTTTAAAGCCCGCCGGGAGCCCGCTGGGGGTGTTGCTTGGCAGCGGAGAGCCCACCGTCGTCATCCATGGCCACATTGGCAAGACATGTACGCCATCCACACCGACCCGCGGAGAATTTCACGCCAAGACCACCGGGACCGCTAGTGAAAGCGGATTGATTCACCCCGAATGGGGTGCACACGTTCGTGTCGAGATGGTCAGGAGACAACAACCAAGTCACACATTGTACCGGTGTTGCACTGCGGGGAAGTAGATCGTTGCTGCTTGGGGCATCCTCCACAGACGGTTGGTCTCGTATAATGGCTGGGTGATTGCACACCGAAGGCTGCAAGGAGGGCATGGGGTGCATAGTAGGAGGCATCTCCCAACATGGTAGTTCATCGGTGCCTGGAGAACCATCTGTCCGGTACAGGTGTACGGTGTCGTATATTCTTCGCTTGGCAACGCTATGGGAAGAGACAAGCCCAGAGCCGACAACACGGCAATTAGCGCCCAGGTGCCCAGTGATGTGTTTTGTCCAAGCCGTCTGGGGTGCAGCCGCTGAAACAGACGTGGCGTGCGGAATATCGATCAGGACCGCACATCAAAGTCCCGGCATGTTGTCTCGTTTCGCTCGACAGTGTTTGTTCATAGGTGGAATTCATTCATGTCCCTGAAATGAGCAGTACTACTATATGGTCCCTGCTAGGGAAGTGCCTAGCAACAAACTTGCGGTCTGTCGCCACTGATGGAGTTACTTTGGCCCGAAAGCTTCGAAGAACGGTGACCGTCCGAGGTGTTGTTTATTCTTGACCAGCAATCGATAGGACCGACATGTCCATCCCAGAGTCGTTGTTTCAAACAATCGGACAAGTACTTTAAGGAGCGCTCTGCGCCAGATATTTCTCCCTACCGCCTGCATCCGCTTCCCCTCATCCTCCCTCTACTTCCCCTCCCTCCCTCTACTTCCCCTCCCTCCCTCTACTTCCCCTCCCTCCCTCTACTTCCCCTCCCTCCCTCTGTCCATCATGGTTCACATCTCGGGTCTATCAGCAGTCCTTGCACTCGCTTCCGTCGCTTCAGCTCAATGTGGCTCGGGTACACCAAACGCGAGGGTCACTGGCTCTGGCAGCTCTTTCACGGCTACTAGGGGATCTACGACTCTGTACACCGGCTCCGACTACCGTCTTGCTATCCAGACCGCAATCGACGGCATCAGCAGTGGCCAGCGTGTCTCTGTTATTGCTTCCGGTAACATCGGGGCCAACACCATCACGATCCAGAATGGAAAGACCTTTGAAGGTTGCGGGACCATTACTGCCGCTGTCAGGAGTGGCAGGGGAAGCATTGAAGTCACCGACCAGACTGGTGTCAACATTCCTTTCCTTACGCTAGCTGGCTCGTCCTACTTTGGTCTTCGGTTCTCTGGCACCAGGGATCTTACCTTGGGCAACATCAACATCAACATCAATGCAGGTATCGGCATCCGATTCGACCGCGATCGTGCAGCCAACACCAACGTTAGGATGGGTACCATCAACTGCAATGGAGCGAGCTCCCATTGTGTTGAGACTTGGAACATTGACAGACTGGAGATCGACTCCGTCGTTGCGCGAAACGTTGGAGAGTCTGGCCTCTTGATCCAGAAGGTCACCAACGCCAACATCGGCACCGTAGACTGCGACAACTGCGGTACTGGCACCGGCTATGCGGCTCTTCGATTTGCCAACGAAGCTGGCAGACTCAACAACGCGTACCCCACCAACATCAGGGTCAACAGGGTCAGGGCTCGCGGCGGAGGCCGAGGTGTCTTCTGTGTCTCCGCCTCTGGTGGTGCAGAGATTACCACTGTCGACATCGCCAACACGGGCAACAACGCCGTTCTCATCGAGAACTGCTACAACTTCAACATCAGGGGCGGAACTGTCAACGGTGGAGGCGAAGTCCGTCTTGCAGCTCGTGATGAGTTCGAAAACAGCAGGGACATTGCTATCACTTTGAGGGTTGATGGCACCACGGTACGCGAGAGCCCTTGCACGGCCAACCCTACCAGGTGGTCCCTCACAGGCAATGGTGCCAGGAACATCTGCACTTAAGTGTGGGACAGACGGCCATGCTGCAAGGTATACTCGGACAGAGAATTCTTTGGTAGCCTTTCTTTCATGTACATATTGCGACAGTTTAAAGAAACTCGCACCTTACTTGTGCCAATACCGTAGCGCTTAACTGCAGATTGGACAATACGGTTATGCCAATGTTTTCGCTATGAAACAATGCAGCCACAGTGATATTTCATCTATCCATGTCTCCATGTGAAAAAGTGTTATGCAAAACGAAGTCTTACTAAGAATGCTAGCCATGTTTCATCCATCATGTATTTAAGCCAAAACACACTTCAACTCGCTACCACATGTTTCCTCCTGTTTCGCCTCAAAGATCTCAACCCTGGCGAATCGCGATTCCATCCACAATCTTACACAGAAACAAGCACTATAGAAATCAACATTATTGTGCCACCTTCGCAATAGAAGCAATATCAACAGCTTTCATGCGGGGTCTATTGGTACAATGATAGCTTCATTTCCACACGTATTCACTGAAGTCATTCTCTTCACGTGACAGTCAACATGTCACAACTATTGTAACCACTCGGCATGCCAACAATCAAACTCATACAAACGAAAATCATACACGGCATGAATAGTTTACCTAGGTATAGCTAGAAGCGACTCCTTCGCAATCAGTCCGAATTCACCAGTGCTTGGCCACACGAGTTGAAACGAATGAGGTTTTGTGTACGGCATGAACTTGGCTATTCCAGAAACACTTGAACGTAAGCGATGACGAAAGCCTATATTCCGAATTGCAATCACAGATATTGATTGTGCAGACAAGATGCAGTGTCATCTCGGCTACGTAGAACTGTGCCATGTCGCTCAGAAAAAAAAGAGAAAAACAAGAATTGGTATCCGTACTTTTGATGCTTTAGATCTCTCATTACCGGTACGGCTTATATGAATTTCGGCATTTATTATGCGATGGCGATTACAGGGCTGTTTAATTACTTAATTTAGGGTTGCGATGGGCGTGCACAGTGTACGGCGCCCGGATGACGCGTCTTGGGCGGCAAGTTGGGCCGGCGGGAGTATTGAATGCACTTGAACTTAACAAGAACTTCGCCGACATTTTCCCTACTACTTTTGTTTTCTCGCAGTATTATATCAAGGCTATATCCAATCAGAGCATATCCTCGTGGTGTTGTTCAAGCCACCGTGATCAAAAACTTCTGCAACAGGTCATCGACTCTGCAAAGTTACAACTGCGAGATCTGCAATTAAGTGGATGGGCCGGTACAAGGAATTTGAGACCGAATCTTACTTTTTCCATATACTGTGGTACCTGACGCTATTTGGGCTCAGAAGCCATCGTAATTCAACTGTACCGTCCTCCGGGACGGTACAGTGCAACGCAACTTGCTAATGGCCTATTCGCCCAACAAAATATGGCGACGAACATACTATAAATGTCTTAATATTGACTATGGCCTATTCAGCATCTCTGAACTATCAAATATTTACCAATAATTCCACCCCCGATCTCCACCACAAAGTGCGGGTGGAAGTCGCTCTACGCAGATTTGCAACAGGTGGATATCTGGAACACGAGAACTGTGATAGCGCTGTAATTATTATAGTGGGAAACGGCGATGGAACTAAAGAAAGAGGATAAAATATCTCAAGTACGTTGCTAACATAGGATAGACTAATAGTATGCGAGTTCATTACTATCACTATTGTGTCAACATATCTTCCGCGAAATCTTTCCGGTTGCTGAGTTTCACATTGGTGCTTAAAGAGTTTGAACGCAGTCCTGATGCTCTGACTGTTACCCTGAATTTTCCCAATATGGTAGTCCAGCCCCATTTTTTTGTCTTCGACTTGTGAGAAGGCAATGCAATTATTGATGTTACTGGTCTACCGGCGGATGAGGAATTCGTCTTGGTATTGTCTGCCTGAGACCAAGACACATCAACATTGAATTCTGAAAAATTTCTTCAATCAGCGGTCTGGCCTTACACTGTCTACACTGGCATTAATTTTCACAAAGGCGCAAATAAGCAAGGTCTGATGAGTGAATTTTCCAAAGTATTGAACTGTTAGGAAGTGGTACTCCCCCATCCTAGTAGGACAGGCTAGTCCGCCCGCAGGTTGAAGCTTATAGTAATGTTGGAATAATATGTTTATTTAGATTAAGAAAAAATGAAAAGGGCAGAGAGTTCGAGGAGAAGGTTAAGCTTTTAATTCTGTTATTTTCTTTACATCATAATAGTCAGTGATCCCTGCTCTCCCTACTAAGGCCTGATCAAATATATAGATGTACCTAATTAGTCCACTCTCCTACTAATACTCTGTGCCACGGCAGAGTGTAAATTGCGTTGCTATTGGATTGAGCAACTAACCTAGGTTGATTACAAGAAACAGCGGCGTTGTTTAATACATGTAAAGTATTAGAATGTGATACAAGTCAAGCTTTGGTATCACCTGCTTAGCAGGATAGTACGCATTGCAGATAAAAGACTCCGTAAATAAGGGTGGGATAATGGTATGGGCTAAAACTGATAGGGCGTACGACACAACATCCTCCTACTTCATTGATTCAAAAAATTAGCATACTCCTGGATTAGGATGCAGGCCTACTTCTACAAGCCTAGACAACTAGGAAGCTGATTATAGTCTAAAATAATTAATTTAGATCGTTACGAGTAGAACAGTATATGCTGTTCCGGACTATCTATGAGAAGACGCAGTGAGCGCTGACGGAGAAATCAAGTAACTCAAGGTGTTGTTGATAAGCCTCCTTTCATTCTAGATACATGTGTTGGAGTAGTTTTGTGTTAGGCTTGCTATTATGTGACGCCCTTGCTGCTATGTTGTTGCGCTGTCCTTGTGCTTAATCGCATCATTGCACATCTGATACATTGTTCGATTGGCCTGAGGTTCGGGCGAAGCCTAACTCTTTTACAGTTGTAATTGTGTTGATACTAAGCGCCTCCATAATATGAACAGTATTGTAGTCTGCAAGAATATAATATCATTTTGAAATGGAATCAACGTTGCATGAAAGGCCAATTTGTCTTAACATGTTTTGAATAATCAGTACATGTTCGAAAGAAAGATCAATGGCTTTCAATGTAAGCTTTTCAGAAGATATACATTCTCAAAGAGCAAATTTTGGATTGATTGTAGCCAAACTATCTAGCAGCTTATTGAATATACCAGTTCAAAAGCAACAGGTAGCCATTTACTCTCGGATCATGATTACAACCCCCCTCCAATAATTGGAATATACTCTATCTGACAGATACGGTCGATCTTGCAACACCTGTAGCGAGCCTGCACCCTAATGATACATAATGGAACACTTATCGCCAGCTTTGACAACCACTTGGGGGAATGTGTAAACATCTGATGTCGTGCCAGGAGCGGTAGTGAATTGTTGACTATTGTATCCTGTAGTAACGTCTCTGAGGTACCATATCACGGCGTTTGTAGCGTAGTTTTGAACATAGACAGTGACGGTGCACAAAGCCGTTCTAGCAATTGAAATCATGACACCTGCAGCCGAACGAGTCCAATGGCCTATTTTACCACCGGTGTCGATATTTCCAAGTTGAATGAATACTCTCTTTTGACGACTACACTGTATTAGCTGGTTCTCCTTTTCGTAGGTAGGTCACGCACTTGTCTGCAGCGACTCCGTTGTCAGGCTCTCGCTTAACCAGAGCGTTTCCTCCCTGCCTCTGTTTCAATTCTTGTCCATTACCGGATTGTATGGGAGCCGGCTCGACTGGAGGCCACGTGTTATGGGTACATCTTGGATCTGTCTGGTCATACGTCGTGCAATGCAGACATCACAGTCGTTCGTTCTCGCCTAACTGGCATACTTCATCGCATTCGTCGAAATCAAAGCATACTGGGCCGATGAAGAAAGCATGAATGGCTTGTGCACAGCATAGGTTCCTGGCCAAGGCCTGGGTCTGGACAACTGAATGTTTCTCATCGCCTCTCGCAGCTGGGAACGAGTAGACACCTGAGGCGAGCAATTTTTTGCAGCGAGGAAGACATCGAAGCCTGCATCACATCCTAGATCGATGACGGTCTCGCCCTCCTGTAAGCTAGCGATTGCTAGTGGATTACCACAGCTGAGGCCAAGGTTCGAGCTTGTGGGGATGTACGGTACCTAGGAGATTTCCTCTGCCGAGTATCCGAAGGCCTGTGCGGTGACATTTGCGCGATTCCCAGAAGTGGAGGTAAGCGCTGAGGCGCTGTAGCGGTTGTGAACCTGGTTGTAAATTGTTTCAGGGTCCATGGCAGTGGAGGGAATGTGGAGATGTGATGAGGAGTAAGAATAAGCTTTGGAGACTCGATGTTTACATGCAACAAGGTGTACAATTTTTACGGACCCTTGTCGCTGTGATGTACCTAGCCTTGCCACGCTACAGGGTCAGATGCTTACGAGGGCGCAGTTCATATAACCATGGAATTAGCGCTGCGTAAACTCGTATTTAGTATAGGGTTAGGCTGTGCCAAGCTCTACTAGCTAGCTAAGCAAGGTTAACTAAATATTATACTATAAGATTTTATAACGCGTTCTAAACCTATTCTAAATATATTCTATACTAGTAATACTATAAGCTACTACTACTATACCTATTACTAACGTATCCCTTATATCCTATATAAGCAGATTAAAATATATTTAGAACATATTCTTAATAGGTTATAGAAGTACTATTAATAGTACCTTACCCTTAGCTACATCCTAGATAATATTAGGGTATAGCCTATAGTTAGCCCTAATAGGGTAGTTAAGATAGAGAGTAGAGAGCGCTACTACTATACTAAGATTAATAATAAGGGCACCTTATATAGAGTAAGAATAGGTTCTAAATATATTCTAAATAGGTTCTAATATTCTTAGGCTATTCTAGGTACTAGGGGCACTTTATATACCTATACTAAAAAAGATTATAGGCTTAATATAGCCTACTATAAGGTTAGTAGGGTTAAGAAGACTAGCTAGCCCTCTATAATAGAGGTCTATAAGGTAAAGAGTAAATATATTATTAACCTATTCTTAACTTGTTATACTAATATATATAGACTTCTATATAAAAGTTATATATAATTACTAGAATACTCCTTACTATAAGTTATTTAGAATATATTTAAAACTTATTACTAATATATTTTATAGAAGTTCTCTAAGCCTAGCTAGTAGCTACTATAGGCCCCCTAGTAAATACTAATACCCTCCTAAATATAATTTAGAAGAAGACTTATACTAGCTATAATAGTAATAAGGTATAGCCTATAAGAACCTGTTAAAAATATATTACTAACTTATTATAGCTTAACTTTATTACTATATCTACCCTACTAAGGATTTAAGGTTATTAGGTTCCTTATACTATCTATACTTATAATTATCCTAGCTATAGTAAGTTATTTATAATATATTATTAACCTATTCCTAATATATTTTAAGACTATTACTTTAATACTAGTATAGACCTTACTAATTCCTACTAGAATACCGCCTAGTTCTACTTATAGTATGCTTTTATAGAGCCTAGGGAGGATAGGGAGGATAGAGAAGATACTAGAGAGGGGGAGGGAGATAATAATAGTAATAAGTAGGAACACGTTAAGAACATGTTAAGAATAGGTTCTAATAAATAATATATAATAGTATATAACCTAAAGGGGTAGTAGTAATTACTAAAATAAACTCTCTACTCTTCTCTTTTTTTTTCTATCTACTAAAAGTAAAGTACTATTTACTTTTATAGGGTCCTTTAATAGTATATAACTTTTTCTTTTAACTTTTATAGGTATTATAAAGCTCTAGTAGTTCCTTAGATTAAAGAAGAATCTAGTATTTATAGGTGTCTAGCTATAATATATTATTAATATATTCTAAATATATTTTAAGAGACTAGACTTATATCTCCTTTTTACTACTTTTGCTAAATATTATTTATAGTATAAAGGGGAGTAACTATTTACTTCTTTTCTTTACTCTCTACTTCCTCTTTAGCCTCTACTCTAGCTACTACTTCTTATTATAGACTAGCTATCTTAGAGGGTTCTTAAACCTTAAAGGAGGCACTTAGTGTAGTCTACTCTACTAGTAGAGAATGTATTATTAATATATTTAGAATATATTCTTAAGTATTTACTATTAAGCTCCTATAGAAGATCCTTACTTCTATAATACCTTGTATTATAGTTCTACTATAGTTTACTAGGGCTATTTAAACCTTAGGATAATACCTCTTAAGGTAGTAGATAAGATTGCCTCTATTAGAGAAGTAATACTAAAATAGTTATTAATATATTATAAACATGTTCTAACTTATATATATATATACTCTACAAAGTTCCTATACCCCTAATCTAGCCTAAATAGCCTAGTAGAAAAGCTTGCTAGGAAATACTATACACCTATTATTTAGGTAGGATATTATAGGAGAGAATGCCCTAGTATTAGATAGAAGTAACTTAAGCTTAATATATTACTAGTATAAATCCTACTTAGTATTAGAACAAGTTTATAATATATTCCTAACGTGTTCTATTATATACTAACTTTAAAAGATCTTTATAGACTATATTAACTAGTTATATCTAATAATATTAGGAAAGATAGATAGTAAAATAGTATTAAACTCTTAAATATAAAAAGTTCTTATAGAGTATAAGAAGAAAGAAGAAGAAAGAGAAGAAGAAAGAATATATATTTATCTACTTATATATACTTATATAATAGACTAGAATATATTAAGAACTAGTTAGGAACTAGTTACTATATTTATAGACTAACCTTACCTTATATAAAAAGTAGCTATCTCTTTCTTAAGTTTAAACTATACCTTTTATAATTTAAATAGTGCCTTTTTCTATATAAGTTCTTCCTTATCTACCTCTAGCTTTTCTTTTCTCTCCTTTAGAGCCTAATTACTAAGAAGAGCCTTTTATTATAAAGTTTATAGTTATAGACTAATAATAAGTTAGGAATATATTATAAACGTGTTTTATAAAGCATACCTTTAGGTTACTATTAGTAGAGGAGAAGAGCCTAGTAGTAGAGAAGATAGAAAAGGGGCTAGTAAACTTCTTTCTAATACTACTCTACTACTTGCCCTCTAGCTTTAGGCTTTTAAGCGTGCTCTTTTATTTCTTATTAGGACTAAGATATATCTAGTTAAGTTAGATATAGCAAGACTTGCTTTATTATTATCTAGAGTATTATTATTATTATAGGATGTGTTCTAAATATATTCTAAATATATTTTAATTAGTAAATATATATAATACTAGTATAAGACTTACTTTCTCCCCTTTAAAGCTTTTTAAGGTACCTTTACTTAAGCCTATTAGGAGTTCTATAGTTATAGTGTATTCTAAACTTGCTCTAGGCTTTAAACTCTTTTATATCCTATAGATCTATCTAGTGTACACTATATAATATTACTTATATAATTCTAATAGGTTAAGAATAGGTTATAAACTTACTTCTAAGTAGCCTTAAGAATACTTACATGCTTACTAGTTTTATATCCTTTCTAGCCTGCTTGCTTAGCTATATTTAAATAAGATTCTAGTTTTTTCTATACCTCTTTTAATATTTTACTATAGTATTATATAATCCTAGTAGTAATTACTAGGTTTTTCTTATAGATTACCTAGTTTTAGGCATCTTTAGAGGGTTTATATTCTAATTATATAAGAACAAGTTAGGAATATATTTAGAATAGGTTTAGAATATGTTTACTTATATAAGAGGAGGTTAGTAAGCTAAAAGTATTCCTCTGCTATTAATGCCTGTAGTAATTTACTTAGACGTAAAGAGGTAGTATTATCTAGCTCTCTTTTATATGCTTTATAAATACTTCTTTATAGATATACTTAATAAAATCTTATACAAGATTAAAGTTGCTAGCGCTAGTTACGCTTATAGGGATTAATTAACTAGAGATAGCACCTAAGTCCTAGAAACAAGTTAGAAACACGTTATAAATAGGTTATAGTGCGCTATAAAACTTGCCTATTATCTACTTATTATATATATTAATAGTAGTCCTATAGAATCCCTATAAGTAAATATACCTCTATAATACTTATCTTTTTATAAGTGCTTTATACTTCTAAAAGAAGTTAGTAATAGTAACTTAATATATCTTAGTTATATCCTTATCTATAATAATTTAGCTAAGTGTAATAACTATAATATGTTAGAAACATGTTATAAACCTATTCTTAATGTGTACGCTTCTTTTCCTATAGGTAGAAGATTACTATTAGAATCTCTACCTATACCCTATATAACCTCTTATATAATATATCTATCTAGAATATATCTTAATCTAATAGAATTAATGCCTACTCTTTAAAAAGGTAAATAATTAAGTTACCTAAGCTTAATATAAAGATTTGCTATATATACGCCTATAGTAACGTATTAGTAATATATTCTAAACCTATTCTCTTACACTATATATAGTTTTAGGATCCTAATGCTTTATCCTCTACTTATAGTATACTCCTCTAAGGCTACTCTTAAATAGGAACTATAGAAGCTTTTTACACTTTATAATACGTAAGATTTTATCTTTATTTATAAAGCTAATATATATTTCTTTAATAGAATAGAAACCTTTAAGTTAGAGATAGGTTTAGAGCTAGGTTAAGTTTAGGAACTAGGCTATAATAAGTTAGGAATATATTTATAATAGGTTATAAATAACTTATATTATATAAGCTATAGAGTAAGCATAGGCTATAATACCTTTACTACTTCCTTAATATTACTATTAGATAGTATTAAGGGAGGAGGAGGTATATATATATATATACTAAAAGAAATAATAGTAAAAAAAGGTATTACTACTATATCTATTAGTATAATTACTTAGAAGGTAACTTTATATAGGATTTTAAATAGAGATCCTTACCCTTATAGATAATTAACGCCTAGAATATATTAGGAATATATTAGGAATAGGTTACAATATACCTACTACACTTCTTTATCTAGCTTAACTATAGCTTAACTATAGAATATAAAGCAGGACTACTAGAAAGATTTAATATCTCCCTAGTTAGAAGACCTTGTAGATATATAGAGTCTACCTCTAGTAGTACCTAACTAAAATAATATTTTTTCCTAGTAGTAGATATTAGGCTATAGTTCTAATAGCTAATATATAGTTAAGCCTATTCTATAATTTACTAACTTATTATTAACACGTTTTAAATATATTTAAGTTTTACTCCCTACTTAATTTACTATAGTCCTTATTATAGGATAATAAGATACCTAGTAGTCCTTATAAATCCTTAAAGAGAAGCGCTTAATAAGGCTATAATAATAGCTTCTTATTTATAGTTCTCTTTATAGAATTTTCTTAGGTACTATACTTTTTAAGGTTTAGATCTAATTATATAATATATTATTAATAATATAATAAGAATATATTTATAATATATTCTTAAGATACTTACACGCTTTTACCCTAGAGTATTAGTATTTATACTAGCTTGCTAGCTAGCTATTAAAGAATAGTAAAGTTATAGGCCTATTAAGATAGATAGACTAGCAGGAGTATTATACCTGCTAGAATTAGAATAATTTAAGAACATGTTCTTAATATGTTACCTATATAGCCTATATAAGCACCTCTTCTCTTATTAGGTAAGAGCTATCTTTATATTACTAAACTAGTATTATATACCTATACCCTTAGCTATATAATTAAGGGTATACTAGGAGAATAGCTATATACTTAATAATTGCTAGTATAAGTAGTAGTCCTTAACTATTACTATAAGTAAGGTATATATTATGCCCCTATAACATGTTACTAACCTATTCTAAACTTATTCTATTTACTTTTACTTACTTCCTTAACACTACTACTACTATCCTCCTCTAGCACTTTATATAGTTACCTAAATTTATCTCTAATATTACTATCTAGTTTAGATATATTATCTAGTACTACTATACTAAACTCTAGTATAGTATTTAGGAACGCTTATATATTATTAAGAATAGGTTTAGAATATATTTAAAAAAGATAGTAATAAAAACTACGTTTACTTGCTTAAATTACCCTAATTTATACTTAACTATAGGCTAGTTTATATAACTATAAAAATTTGCTGCTGTGACGTGGACTTGAACCTACAGGGATATTCTAACCACTCGGAGTAAAGCCCAAGTCGCCCGACGCTAAACCCATGGTCATATGACATGCCACCACGATGCTTACACCCCGTTGATCGTCCAAGTCAAAAAAAAACACGACACGAGAAGAGGCTCTAGCGTCGGCCAAATCAATTAGGATTTGAGATATTAGATCTGTACCTTATCACCTACTAAATTTGGCATACCAAGAACACCTAGCCCACTACTTGAACCAAGGCTAAAATATCGCCTAGATGGACAGTTTCCTCCAACACAAAATCAGATGTAGTACTCCTGCATAAAAACAGCCTGTATCTGCATCAAGAGTTCAACTGTCTAGTGTTGAACTAGTTACTTCCGGTACACTACGGCCATCTAATGCCGGCCGGAAAATGATATAAAATATCAGCAATATACAAGAGCGGGGACATAGACAGGCTCTACTATGAAAGCGAGAAAGTTAAACTGCTTAAATGAACCCCAGTGATCTTCCACAAGACTACCTATTTCACACCCAGCAATCGCCCCTCTTGTACTTGTACTTGTGAAAGGCCACCAAATACCCAATACTTATTGTCCCCTTCCAACGCCAACGCTCACTTCATACTCCCCCATGTAGTACGATAGCCGAATAAAGCAACACTAACCCTTCCTACAGCATAACCCCTTGATTCCTCCTCTCCGGGGGTGTTGGGAGGTGTTTGGATACTACTTTAGAGGTGGTTGAAAAGCTGTAGCGCGTGCAAATGTGTTTACGCCGAGGAGAATTAAAGCAGGGGCAGCGAGATCAGATGGTAGCGACGGCACTGGAAACGTTGTGAAAAGCAAGTGCAGCGAGAGGGGATATGAGTAACAGAGGATGATAAAGAGGAAGAGTCAAAAAGTGGGGGTATAAGGTCAATTAGCTGATACAACGAGCTGCTACAATGGCGGTTGTCTGAATTATCAAACTATGCATGATGCTAAAAAAACATGACAGTTCTTGTAGTAAAAAGAAGCTCTCCTCCCAATCAAGTCATCACAGCGTCCAGCAAACCCAAGTCGTGCGTGAATAAATATATACTCTGTCAGAGCGGCGCAAGCATAAAGATAGTTACAGCCCACTGATATAATCCAACAACCTCAACAACGCCCCATTTTCCACCCTACAGCCCTCGCCCTCTCTCTGCGCCCTCCTGAGCCCTTGGGCCAACCACAGCCTAATGGTCTCGGGATCGAGGTTGCGAAAATTCTGCTGGGAAATCATGACATAGGCCTGTGCGCAAAGCGTTGTGCTCTCCGAGGGGGCGGGCGCAGGTCTCGTCTTGCAGGTTGAACATTGAGGATCGACAGGTTCCTCCAGTGTGGGTGAACTCGGCGGCTCTGAGCAACATGGTGGGGGACCGCTATTGGGTATGCCAGACTGCAATGGCGGAGAGGGTGGAGTGAGGTTGGGGGCGCCGACGAGGGAGGAGGTGATTGCGTCGCTTAGGAAGGAGAGATCATGGTTGGGGACATCAAGGTAGTCAAGTTGTGGGTCGATGCTGAGTTGGGCCATGGATCCTGGCTTGGCTGGACTATTTGAACCTGCGAAACCCCGCGGCTCCAAGATTGGTGCTGGTTCTGCGTCGCTGGCTGTTGATTCCTGTCTTGGTTTTGGTTGATGGTCTTGAGACACAGACACCACATTCGCAGCGTCTCGTTCGGCTTTTAGTGCGACGATTTCCGCCCTGGCGTCTGCGAGCAATTTTTCCGTCTCTGCGAGCTTCTGCTCCAATGTCGCGATATGATCTCGTCGTCTTGCGCGATGTCGCCTCTGGTTCTCGCGCACTCTGTTCAATGTGTGTTCAGCCGACACTCGAGTCTTTCGTCGAGGAGCCAGACAGTCGGACGAGAGGTCCGATGTAGTAGAAGCTGGCGAAGTTGCAGCTGCATCCGGTGACAGCATGGTAAGAGCGTTGTTGTGTGTATTAGATTCTAAACTCTGTCCCAGGAAGGCCGAGATTGATTGATTATAGAGACGTAGAGGATTCGACGACGGTGTCCAAAGTCGACGAACGTGAGGAGCATGGCAAGTTGAGGCTTGGCGGTGACATATCGATGCATGAGCCATCTGATTGGCCGTTGTCTCGACTAAGACATGACATGACCATTCTTGATCGTCGAGCCAGAACTTTGAAACAGTGTCCATGAAATAATATATGCAGTAGCAAGCTGCGAAACCCCAGGGCTCTTCATTATAGTGCAGCTTCACATGCAAAGGAATGTAGTAACATCTCAACCGCGCGATGACGCAATTCAGCCAAAGTGAAATTAAATGTTGACCATGGACTACCTAAACGCTATGCAGATTATACTGGGAGATGGAAACGTGAAAATGGCTCATCCCCGATGTCAAATCATTCATCAGTTCGTTAAGCCTTGCTTTTAATTACCCACACAACCTGATCAACTTGAATCCTGCGAGAAACGGGCGGCGGAATACGACTCTACCTGCCCATCCGGATTACGCCAGCGTGGACCAACTTCTGTATCTTGGAGCGAATACTTGGGTTCTTGAGATGTTCTTGCAGAGCGGCCGGATCGTCCTTTGCTTGTTGCAGAATGCTCTGCATAACGGGATCTTGTAGAATGCCGACAATCTTTCAGTCAAGTCAGTGGCTATCATAACGAACAAAAGGTCGAGGTGGACATACCTCGGGGTCGCGCTGAATGCGCTCCATTGTTTGCTGCTCTGTTTCGCCCTCGCGTGCAGAATACTGTGCTTGCAGAGCCTTGGTCTCTTGTGCCTGGATCTCCCGCGTATGCTTACCATCCTTGTCGTGCTCCATGGCTTCCGCGCAAACATTGATGCACTTGTTGTATTCGCGCATGGTGAAGTACGCCTGGGCTTTACGAAGGTAGGCACGGATGAAGTCGGGGTCACGCTTGATTGCCTCGTCGCAGTCTTGCACCGCCGAGGGGAATTCGAGGAGTTTGATAAAACAAGCGGCACGGTTGGAATAGCCGCGAGGATCATCTGGTGCACGTTTGATCATCTCCGAGTACGCCTCAACTGCGGCAGGCCAGTCTGATTCCTTGAACTTGGCATTGCCCAGCTCACGCGCCTTTTCGGCCTCCTCTGGGTTGATGTACGCAGCCTTTTCGGCAGCAATCTTGGCCTTCTCTGCAGCGCGGAGTTTGGCAAGCACTTCGGGGGTACGGTGCTCGGTTTGTGCCTTTTGGTAGTAGAGAATGGCATTGCTCAAGTCGCCAAGCTTCTCATATGCGGTACCGATGCGTGCAAACGCCCTGGGACATGTTAGCCGTCGGTCGTGGGAACCATGGAGGAGACACATACTTAGCAATAATCTTGAAGTCGGCCAGGATCTCACGACCATACTCAACAGCCTCCTGGCATGCCTGGATGCAGCCTTCATAGTCGCCCTTCTCGAACTTGGCCGCGCCCAGATTCGTCTTGTAGGTAATGTCCTTGTGTGTTTCCCACGCTTGCGTGTAGTACTCGATGGCCTCATCAAATTGCCGCTTCTTGTAGAGCTCGGTACCCTTCTTCTTGAGCTCTTCAGCCTTGGCCTTGGCTTCTTTCGCAGCCTTTTGCTCTTCTGTTTCCTCCTCCTCGGGCTCAGGCGCTGGCTCAGGCTCGGGCGCCTTCTGTGGCTGTGCTGTTGGAGAAGGCCGAGCATCGGGCATTGGGACGTCTTCTTCGGCCTCTTGCGCGCCTGAGCCGCTGGGACCGCCTGCACCAGGCCCACCACCAAACGACATGTCAATGCCTAGGAGCACGCTCATGACGGACAGGAAGCGAGGATCCTGCATGAACTGGCCAACCATGTTCGGATTGCTCTTCAACTGTTGGAGTTTGCTCATGAAATCTGCATCTGCGAGAAGCGGGGCCGTTTTGGGGTTGCCAGCCAGCTTCTGGATCATATTGGGGTCGTTGAACATGCCACCCAAGCCGCCAGAAGGGTCGCCGCTGAGTCCGTCGCCTCGCGCCTCCGCCTCGACTGCGCGCTTGACAGCCTCGAGACCTGCCTTGGCCTGCGCATTGTTGGGGTCCAGCTTCAAAGCCTCCTCAAAGGCATCGTTGGCACCTACGAGGTCGCCCTCGCCGTGTAGGGCCGTGCCTTTGCGCCCCCAGCCTTTGGACCAGTCCGGCTTGATCTCGATGACCTTGTTGGCATCATCCAGCGCCTTTTGCCAGTCCTTGATCGATGCGTAGGCTCCTGAACGGTTTGAGTACAGCACGTGATTGGTAGGGTCGAGTTCGATCGCCTGGGTAAACTTGTCGCTGTAGCCGTGTCAGTCTTGTGCCATGGTCGCCAATGCTTGCCTTGTCAGCCCTGCCAGATCTGTCTGTAGGGGTGGGTGGTGCTGGCCGAGGCTGACATTGACATGGTGGGGGTGATTTGCTCACATGGACTCGGCAAACTTCTTCTCTGCGAAGAGCTTGTTGCCCTCGGCTTTGAGTGCATCGGCCATGGTAGGAGAAATTGGTTATCGACGTGGGTGAGGTCGAGTGTGCACAGCAAGTCTGGTGGTAGAGCAAGTGCTGTCGGCGCGCTTTGCTGATATAGGTGGGGCAAGCCATGCGGCTCTGAAGCTTCGTCGGTGACATGCCCTTCCAGCATCTTCTCCGCCCTTCTACTAAACTACAGTGTACTCAGTAGAGTCGCAACACCGCATGGCTCAACTTGTGCGGCAAGCCCACTGGGACGCGCAGGTGGCTGTCAGCGACTACCATGACAAGATCGCCGTCCAGAATCTGGAGGTTGTCGTCCATGCTGGCAAAGACGTCTGGGGCCGGCCCAAGAAGCAGCGAGCCCAGGTCAGCGTAACTCTGACCTTGGGAAGCCACTTTGCTTCCGCAGCGGCGACCGACTCTGTCGACCATAGCACGGTGCATTATGGCCTACTCAGCAAAGCCATCCAGGCAGAGCTCGCGGATACCGCCTCCGAATGGATGTCTACCGCCGCCCTTTCCGCCCGTATCCTCCAGAGCGTGTGCGAAGTGGCAGGCTCGACAGTCCTATACGCAATCGAGACCGACGTCTGCTACCCCAAGGGTAGTATGCTCGGAGATGGCGCAGGCCATATCACATCGACCATCCAGGACGGGCCCAGCCAGGCCACCACATTACACTCCAGCGTGCTCTACCTGCGGAATGTTCGCATTCCTTGTGTCATTGGTGTCAATGCGAATGAAAGACTGCAGAAGCAGCCAGTCGTGTTGAATGTGTGGATTGACAGGATCCCAGACTCACGAGTCGACGATTACACAGAACTGGAAACACTGTTGATCGAGGTACTGTTCTGCTGGACACGGATGCTGTACCCGCGCTGACCGACTAGCTCGTTTCCGAGACTTCATTCCAGACCATTGAAAGCTTACTTGCATGGCTGATGGACGAGCTCAGACAAAAGTTCTTCACAAGGGACGAATATCAAGAGGCTTGGGTCAGACTGAGGATCGCAAAGCCTCTGGCAGTTCCCTTTGCCGAGGCGCCTGCGGTCGAGATTGTGCGTCCAGTGCGTTCCCGTTGAGTGTGGGTCATGGGCACACCGATTCAATCTTCCCATCGTACTTGATACCACGGTATACCGACACGGGCTGCAGCCGCGGGTGGAGTTTGAATTGGGAACAGGCGGTTGCTGACTCGGGTAGGGGCAGCGGTGAAGTTCTTTCCCCACGTGGTTCAATGAGCGTGGCATCATGTTCCAGCTGTGCACTGCACAAGAGAAGGGGCCATGATGGATGATTCAACAACACATGTGTCCTCGCAATAGAGCTGTGCCTTGCGATAGAGTGAGTAGTGGACAGAATATTGTTGGTCCGCTACCGTACTGCAGTGAAGCCATTATTGATGCAGTGCAGCCAAAAAAGAAATATACCTATGTACTGTGTCTATTCTTGGACATGTAATTTTGTACATGGTACAATGCCCAAAGAGTGCAACTATAACTCCGTACTCTAGCACATAGTACATGCTCGAGAGCTCAGCCGCCCAAGGGCACGGCCACTTTCAAAGATTCAAACAACAGGCAAGAGTAGTACATACTGCTTCGCAAAGCGTAGCCACGGCCTTGGCAGCGAAGAAAAAATATTTTTCTTCTCCCCGCATTCAACCAAGTCGAGCCTTTTGCCACAAATGGGGGCCCTTGGGGGAAGCTGTTGACTGTTGAGCGAATCCCATGTTCGCATCGCCTCTACGGTTAAAGGCTAGACAGACTACTACTGATGGAGTCTATCGATGGACTTGGTCATAGCTCCCAGCCCCAACAACAACAAACTCGGAATTCGAATTTGTTGACAGTGGCCAGGATGTGTGGCCATGAGGGATGTGTGGTACCCGGCAGATAGGATGGGAACAAAGTAGTACGATCATCGACGGCTCCCCGTCTGGAGGACTGTCCACGCATCTGGCAAGCAGTGTCACGGTTTGCCATCAGCGGTGTTCATAGGAGGATAGGAGGAGGGGTGTGGCCCGAGTGTAGGTAGAGGAGTGCATAGTGCATAGTACCGGTACATGGATGTTGTATCTTGATGTTGTGTGACCATGTACCTACAGTACCATGTACACCTAGTTATTCAATACATACCTACCGACCTACCTATTATCGTACACAGGACTGGATGCATATGGCACAAATCGGGAGAAAGAAGAAGCGCCATGCAGCATTGATTCTCGGTGTCGGTGCACTAGGTACCTGATGGTGTCTCCTGTAGTTAGGCCGTCGACGGTATAGGAACCAACTATGCATACATGCTCCCATTACGGTATGTCATGTACCGGTACCTACCCTATCTACGGTGTCATTTGGTTTGGTACATGCTACAGTCAACTAGACCTGCCTACTGTGCCATGTCACTACTGTCCATCTGCTCGGCCCCGAATCCATCTGGTCGAAAGTTCCCGCCTCATTGGAGTAGGTAGGTAGTAGTAGTAGTAGTAGTAGTAGTAGTAGTAGTAGTAGTAGTAAGTAGATCCGAACTTATCAGACCCTGGCGAGAACGCAACGCCTCCTCCCCCCCTGCCCCACTGTAACGGCCCCCCAACCGCCAGCAGGTGCTGCCCAGGCACGGACGCCTTTAAGTAGACCGCTCTCCTTCTGTCTCCCACGCCCCCCTCCTCCATCTTTGGTCCTCGTCAACTTTCACTTTCTTCTACCCAATTCACCTCTCTCTTGCACAAACATACACAATGGCTTCTCGTGCGATCCCAGCTCACCTGAAGCCTGCTGCTGCAGACGGCGAGGGCGGCTTCTCCCCCCGCCATCACGGCAAGTCGCAGTCCCATGTGGTACGCCTCCCACCTTCACTTTTGGAATGCTGGCGGAGAACAACGTGCAATGCTGGCCGTGTCCCTCGACTACCTTGGGTCTTCTTTCTATCTTGCATCTGCTAATGGCCCATCTAGGCTTTCGAAAACACATCCACCAATGTTGCGGCCTCGCAGATGCGAAATGCACTCAACAAGCTCGCCGACACTGTCAAGGACCCCGCTGAGAAGAAGGTCAGTCGATTTTTTTTCACCGCCACACTGACTACCCCGCCTACTCTTTCTGGCAAAGCCGGCAAGAGCTTGTGCGGCGCGGACAGCCACGCAGTGCGTGCGACATGGGCGGGGAGGGGCGCTACGTCATGTGGGTGTACGCTAACTTGGAAAAGTACTTTGAAACCGAGATGGACAACTTCTTTGCCCTGTTTCGACGATACCTCAACGACAAGGCCAAGGGCAATGTCATCGACTGGAACCGCATTGCTCCCCCGAAAGCGGAGCAGGTCGTCAACTACGACGACTTGGCCAACTCGGAGGCTGTCGAATACCTGAACAAGCTCGCTGTCGTCAAGCTCAATGGCGGTCTCGGTACCTCCATGGGCTGCGTCGGCCCCAAGTCTGTCATCGAGGTCCGCGACGGCATGTCCTTTTTGGATTTGTCGGTGCGCCAGATCGAGTACCTCAACCGCACATACGACGTCAACGTGCCATTCGTGCTGATGAACTCGTTCAACACCGACACCGACACGGCCAGCATCATCAAGAAGTACGAGGGACACAACATTGACATTCTCACATTCAACCAATCAAGGTACCCTCGTATCTTGAAGGACTCGCTCCTGCCCGTCCCCAAGGACAGCCAGTCGGACATCTCCAACTGGTACCCCCCAGGCCACGGTGACGTTTTCGAGTCTCTGTACAACACTGGCATGCTCGACAAGTTGCTAGATCGCGGTATTGAGTACATCTTCCTCTCCAATGCTGACAACCTGGGCGCTGTTGTCGATCTCCGCATTCTGCAACACATGGTAGACTCCAAGGCCGAGTACATCATGGAGTTGACGGACAAGACCAAGGCCGATGTCAAGGGTGGTACCATCATTGACTACGAGGGCTCGGTCCGTCTCCTCGAAATCGCACAGGTCCCCAAGGAGCACGTCAACGAGTTCAAGTCGATCAAGAAGTTCAAGTACTTCAACACCAACAACATTTGGATGAACATTCGCGCTGTCAAGCGTGTCGTCGAGGCGAATGAGCTCGCCATGGAGATCATTCCCAACGGCAAGTCCATACCCGCCGACAAGAAGGGCGAAGCCGACATCTCCGTCCTCCAGCTTGAGACTGCCGTCGGTGCGGCCATCAAGCACTTCAAGGGTGCCCATGGAGTCAACGTGCCCAGGCGGCGCTTCCTGCCCGTCAAGACGTGCTCCGATCTTATGCTCGTCAAGTCGGACCTGTACACTCTTCAGCATGGTCAGCTGGTGATTGACCCTAACCGATTTGGCCCTGCTCCCTTGATCAAGCTTGGCAGCGACTTCAAGAAGGTGTCCAGCTTCCAAGCCCGCATCCCATCCATTCCCAAGATTGTCGAGCTGGACCACTTGACCATCACGGGCCCTGTCAACCTTGGCCGTGGTGTCACACTCAAGGGCACTGTCATCATTGTGGCGACAGAGGGATCGACTATCGACATTCCTCCCGGTTCGATACTGGAGAACGTTGTTGTGCAAGGTTCGTTGAGGCTGCTAGAACACTAGACGGGTACTGGCGATTTCATCATAGATTTACGAGGATAATGTGCTTTCTTGTGGCGAATGGTTAAGACACTAAATGCATTGTACACGAGGCTTGGGCCAGGGTGTTGGCCTGTCAGGTACCAGAAATTTTAATGGGTGCAGCCCGATGGATGGGTTGACGAAACCGGGGCAGATGAGAATACAGGAGCAGAATATTGTATCCAATATCGCTCAAGAAGATGACAGGATTCTGTGATTTGATCGAGATGAAGTAAAACCAATGACTTTGACCCAGAATTCAAGTGTCCCCCTCCACTCGCTAGGACGGGTAGCTAAGCCTAGAGTACTCTACAGCTGGGCATAGAGTACATGGCCGGAGCTCCCCTGCAACCTTAGCCTAGGATGTCTCAAGCTAGCTCCCATGATTGGCATGTGAAGCGTCATGTCAGCCTTCCATGCTACTGCTACTGCTACTGCTACTGCTACTGCTGCCCAACATGAGCCTCACTGCAAACTTGTTCCTGTGTGTTGCGGAGGCGCAGTGGTACCCGAGTCGAGTCAGCTTCCTGGCGCAAGGGCTCCATGATTACGGTTGTCAATTGGAGAACTCGTCTGGCTCTATGAAGCAGAGAACCATCTCCTTTCCCCATCAGCGCGTCTGCGTCCTGCATTTCACGTTGCACGCGCATCATCGCGGGGCAAAGTGGCGGTTCACCGCATCTCCCTCGACACACGCTGAGCTCCAAACGAACCTGAAGACAGGCGCTTATGTCTGCGCTGACGAATCCTAACCTCGCTCTACCTCCACCATGATGGCACCGGAATCGAAGGAAAGCAAAGCCCCGCACGGAGAGCACACAGCCAATCTGGCACACGCCGACGCATCCTATCGTGAAGCTTACCAGTACTGGGGTTACCTGTTCAAGGAGGACAAATGCGGTACACCGTTACTGGATCGCCTATTAAAAGGCATTGCAGAGACCATAGTGAGTTGTTGTGGCCGCCGCCATGGACGGGCTGCTGCGGCTGTGGGTGTAATGCTGATGCGGTGGCCGTAGAGCAGAAGGTTCGAGCCAAGCGATTCTCCAGACCTCACGCCATCGCAAATGGCCGCGTGGTATCGCGACGTAGGTGGAGACTATGATGTCCTTTTCATGGACACGCCTTCGACGTCCATTGCCTTTATCTACCGCTCGCTTGGGGCATTTCATTCCTTGCAGCCCGGCCCCACCGACGACGGCTACTCGAGCCCGACTGTGCCCGCCCTGAAGAAGCAGGGTTTTGTGACATGGCAGACTATTCAGCTACTACTAGGACCAGAGGATCATGTCCCGTTTTTGCAAAGAGCCGTGGAGAAGTACGACGTGGTTGATCCCGAGACAGGCAACATCTTCCCCAAGATACTTCCCAAGGAATGCTTTCCAGATTGCCCTGACGATGCCATGGAAGCCTGGTACCAGGGCGTGGCTGCTAGATTGAAAAGAGAAGCGGAAGAAGAAGCCAACGGAAGGCACCTAGCTGACCAACCGCGCCCTCGCGCATCGACTGACACGGGAGACGGATCGTCGGCGGATGAGAGGCATGGCGCCTTCAAGTATTTTGAGGACCCAATGTACCGGAATGCGAGACAGAGGCCGCCCATTATGCGACACGTTTCCAAACAGTCTTCGCGACCGGTGGACGGGAGCAGCCGGACAGTCACATCGAGAGTCAGACACATGTTGAACCCATGGAGCACCCGACGCAAGAGTGTACCAGGACACTACGAGAGCGACAGCTATTCAGAAGAGGACATCACGCCGATCGCACCGGTACCTCCTCCTCCGCCTCCAGCGACTCGGTATACCAGTCACCAGCGTCCACACCCGCCGCATCAGTCGCATCAACCGCCTCGAGCGGACTATGCGACAGACTCTGACTCTGATCCCGAACGTGTTGCTGCCTATCGAAGAAGGTTGGGAGTGCACGCGCACAGATCCCATGACGTGCCGCCAACACAGCCCGAATACTTTGCAGACTATGCGGAAGCTAGGCGCTATTCGCACCAGGAGCCTGGCGTGAGGCTGGAGGGGAGAAGCTCATCAGCAACGTCACCCCAACCCGTATACCGGCCCACTCAATCGCCTCTGTTTGCAACGCAGGTTGCTCATATGCAAGCTAGAAAATACCATGACTACAGGCCTACTCTTCCCCCACGGACTGGCTACACACCAGCAATCCAACACGGCGTGAGTATGAATTTTTGAGCAGCATTCCCAACCGACTTGGTCAGCCACCGTTGCGCACCTGTTCTTCATCCCCTAGATGCTTGCTGACCAAAGATACTGGGTTAGGTGCGATGGGGTCCTGCGGCAGTCCCCGTGACTCCTCCAAGGAACGTCGAGCCGGGACACAGGCGGGAACGAGAGCGAGAAGGCCGTGATGGCGGGGCGATGTGGCATGAGAGGGAGAGTGGAGGCAGCAGCCACCATAGCCGGGCCCGGCGGCGGCGGTCCACAGAAGATGCAACGTACCCACGCGAGCGGGGAAACGGTGAGACTGCGCGGACACGAAGTCACGACCGAGTCAGAGACGACTGGGCTGAGCGAGAGGGCGGTCGGGGCCGAAGCTGGCGAGGGCATTGGGACGGTCGAGATGGGGACGGGGCAGGTGAAGACAGTCGGAGTGGGAGTGGGAGTCGGAGTGGGAGTCGAAGTCGAGAACGAGAGCGAGAGCGAGAGCGCCGGACACATAGGTATGTGTCGGGTGCGCAAGATGGCGTCTCCGGCCGGCGATGTCCAGTTTCCTAGCGAGTGGGTGCTAAGTTGTGTGAGCAGTTTTGGCGGCCAAATCATGCGTTTCCTCAAGGAGTTTTGAGGGCGCGAGAGGGAGGGAGGCTGTCTTTTCAGCTGGCTTGGCTTGGCCTGGCTTGGCTCGGGTTTTCAGCTGGCTTTGGGGATCTGAGTTTTCATGGTTGTGGTTGTGGTCGATGCGCACTTGCAAGTCGTGTGTGTGTGTGTGTGTGTGTGTGTGTGTGTGTGTGTGTGTGTGTGTGTGTGTGTGTGGCTGAATAGGTGTGGCATGAAGACGGCGTGAGCACATGGGAGATGGAGGTAGGAGTAGGGCGAGTTGTGCCATGTCTTTTTTCTCTCGTACGTGTTTGGTGGGTACGGCTTCTTGCGATGAGTGTACTATGCTATCGTATAGACGGATTGGACGTTGAATGAATGGATAGACGTGGACCATTCATGCTCGTATCGTTGCTTTCTTGGTCTTCGTCTTGCACAGTGTAGAGTACAGTCGATGGGGAGGGTGGGCCGAGGCGTGACGAAACGATCGCCGTGGCTGGCTGTCCCCGGGTCCACGGGTGTGCCTGCGAGGCTAGCTCGCCAACCTGAATAGACGGCATGTACGCATGTCCTGTCCCCTGTCTTGGTTGCTGTCTTGTGCAGGGGAATCTACTGGACATGGTGTGCGCAGTGCTGTATGGCTTGGTTGTGGGATTGGGTGAATGCAAGATGGGATAAGGCGTCGTCGCCGGAATTGGCGCCTTTTGTTTGCGTAGGCGAGAAGCGGGAGGCAGTGGCAGTGGCAGTGGCAGTGGCAGTGGCATTGGCTTTGGCTTTGGCTAGCGATGAGCCCGCAGCCGTTGGTTTTGTTTGCAACCCAAGCGTTACCGTACATGGAGTACATAGAGTACTATACCGGTACGTCTTAGCTCTTAGCCTTGGGCTAGTTGACTCTAGAGTAGCTAAGAGTACTCTACTGTCCTTGTACTTGACTCTACCTAGCTAGCTAGCGAATGGCTGCTGGCTGCTGGCTGCTGGGCACCTGGCGCCGCAACGAATGGGCCAGGAGCAGGTTTGCCCCCCGTCCGACATGGAACCCTGAAAGCACCGCACCGAAAGCTGTTCATCTCCTTTGCTTGCTTGCTTGCTTGCTTGCTTGCTTGCTGGCTTGCTTCCTTGCGCCCTTCCCCCTCTTTCCTCCCCTCCCTCTCTCTCCCCTCCCGCTCTTGTCTCTATTTCTCTCTTTCGCTCTCCCGCTCCTCACCGGGCGTAGTTCTATGTCCGCAGCAATCACATTCCCCCGGAACATCATAACCCCGCAAAAGGGCATGTCTGCCTTTAAGTGCTGCCTGTCTCCGCTC